CTTTTACATTATGCTCATCCAGTACTATATGTAACTTCAGTTTTGCAATGATATGGTCTTCTTTCATGAGTACACAACTAATATGGTCATATAATGAATCTTATGTTTTGATTGGTTATGACAGCTTTGTATTTTATCCTACAAATTTGACAGGCTTTTCTGAATGTTGTTGTTTTCTGCCAAATGTTACTTTTATGATATCTTTGTCTTGTCTTGTTAAATATCATGGGCGTAGGGCTATATTTTGAGTTGGTACGCCCATATGGGGATGTCTGAATGCTCCCCCAGAATTGTTTTTTCAAAGACCTCACAATTTGAGTGCATCTATCAACTTTAAGTAGTTCTATTCTTATAAAACTTAATGGTTTAATATGCAAATACAGAATCATCAATAAATGTGCAAACAAATTATGATGGACTTCAATGCGTTTTTGATAATTTCAAATTCATGCATTATTATCACAAGATAATCTGCAAACAAAAATTTTGAGTGGCAAATGAGAAGATCATAATTTGGACAATAGAAGTTGGTTCTGATCCCACTTTCATCTTCCAAAACAAAACAAAAAAGAAGCTTCCCTCTGTGTTTGGATTGCCATCAATATATAAATGTACTAAATAACATATATGATAAATTCTTTATGACATTAAATATTGCTGGATTACACAGCAAGTGTTTATATTGTGTATAAGTAGCTTATCTGGACACATGGGGGATTACATGCTTATATATCCCAGAAATAAAATGTCATATAAGTGTAAAGTTCAAATATAGTGGAAGGGAGTGGAATTTCATGGAACAAGTGGTAGACATTCAAGAAATACTAGCTATGTCAGTTGGGTGAAGTGAGGCAATACATGGGAGTCAGAAATCCTATTGGAAAGACATGAACATAGAAGTAATTTAAACTAAACCCAGGTGTGTCTTTTTATTGATCCCATCAAATTTAATTATCTTTGTCCTTTTCCATAACAAATTTAGCAAAATGATGTGATCCCCAGAGTATTATGTATCAAAATGTAATGTAAAGCAGATTGAGCCAGTGATCCCCTAATAATGAAGCAAGTGGGTGTTATACCCACCCAATAGCGGGCTAATAGTCAATTTGCATCCACCTGAAAAGTACCCTTTGCATTCGTTTGACTTCACTTCTTAAAAGAGAGCTTCGTCTTCACTCTTTCAAACTTAAATAAACCTGTGAACTCACCGCGCCAATCAGTGTTCGTCGGCCAAATTTGACCGATGTTCTTTATATGGTCATTCCTTCTGACGTCATCGTTGAGCCCGGAATTGACCAATGACATGCGCATATTTAATTAGAACGCATTTGGTCCATGTTTCTTCAAGCTCGCTGATTGGTGGAAGGTCAGCGCGTAGGTCAAAAGTGATTAACTCAAACTGTCACCGGTACCCGTCGTGGGGGCGGGGCTACTAAACTGTAATATGGTCTCTACTAGGCAGAGTGTAGTTTAACTAGACTCTGCATGCAGGGTACCTGAAAAGAGAAATATCGTCTAATTCATTGCACTTGTGAAATTGGCATATATTGTCCAACTTTGATCAGCCTTTTTGTGAAGTGGGAATTTCCATCTACTAGAAGAAATATCCTGAGAACACTGAAATGTTTTCACACAAATAAGAACATAAAGTTCCTTTACCTGTTTCTGGAATTTTAAATGTGGTTGTGAACTTACTATTTTGGTTTGACCTTGAATGACCTCTACCTTATGGATCTTGACCATGAAATTTTCATGTATAAGTACGTGAAATTAGCAATAATTTAAAATAACTCCAGTTTTTGCAAAGACAAGAAATCAATAATGGTTTCCTCAAATTGATAACATATATCAAGGGAACAGAAGAGGGTTATCAAGGTAAGCTCCAAAGACCCCCAGAACATTAGGAATATACATTTTGGAACAGCAGATTTTTGTAAGGAAAAGGATTCATAACTTCCATATAAAAAATCAGATTTAATGAGACTATTAGCTCCTAAAGCGTTAAGTTTAAAAGACTTAAGAACAATACTTGACCCCTCAACTGGAAAAGTGAGAGTATCGCCTTGATATAAATTGCTTGAAATCTCAGACATATAAGTCATTCTTTGAAACATTAACTCCTTGAAGACTGCTCACTTTTTGGAAAAATGAAAAAAATGAAAATGTATATGAATCTACAAGCAAGAAAATGAAGTGAGACATAATAAGCTATATATCATTTTGAAGGCTTAGACTAGACGTTTTTTGAAAAAAAATGTGAATATGCAAACGAAATAGTGTCATTCTGATGTCATAATTCAAGATGGCGCGTTTGGATTTTTTACAAAATGGAATTATTTTAGCAATTAATTTTTTATTGAGACAATTGAACTTGCCATATTGCGAAAAAAATTGAAAACAATAAAATCCCATGTTAAATCGCAACAGGGATTTTCTGGGAATTTAGCATAAAAAGATCTATAATTCTGTGTTTTCAGATTTTTAAATTGAAGTCTCAATAAAAAATTAAATGCTAAAATAATTCCATTTTGAGAAAAATCCAAGTGCACCGTCTTTAATTATGACATCACTATGTCGCTATCTCATTTGCATAATCTCATATTTTCAAAAAACATTTTAAGTACATGTATGTGTCTACTGTCTTGCCCTTCAAAAAGATATATAACTTATCGGGCCTTGCTTCATTTTCTTGTTTCTAGATTCATTTTATTTATTTTTCATTTTTCCAAAAAGTGACCAGTCTTCAAGGAGTTAATATTAAAATTGATCTTTATATACCTCTATTTTTATGATGCCCATTCCAGTCTTTATAGGATTTCTGCTACAGTTATAGGTGTAGAAAGATATACTGTATAATGTTTGATATAGAAAATCTTAATTTGTTAGGCAGAGGTCTGTGTCACTGTCACCAGGTATTAGAAGATCATAAAACCAATTAGTTCATGTTGTTTACATTCCAATCTTTTGATCTTGTAAATCATGATTTAGTATCCATTGATAATATCTTCATTTACTTGGTTGATATGTGAGGGTAAAATGACATGTTTTATTTTAATTTTCAAATCTAAAGTACCATGGAAGTGAGTGGTGTGATTGAGGAATAAAGAACAACCTTGTAGACAATAGAGAGCTTTTGCAAAGAGTTTTTAGCTTAATATATTTTAAGTCCCTATCAATCATATTCACCAGATTTATGAGTAGCAATTCAATTAAAATGAGATGCAGTTGGAGATATGTTTTAGCTATAACCCATTGTGCAAAGAAATTTTAAGGATTTTTATCTTTATTCCCTCCAAGTTCTCAATGCACTTTAGGGCAGGGTAATAAGTTCAACTTGTTAGACTTCTGATGCTTCATAATCAGGTAATCTTCATAACTCAGCCCATTTTACATACAAACCAAGATTATTTTTATGATTTCTTCAAACAAGTTATGCAAAATACCAGATAAATGTAAGTTTTTATGTTCAAAAATCAAAACTTGTGAAAACATCATTCTTTAACTTGAAGATCTAATGTCTACATTAATATCAGTGATTTATTTTCTTCAAGAAAATACATGCAATTGCTCATTTTTTCCATCCCTGTTGTGGCATTGCTCAACAAATTCATTGGGCAACAATTGTCATTATAAATTATAGTAACCTACATACAGAGACATTGAATTGAAACAACTCAAATTGAATTAGCTTTTCTATTGCCATAGGTTTTAATTGCTTTTAGTTTACTTTCCTGAACTTTTGACAAATTAGAGAATCACTTTTGACTTTTATTATGTTACACCATTGGAAAAGAGTATTTTCATAGATTCAATTAAGATATTCATGTTTGAATAGTAAAACCAGAACACCTTTATTCTGAAGACATCTCAGTCTTAACACTCGCTTGGTCAATAACCCAGATGCGAGTAGAAATAATCTTGATTTACGTCATTAAAAATTCTAAATTCAGTCAAAGTAATATCATATTTGAAATCTACATGTAAAATTACATCTAGAAATGTGGTTTTAAAAAGTGTTTATCAACTTTGAAAAATTTATTTTCTTTGAAAATGTGACTTCTAGCTCGGGGAGATTCGACATAGACCCCATGCTATAAAATCACAAAAAATGAAATATCTTTTCTTTTAATGGACAGATAATATTTTGCTTTACTGGACATATTTTCATTAGTATAAGTATCAGACACATAAGGGTTATATGAAAATTGAGCCACTTAAATTGATAATATTCAAGTTTAAGGGAACTTTCTTATATACCTGCCATGTTAATTGACCCGAATCAGCCACCTGGTGGTGAAACTGGTAACTACCTACTCGCATTTGGGTAATTTTGCTTTATTCTTCCATTGTTAAAGAAAACCTTTAAATGAAAATACTTATATCCAATTTATTAGAAACAATTCATCATTCTAGGGTGACACAAAAAATGACACCCACCTTACGTTGCATAACTTGTTTGTATATTAACATATAGACTTGTCCTTTGGCACGCAGACATAATGCGAAAGCACCTCCAAAGATTTCAGATGTGTAGCTCAAGTTCTAAATGTCATCCATTCCTTTGCAGATACCTATGGATTCTACACAAAAAAATGCCAATCAGCTTTTGTAACATAACTTTGTAAATACTAATAATTTTGGCTAATAATTTTTATGTAGTTGTCATTGATAAAATCATTATAACTTATTTCTAAAATTATGTTACAAAAGGTGGGTGTCATTTTTTCTGTAAGATCCAGTTGTGCCAGCAAAGGAATAGATGACACATTATGTAACTCTCATAAATGTGCATCTAGGTGAGCTAGTCATCTGAAACTTCTTGTGGATTTGCAAAATGGAATGAAGTTTTAATGTGCGAAAAAACAAGTTAGAATTTTTGCAGACAGTGTTTTTTTATTGTGTCATGCAGTACCTTAATCATGTTAAATCAATATAAACACCCTCCACTTATTGAAAGTATATTTTTATTCCACAATGAAACAACATTTCTGTTGTTCCAGACCCATGTGTTGGAGAATTACTTGTAACTGGGCCAAGGAGTGTTGTTCTCGATGATCAGATCACATCATCATCAGACTGGGACCGGAACCATAGGGCTGCCAATGCCAGGTTACACAGTATAGGAAAGAATGGCCGCACAAGTGCCTGGTCTGCAGCGGTCAATGACCTGCTACAGTGGATACAAGTAAGTAGGCAAGGCATTAGTAAGTTTCTAAATGTAGGGCTTGTTACTTAACTATATCAAAACTTTGCACATGCGTGGCAGAGGATAAAACATGTGCTCATGATTGTTCACATGATCATATCCTGTAATTTGATTAACATCATACACTAATGGGCGTGAGTTAAATAAACATAACTATGAATACCAAACCAATACCAAAGAATTATGGGAGCTTCTCACCTCCTCTGGGCTGCAGAGATTTAGAGGGCCAAAAATCTTCTATCATTCTCTTGACCCTTGAACGAAAAATACTGTAAAAAATAATTTCAATTTAAATCTGAAACAGAATTAGGTTTCCTTGGGCAGTGTCTCTGGCATTTAAGATAAGTAAATTTTTTTTAGGTAGATTTCCATTACCAAAGGAAAATTCTGGCCATAGTGATACAGGGCAGAAGAGAGTTTGACCAGTGGGTGACACATTACAAGATGGCATACAAGTATAACACTACCAATAAAACACCTGTGTTTCAAGACTACCAAGAGCCAGTTGGAATCATTAAGGTATGTACTACATGTATATACCCTTACAATGTGAAACATAGATTTCCTGATTTTTAACTTTATTATGTCACCACCAGAAGTGAAGACATTGTCTCCAAGTATTGTCTCCAACTTTTTTTTGTTGACAGCAGTTGATCCTCAGCATTCGTCAGTTGCATCTGTAACAAATGGACAGTGTTTGTATCAAATGACAAGTGGTGACATTTTGCATGTTAATGCCTTGCCTGGCTACTTATGAAGTGACTGCAATTCTTATTGAGAAAAGCACAAGTTTGATTAAGCTATAGCTAATCTCTTGTGCAGAGTGCAGATGAAATTCTTTTTAATGAAGCAACAATTGAAAAGGGTGTTTACTTGTAGGAATTTTCTGCTAACTCTGATAGGAATACCCCAGTCACCAACAGGTTGCTGCGACCATTTATCAGTGATGTCGTGCGCATTATTCCAACAGCCTGGCATGGTCACATCTCAATGCGTTTTGATATTGAGGGATGCTTTCCAGGTAAGTTAAAATTTAGAATATGCTTTGAAGGACATGTTTTGCAGCCACGAGAGGAGATGGGTAAATCTGGGATGAATCACCCTAGGGTAGATGCATTATTAAGGCTCTTACTGATTCTTAATATGTATGTTGTAGTGTTTAGTATCACATAAATTATTCTAATTTGTTTCTAAAAATTTCTAAAATAAATGTGATTAAACTGGAAATGTTTTTTTTATTTATGTTTCAGATTGTCCAGGTGATCCTAACAACCCGTGTAGTGGACATGGCACGTGTCTGGGTGATGTAGGTCAGGCGACCAGTTGTCAGTGTAATCCTGGTTACTATGGAGACAATTGTGAATGGTGCTCTGATACTAGTCATTGCTTCACCAAAGGTATATGCACCCCCCCCCCCTCCAAAGATCTACCAACAGGACGTCCCTTTTTGGCCCATGTGTTAAAGCATGTTATGTTAAAAGCATTTTTGTCACACGATTAATTCTTCAACATACATAGGGTCCTGTATAGGTTTATCCTTCATTCGGTCTTTTTCACTTCAAAATAAGAACTGTATAGATATGTCATAGGCCTAGAAGACCACTTGATAAAATCCCAGGCTTAAACACCATATCCATGGGACATCATTGATTGCCATACTGTTGAAAGAGAGTGTGTTTATTTTTCAGAGAACCTTTGTGTTGGAAATATGAATGGAGGATGCCATGAAGATGCGATTTGCTCATATAATGAACAGGTAACAAACATGCTCATATTATAATCTCCTGAAAGCAATGATTTGCCACAAATGTGTAGTTAAAGGTGCAACAATTAGTGCATTCATGCATTCAAAGATCATGGACCAGAGTCGAAATATATCTAAGTTTGGATATTTCATCAAGACTATCATGTATTTTTGTTATTCCAAAAGAAACCCCCTGGATGAGCATTATTTCAGCTGATATTCCTCTTGAAATGTGGTGGATCTTAAAAATTTATAAGTGGGACTCCCTTTATAGAAGCTTTGAACTAAACTTCTTAATGCTGAAATTTATAGTTTATCCATACGTTTTAAGAAAATAGGTATGTCAAATAAGATGCCAAATATTGCCCTGATTGCTTAGAAAAAGTAAAACTTTTCAAATTTTCTCTACAGGCCTTTTTGCCCCTTTAAGTTCCTAAATAATAAATGAGATGAACACATGATAGTAAAAATATTTTAGTAATATGAGAAAAAGACATAACAAGGATTCACATGAGGCCAAAAAAGTTTAAAATGTAGACAATGTTTTGTTAAAATTGCTGGCTGGATCTAAAACTACCTCCTTATTATGCAGTGTTTGATGTTCACTTGATTATATAACAGAACATTGAAAATGAAACACATTTTAATGCACGTTTTGTGTAAATTGTCAAAGGTAGAGTATGTGAGAAATTCTGTCACTGATATACCTGTCACCTTGGTTAAATATTGTTAAATATTGTATTCACCTCTAAGCTCAACCTTCCAGAAGAATCTCAAAAGGTGCGACTGTAAAGATGGTTATCATGGCATTGGTGACAGATACTGTTTCCCAGATGGTGGCGTTTGTGTAATAAACAATGGAGGCTGTTCCCAGAATGCAACATGTTCATATACAGAGCTCCCTGAAGAGGAGAATATAGATGTCGCCTGCTACTGCAATAATGGCTTTGTTGGAAATGGCACACTTTGTAATGCTGATATGTTAGACACACTTGGGAAACTTAATGACACCCAGGGGTTCTACAATCAACTCTTTAAGTCTAAAGATTCAGACAAACAAATGAGAGACCTTAGAGAACAACTGGGAGATATCAAGACTCAAATGACTGTATTTGCACCAGTCTCATCAAACTTAAACAAAACAACAGTGAGTAGAGTATTTCATTTCTCTGAGTGGGTTCAGAAAGGGGCAACATTAGAAAACATTTTAATTGCCAAGAAAAAAAAACCTTGAGAAGCATCGATTAAAGTATTACATATTTGGACTTATTGTACAAAATATCATATGAAATAGATACTATACTAGTAATATTAATAATGATGAGTAATGGTCAATGATTTAATGTCCATTGACATGTATGTTTCAGCCATTGACATATGCAGACTTAGAAAACTATGTGATAGAAGATACAATAAGGCTGGAGACATGTGAGAATAATACACAGATCACTTCCTTGTCTGGTAGGACCATGTTCATAATACAGAAGGTAAGATTCTAAAGGGATTGTGTTTTTTACCTCCCCCTACCAAGGTGGATTTCCACCTGCTGATCCACCACACCATGTAGGGTCAGTTTTTCCGCCAGAATTAGACTATTCAACCAAGTAAATACTAATGGCAGTTGATCATTTGTCCAATGGTTGACTGCAAAATTTATTATTTACAAAATCACAAATTAGCAATCTTTTGACAAAATGATTAACCTCTTGACTACCTGGAGTGATGAGATCTCTCGTCACTTCAGAAATGACCTTGAAATCAGTGTGACGAGAAAATCACTAAAATTGCTCTTATTTGAACAATTTTTATCCAATTTACACAAAAATTGTGTGCCCTTAATGCTTCATTCTTTGCACTGACAAGAATATGTTTCCTTAAATTCTTTAACCTAGAATCAAATATTTTGTTATAGAATGGTGGATTTTTTCTTGATGATATTGAGATTCTGGAGAGAAACATCCCATGCACCAATGGAATGCTACATCTCCTGGCCTCTCCCTTCAAGCTGCCCATCCATCATCCATCCTCTCCATTCAGCCGGCCTATAAAGACATCCAATGGGCATGAATATGGGAATGCTGCTCTTACAATTGGCATGTCTGTTTTTGGAGTGGCCATCATACTGGTCTGTGTTGTGGTCCTAGTAGTGCTGTTGTACAAAAGGTGGAAGCTGCAGCACCAGGATGAGGATTTACAAACCCTCATTAATACATTCTTTGTAAGTAAAATATGTTTATTTTATAGTGTTATACTTCATTTTGTCCAATAGATTAGGTTTTTGAGTAATAGTTCATATGAGAATAATATATGGTTGTTTTATGTTTTAATTAAGGTCAAAACATGGCATGATTGATTCAAAAACATGTGAATATTATTAAAGTTATTGCTAGACAAATGTACATGTCTTATATACACATATACATGTAATTATGATCACTAATATTGTAATAAGATAGGTATCTGAAATAAAATGTATTTCAGGGGAAAAGAAACAAAGATGAAGTTTCTGCATCATACACTAAACATCAAGATCCAACAAGCACTACAGACTTTGAAAATCCACTCTATGCTGACAGTGGTCCCTCTGTGACACTCAAGTGAAATGACATACCTATACCAACTGATTATGATTAATCAAGTCCTTGTTTGGATGTGCCATAAGGATTAATGACCAACCAATCAAACTCGAAGTACAAGCTGTAATTACCAATTGATTCAAATACATGTATTGTCCATTTCTGATTTTAATTACATTTAAATTCTGAAATGAAAATATTTGAATTAATAACAATCTTAGTGATGGACATTCATAATATACTCGTCATAGTAATATGTTGAAACTAGATAAAAGCAACACCAAATGACACGTATGAACACATTTTTCGCAATGGCCACTTTATTAGCTAGACAGATTTGCTCCATTTAAAGGGAGATACTGAGTAGGTCTCATTCATATCAAAAAGATTAATTGTAGTATTTTCAGCAAAATCCTGTTTTGGACTTAATCACTAATTGAATTATTTACTCATTCACCTTGAAATCAGGAAGTGCAAGATCTCAAAACATGCTTTGGGGTCAGAGATATCATACAATAGATGTATCATTGTGTCAAGACGTACCATCATGTTCAAAAGTATCATTGTGTCAAGATGTACCATCTTGTTCAAAAGTATCATTGTGTCAAGACGTACCATCATGTTCAAAAGTATCATTGTGTCAAGACGTACCATCATGTTCAAAAGTATCATTGTGTCAAGATATACCATCATGTTCAAAAGTATCATTATGCTGAGAATTATCATTTCAGATGTATCATTGTGCCATTTATTATTCCCATATAACTCATGAAGCGTTCGATTACATTATCATTTATTGTGCAGCTCTATAAGTGTCATCTTCTTATAAATCGTAGTCTATGTATATGTAATAATCTCACACTTATGGATGACACTTATGGATGTATGGAGTTGTGCCGTAAATGATGAGGTAATCAAACGCTTCATAAGTTACTGAGTTGCGATATCTCTCTATTTTGTCATGAACATAACATTTCTTAGCTTTTATACAAGTTTTCTGTATTTTTATATTTTGCTTAAACTGTTTTAACAAAAATGATACAAAAATATTCATACATGTACCTATATAATGTATCAATTGAAATGAACAGGTTTCATAACAAATCAATATTTGTAAACAATTATTTGAATAAAAAAGCACCTTTGAATAACCCAGATGCGAGTAGAAATAATCTTGATTTTCGTCATTAAAAATTCAAAATTCAGTCAAAGTAATATCATATTTGAAATCAACATGTAAAATTACATCTAGAAATGTGGTTTTAAAAAGTGTTTATCAACTTTGTAAAAATAATTTTCTTTGAAAATGTGACTTCTAGCTCGGGGAGATTCCGCATAGACCCCATGCTATAAAATCACAAAAAATGAAATATCTTTTCTTTTAGTGGACAGATAATATTTTGCTTTACTGGACATATTTTCATTAGTATAAGTATCAGACACATAAGGGTTATATGAAAATCGAGCCACTTAAATTGATAATATTCAAGTTTAAGGGAACTTTCTTATATACCTGCCATGTTAATTGACCCGAATCAGCCACCTGGTGGTGAAACTGGTAACTACCTACTCACATTTGGGTAATTGTCCCTAACATATAAGTATAAAATATAACATCATTTTATAAAACAACATATAAATTATGTTCAATATCTTGAAATTATTGGTAATACCTGCCTCTCGATGCCCTTTCAAAGAAAGACAGCTTAACAGATGAATATTATATAAAGTATGTAATGAACACATTTTTTATTCATGTAAAAGATGAAATAGCCCTGAAAGCAGACACTTAATGAGCAGAACATACATGTAACTAAAATGATTTGGTTATTTTAAAATCACACATATCAGTATTGATAAAGCTGCCTTATTGTGTGTAAAGACTTCTGTAGCGACACATTGCCAAATTAAATACAATTTATAACTTTATAACTGATATACTAGATGAAAAATGTTTTGTTTCATTTTATTTTACTGTGTATTGATACGGATTTCAATTTGAAATTCAGAAATGTTCAGTTACAAATATATAGAGATTATCCTATATGAGGTTCAGGATATTGGGATTATCCCGAGGCCAATATAATATATTTGCCCGAGGGCCGCAGGTCCCGAGGGAAAATATATTATATTGGCCAAGGGATTATCCCAATATCCTGAACCGACTATAGGATAATATGTTTATCCCATACCAATCTTGGTCATTTGGTTAACATTGTTCAATCATGGAAATATTCTAGAATATTCATGTCCAGTTTTGTTTTCTTGGCCGTGGGCGGATTTTCCTGTTCTCTCAAATATTCCCACATTTATTTTCTCAAATTTCTGATTGATTAAGTGGATGCTCCTTCTCTTTTTTAAACCATCAAACAGATCTAAATTGTCTGTGTTTTCTCCATTGTCGTTTACAGTCATAACGCGAACGTTACAAATTATGAGCAAATATGCGAGCGGCGATTGTGACGTAGCGGGCAGATATACTATATCTGCCCGCTCGGAGCAGGACGTAAAGCTATATCTGCCCGCTGATGAAAATATAAGTTTTTACAAACCGGCTTTATGTACCTGTAACACGTCCAAGTATGGGATAAATATATTTATACAGGGGGAGTAAAAGGGTTGATCTGAGTAACTCAGCATTCAGTATGACTAGAAGACTATGTTTACACTCATGAGACATATTTCAATCATTCCTTCCTCACATTTCCCTTTTATCACTGCCATGAAGCCATTCACATTTTACATACTTTGAACACAGAATATGTAAATAATATACAATTAAGATATAAAATAAAATCTGTCTTCAACTCATTGCTGGCCAAAGCTATTTTGGAGATTTTCTCCTGGTGACCAGGCCATTTTGATGAAAAATTGAGCAAATTTGCATGTTTTCATATAAGCATAAGATGGACTGTCAGATATGAGATAAAATAACTAATTGTATATAATATATACAGAATATCACATCATTTTGAGTGATATCATCTTTATCGCCGAGTTGATAGCAAATATCAACACGAGTGAGTGAAGCGAATGAGTGTTGATATTTGATATCTACGAGGCGATAAAATCATATCAGAAGAAATTATGTGATATTAGGTTTATCCCATGATTACAATCACCTTGTGATGTTCTGATCCAATTTCCAGGACATTGGCAGACAATATAAACTAGAAATTAGAAATATCAATTGAATATTTGAAACACTTTATTTTTACAATTAAAAGTAAATAACATGATATAGTTCGTCATAAATACCATTTTTTAATCGTTAGTTAGCAGCCTTCTAATCAAATTATATACACAATCGTAATTCAATACACCAATGAAACTTAAAGAGAATAAATTAATGAACCTATTTTCTCAAAAGAGAATAAATTATCTGACCTAATTTCCAACAATATTGTGGTGCGAAATGCAAATGTGATATCACACGGATATGCGTGAGATAAACGATATCACACGCATATGAGTTTGATAAACGATTTTCTGGAAAATATCACACGTATTTCAATAATATCAGAAATATCAATAGCTGTTATTGCACAGATAACACATTAATCGTGGGATAAAGCTTCATACTACTTAATTATATGTAATGGCATGTAGATTCTTAGGTTGGATTTCAGTATGCATTAGCCTCTATGGCTTGATTGTTCAAATAACATGAATTACTATTCCTCAAGTGTGACTTTCCGATGCAATATTACGATAATTGTTACATTTACAATTATCACAACCTTGGGAGGCCTGTTCTCAGGGACTCAGTACTAGTTTAGAAGGCTTGCATTTACTATATTGACTTGAGCAATAGCAATAGGTGGAGACACAGTGCCTTCAGATTTCACTATATTGCCCTTTGAAATGATCTTATTGGTATAATCAACCAAAAATCATGACTTACAATCTACATTTACATGAAAATCAATAATTACACCACCTAATCCACTCTATTCTGCCTACCTTAAAGTTCACTGCTGTGCTGGTGCTGCTCTGGCACTCCCATATCATCACTATTCTTCATTAAATGGTAGTAATAATTTATGGCTTGTTCGTAGTTTTTTACTGATATCCTTTCATTAACTCCGTGAAATCTTGGAAGGTCCTCTGGGTACATATAGGTGGGGCTAAATCTGTAGATATTTTTTGAAAGTTTTAGATAATGCTTTGTATCTGTGTTGCCAATCATGAGACCTGAAATGTATATTCTGAGAATTAGAGATGCAAGGATGAAAAAAACTTTAAGCAACATTTAGAATTGTTCATAATGTGTTCTTAACCATTTTATATTATCTCAGAAAATATCCAGATCCATAGATACTTACCTGGTGCCACAACTGCTTTATGGAACACTTGTCTAATGCTCTTTTTGATTGTCTGGTATCCCTTAGCTTTAGTATCATATGGGGAAACAGGATGTGCCTCAACTGACTTTACAGTTCGGATCTCAACTCTTGGGTCATTGATAACATATCTATCATGCTCTATAACCTGAAATTATACAGTGTAGGTAAGTAATATGCTTTATCAACAAAGATTTTGTAAGTCTTGAGATTTAGGAACCAGATGTATTCCAAACATGTTAAAATACTATATAAAACATACACAAGGTACACCCCCAATCTGTTGGGCAGCCAGAAATCCTATTGGACAGTGTTTTAAAGGCTCTTTCAAGTTTGAATCTTAAAGTTTTAATCTTACGTATTATTTATGACAAATTAAGTATTGATTATCTGAGTACCACACATCAATGTGCCATTTTAATCAACATCGAGTAATTCCTTATATCTCTGGTATTCAACATTCCAAACTTCTTACAAGAAGTGTGTTAAAGGACTCTCTACAGACCCCCTAGCTTGAGTCTATGCACTAGTTGGGCCTTTTGTTGTTGTGGAATACTAATAATAATGTGAACTCACTATACCACTGATAGGCTTATTATGACATAACAAATGATCACCTGTTGTAGGGTCTGCCCTGGGTGGACTCTGTGGTTCACTGTTGCTGTTGCCTTGGGTGCAAGTACATTACTCTGGAAATACAAATTTGCAAAAATCTCATTTTTATGTCACCACCAAAGGTGGTGGTTTTTAACCTTCCCAAACAAAATCACTCTTGCTTTAAAATAATATACTGAATTACTGATACCCAACTACCAGGTTCCTACTTAGTATATCTATACATGTACAGTGCAACTTTCTGCAAATCTGGGTTTACCTTGATGCCTGCATGAAATTCAGTCACTGCTGTAGTAGTTCGTACCATAGCATTAGAGCTAGGTTTCCATGACAACACCATGGTAACCAATGGGGAAAAGAGCCACAAGTTGCTCATGAGTGTCTTGAAGCCCAGTTTCATATGTGGGGCTAGTTGTTCAAACAGCCCTCTCTCAGGCCCTGTTCCAAACATACTCGGTTGAGGGCTGTTTTCTAATCTGAAACAATATTCTAATAATAAGCTGATTTTTTAATTTCTAAATAATAAGTAATAAATAATAATTCTAAACAATAATTTGAGAAGAAGAGTATAAGGAAAACAAAAATCAAAATCTTTGGAATTACAGAATACCTGATAAGAGTTAATATTTTACATTTTTTGTAAGAGGTTTTAATCAATATTTTTTTTTTCATAACATATATCATAGGATTCCAATGATACATGTAAATTGACTGATGGGTGGATTCACGAATTGTTTCTTTCTTGAATTAAACAATTTGCAATTTAAAAACCTAGCCATTGCTATCAAACTGTGAAAAAGTGAATGGTTTGGTAAGAACTAAACCAGAATTCATGGAAATTACTTTTGTGATTTGAATGTATGTACAGTATTAACAGTAATGCTCACCGTGCGATGGCATTGGCCAGTATGCCAATAGAGGACTCTTTACCAGGCATAGAGGAGTGCCCCCCTTGGGTCTGAACACTCAGTTCTAGAGTTAGATACCCCTTCTCAGAAGTTCCTATCCTATAATAAAATAATTTTTAATTGAGATTTTACATTTATTCCTTGTCTAACCTGCATTAGCCTCTAGCCTTAGGATTCACTGTATTGTTGTTGATCTCTTGCAAAGGGAACATGATATAAGGTCACGAGGGTCATGCATTTGAAATGCAAAACAGAGTGGAAAGTTAAACACACTAAACCATATACAGATGAAGTTAATAAGACACATCACTCAAATGTTATCAAAATTATGTGGAATCAACATGAAAAAAAATCCTCTTTGAAAATTTGCAAATTATGTACAAGCATGGGCTTTCAACTAGATGTAATTAAAAGCCCATGGTACAAGTTACATTCTGAGATACTGAATATATATTTAATTTTGGAACTTTTTCAGATTATTAATTTATTGAGTGGATGTGCATGAGTAAACTGAATAAAATAGAATATTGAAAAAATAATTACTTAATAATCTGCACATAAGATCACAATTTTGGGTGAACGTGTGAATGGCATGAGTGAAAGAATGAATGGATGGGATATTAAGTATGTGAGGACAATAACTTTCGAAGCAATAAAGGTTATTGGAATGGGAAGCAGCATGCATTAGATTCTCAATCAGCAATAGACAATGGGATCAAATGTCAAATGTCTAAATAATAGGAATAGGATTAAATATTCAAAAATGTATGACTTACAATGCCACAGGTCCCTCCATTCCATTTATGACTCCATCTACTACAGTGAGGCCTTCATCCACAATATATTCAAACTGAAGACCTCTGGATTCAAGAATGTGTCCTATGCTCTGTGCCCCTTCTATTCCATTAACCTAGAAGAAAAAGTACAAAATGTTACATACATTATGGTAATGCTTCCACAGATATGAACCTTTACCTAATATTTTAATTCAGTATTTCAGTGAAAATGAACACAATAAACATACTTATTCAATCAAAATACATATAGATGGAAACAAGGACAGTGTTGAACATCTTTCCTATTTCAGTATTTCAAAATATTTAAATAATACAAATAGTATACGTATCTGTAATATCATACACATGGTACATGTACATGTACTATCAATATCATCTTCATATGAATGGAAGAACATGAAGCAACATGGGCTTGCTGGAGAAATATGGGTATAGTAGTTGAATACAAGTTTTAACAAAGTTCAAAAGTGCCAACCATTGATAGTTACTATGTCTATAGTATAGGTACAGTGTATATAGCTGCATTAGACTTAGATGCCAGTAGAAATTATGTTGATTTGAAACTTTCAAAGTGATATCATATTTTACATACCAGGTTGATCAACACGTTTCATGCACTTTCCTCTTATTGTACCAAAAATTTGGTTACTATGGTAACTCGTGTTTTTGATAGGCGGGCAAATAATTTGAATGGCACAAGTAAAGCACATAAAATGTTAAATATGTCAATTTATAAATATGGTTTCTGAGCTCCTTCTGGCATAGGGGTAGGTCTTATAGTCCTCAAAAAATGTAGTTTCCATTGTTCTATAAAGATACACTTTATTCTCCTGGCGTTGAACCCATTGGCGGAACAAGCATCTGAATCCATCAGTAAAAGGTCTGTAACGTTCGCATATCTGAATCCCTTCATCTCATCCTTCATCTGTCCAAACACACCAAAACCACAACTCATCTCATCTGTTGAATATGAAGCATGGGGGAGTTGTTCCATTTGAAGGTCATCAGTGATAGTGCTATTGACAAGAGCAGATGTATGGGATGAGGCATTGTCGTGGTGGTTCAGTAATGCTATGAAAATGCCAAATGTCATGAGGAAACGTTTTCCAGATGGATTCAGACGCCTGTTCCACAACTTTGAGATTTAGAGATATAATGCTTTCTTTGGAGGTGTGATCTGACATTAACTACTTAAAAATGTAAAAATGAAAGTTAAAAAATGTGATTATTCTAAATCTCACAAGCATGAATGCAATATAAGTGTACCACTGTTTTCTCAATTGAACACTTTATCTACACAAAAGTTTTACAAAGTCATCATATTTGAGAAAATTATTCCAAATTAAAGTGTATAATTTTTTGGGCAACCCTGTACCATTTCACCTAAAAATGCAGAGTGTTCATGTTTATCAACTTTATATTATGTTTTTAAAAATATGATTTCTGGAAAGACAGCCATACAATTTTAGGTTTTTGAGGCTCCAGCTTCTTGCCTAAACTGTCCCATGTCATGAATCTAATAACTGGCAATGCCCTTACCTCATCATGACCAAATGCTATGTAGAAAGATCTCTTCAGTTTATGTCCATTCTTGAGTAGATATGTCAATGTCCTTACCTCCTCATCATGACCAAATGCTATGTAGAAAGATCTCTTCAGTTTATGTCCATTCTTGAGTAGATATGTCAATGTCCTTACCTCCTCATCATGACCAAATGCTATGTAGAAAGATCTCTTCAGTTTATGTCCATTCTTGAGTAGATATGTCAATGTCCTCACCTCCTCATCATGACCAAATGCTATGTAGAAAGATCTCTTCAGTTTATGTCCATTCTTGAGTAGATATGTCAATGTCCTTACCTCTTCATCATGACCAAATGCTATGTAGAAAGATCTCTTCAGTTTATGTCCATTCTTGAGTAGATATGTCAATGTCCTTACCTCCTCATCATGACCAAATGCTATGTAGAAAGATCTCTTCAGTTTATGTCCATTCTTGAGTAGATATGTCAATGTCCTTACCTCTTCATCATGACCAAATGCTATGTAGAAAGATCTCTTCAGTTTATGTCCATTCTTGAGTAGATATGCCAATGTCCTTACCTCCTCATCATGACCAAATGCTATGTAGAAAGATCTCTTCGGTCTATGTCCTTTCTTGAGTAGATATTCCAGAGCTTCAAGTATACCCTACAACAATATGGAAGAAGTTGCTCTGAGAAACAGAGGATAGCACTACAGTTCTATTTTGAATGAACTTAAAATTTGAGTACTTACATGTACTATCTCAAACAAAATAAAAAGTTAAAACAATGTGTTAATATTCTTTCAAATTATCAAGTAACAGTTGAATAGACAGATGCGAATAGAAATAATCTTGATTTACGTCATTAAATATTCAAAATTCAGTCAAAGTGATGTCATATTTGAAATCTACATGTAAAAGTACATCTAGAAAAATGGTTTCGAAAATTGTTTATCAACTTTGAAAATTTAATTTTTTTGAAAATTTGACTTCTAGCTCAGGTTGATTCCTCATAGACCTCATGTTACAAAATCACAAAAAGTGAAATATCTTTTCTCGTTTTCTTTTACTGGACATATTTTAATTTGCATAACTATTAGATACAAAAGGGTTATATAAAAATTGAACCACTAAAACAGATGTAATTTAAGTTAAAGGGAACTTTCTACTATACCCGCCATGTTATCTGACCCGAACGAGCCACCTGGTGGCGAAACTGGTAACTACCTACTCGCATCTGCGTTATTGAAAAAAAGATTCATTTTAGTATAAATTAGATCTTGTTATTCTGCACCTCACCACTACTCCATTATTTTCAATAGCAAAAATGGAGAAACATGAACAAAGATATGATCTATAAGTTATATAATAATTTATTTCAAACATACACTGTGTAACATATAGCAGACAGAAATAAAATGCATAAATTGTATAAAAATAATTTACATAATTTCTAACATCTGGCAACTGCAATAATTTGGCATTGTAAAGACAGTTTAAAATGTCCTGGGTTTGAGCATCTCTTGAAAGCCCATGGTTTGAGAGGGACCATTCTATATGGTATGTTGATTATTACATGAACTTGGACTTCCTGGTGTTTCCCTTCAAGTGAATCTTCTGATGTCGGTTCAGGTTCCCAGACTGGGTGAAAGCAGCAGGGCAGGTGTCACACTTGTAGGGCTTGTCACCAGTGTGGGTCCTGACATGCTTGGAGTAGGTGGAGTAGTCACTGAAGCCACGACGACAGAACTCGCAGCTGAATGGCTTCTCCCCTGTGTGTGTCCTGGCGTGTGTCTTGAGGGTGGCACTCTGGGCGAATGTCTTCTGGCAGATGTTGCAGGAGTATGGTCGCTCACCAGAGTGGACCCTGATGTGGTTTTTGAGGTTGGCACTATTCGTGAATCTCTTTCCGCAGAAATCACAATGAAGTGTAGTCTTCCTGTTGGAGATATTGCTGCGTTGTTTACGTTTCGGTTTCTCTGGGAGTGGTGAGTTGAAGCTTGATGTGGTGCTAATAGAGTCACCTTTGAGATCATTCACCATGTCTCTGAGGATGGAGTCATTCACAGTGGAAAAGATAGTTGGGTTGACATCCTGGAGTGTGTTGTCAGCAGAGCACTGAGAGTTGGATATGTTGTCACACTGATGTGGCTCCGTGTGGATTACATCGCTAGTACATGTACTGTTGATGTCATCTACCATTTGCTGATACAGAGTTTCATTCATGTTAGACTGGATGGTGGGGGTGATATCCTGTATAGCTGTATCCAAACTTGGTGTGAGGTTATAATAGTCCACAGTTGGTGTGATATCCATGACATATTCACAGTGATGAGTGTCATCTGAATATGTGGCAGGAGAAATTGCCTCAGGTGATGGAACTGGAGTTGTATGTACGAGAGGTGTGGTATCCCTGTTACCAATCTCCTCATCCAATAACACTGCAGCAATGTCAGACACTTTCATATCAGGCAGTGGATACAGAAAGTCCAAATCAATACAATCCTTGATTGATTCCTTTATCGTATTGTCCATTTTACTGCTGTCGTTGCTGCCAAGCTGCTGGTTGCTAGGCTCGTTGCTTGATGTTACATATTTCATGAGGCAGCTGTCGCCATAGCTATAAGAAGATATATCCAAGAGTTGTTCTGTTCCATAATAATCCATTCTGAACAATAAGATTTTATATTTCTAAAGTTATTGTTATAAAGTTAGTAATTGTTTGCTTGTTGTTTGCTGTTTATAGTAGTTCATGTGCTGTAGATTGCTCTAACAATGAATAATCTTCCTTATTCCTTTAGTGTTTATATACAAATCATGGGAGCTGATTTTTAGGATCAAAAGGATTCATTTGTAGGATCTAAAAATAATTAGGTTAGGATTAGTGATCAAGGGATATAGTCAATGATTTCATTGGTTTTAATCTTGTTGTTTTAATCTAACCTCTGTTGATCATCAAACAGATTATAACAATTCTGAAAACTTTCTTGAGAATTTTTTACTTCAAAAACAAAAGCTGATTTCAAATAGCTATAATTTTAAACCTGCTTATCAAATAATTATTACGTCTTACTACTACTAGATATTAATCTTGTTGGAATCAAGAGAATGAAATAATGTATGCATGTATTTCAAGATTACTCCATGGTCAATAAGGGGATTACAATATAAATAAATAAACAATAAAGGATTACAATATAAATAGATAAACAAAGAGTTTGTGTTGGTGTTTGGTTAAAAAGTTAAAAGTTTGAAAAAGAACACTATTATTGTATCATTTATCTTTTTTGTGCTTCAGATAATCCAAAAAAGTCACCTTATGAAAGAATTCTCGATAATTGAGATAATCCCCTGTGTATGACTTCTGTATATTATACTGAAACATGATACATGTATATGCATTGTGACATAATTCAGATTTATCAATAATTAATTTGTTGGGACTTGCTACTCCATGAGGTTGCCATTTTCTTGTTTTGCATTTTATTCTATTTATGCAAACACACACGTTTAAACAATTTCAAAAACAACTTTGATTGAAACAAACATGTTTTTAAAATCACATTCATACATATAAACAGAGACATATAAACATGTCTCTGATATAAAACACCAGGCAGATAAAACATTGTACCAAAACCTCTAATAATCTTTTTAATTTAGAATCACAGATAAATGTAACATAAAAATGAAAGTAATATTTTCAGAATTTGCTTCCATCCCTGTGTCATCCTTTAATCATGGTGATCTATTTACAAATAATAAAAAAGGAAAAGTATTAAATATACATGTACCTTTGAAGTACTAGACCATGGGCTTCCAAGAGAACCAATGATTAAACATTCAATGGGCAATATTTCAATCTCTTTGATGGTAATATCACGGATTAAAACTTTGATATTTTTCAACAATTACTTTTCATATTACTTGTACCTGTAAAAGTTATTCTTGTTATTATCTAAACATGCTTTTGCATGTATAAAACGAAAAGGCTATTGTTTTTTTTTTGTCATAAATACAATTTCTAGTGATCTTGTTGAATATCAGACCATGGGTTATCAAGAGACCTACAATTTCAATCAGAAATTATTTGAAGTCTGTTTAATTTGCTGTTTCAGCCAGATGATTTAAAACTTCTTTCTCTAAAAACTATTGCAATCATTCTTTTAATGAACATAATCTGTTTCTGGTTTGAGGAAATATAAATATTTAATCTGATATATTATTTTTGTAACTGTTTTTCAATAGAAGTAAACCAAACACAACTCTTTGTTTATATTGTAATCCCTATATTGATCATAGGGTAATCTGTAAATAATTATATGTATTTCATTCTCTTGGTTCCAACAAGATTAACGAGATATAAATTGATTAACCACCTGAATCCTTTAATCCCTGACTGATCATTGTGATCTAGTAGAATCTATTTCAGAATTGTTATAATCTGTTTTGTTATAACCTCTGTTGATGATGATCAACAGAGGTTAGATTAAAACTTTGATGTTTACAACAAGATTAAAACCAATGAAATCATTGACTATATTCCTTGATCACTAATCCTAACCTAATTATTTTCTGATCCTACAAATGAATCCTTTTGATCCTAAAAATCAGCTCCCATGATATGTATATAAACACTAGAAGAATGAGTAAGATTATTCAGTGTTAGAGCAATCTACAGCACATGAACTACTATAAACAGCAAACAACAAGCAAACAATTACTAACTTTATAACAATAACTTGAGAAAAATAAAATATTATTGTTCAGAATGGATTATTATGGAACAGAACAACTCTTGGATATATCTTCTTATAGCTATGGCGACAGCTGCCTCATGGAGTATGTATCATCAAGCAACGAGCCTAGCAACCAGCAGCTTGGCAACAACGACAGCAGTAAAATGGACAATACGATAAAGGAATCAATCAAGGATTGTATCGATTTGGACTTTCTGTATCCACTGCCTGATATGAAAGTGTCTGACATTGCTGCAGTGTTATTGGATGAGGAGATTGGTAACCGGGATACCACACCTCTCGTATCTACAACTCCAGTTCCATCACCTGAGGCAATTGCTCCCGACACATATTCAGATGACACTCATCACTGTGAATATGTCATGGATATCACACCAACTGTGGACTATTATAACCTCACGCCAAGTTTGGATACCACTCTTCAAGATATCACCCCCACCATCCAGTCCAACATGAATGAAACTCTGTATCAGCAAATGGTAGATGACATCAACAGTACATGTACTAGCGATGTAATCCACACGGAGCCACAGCAGTGTAACACCATATCCAGCTCTCAGTACTCTGCTGACAACATATTCCACGATGTCACTCCAACTTTGTTCTCCACCGTGAATGACTCCATCCTCAGAGACATGGTGAATGATCTCAAAAAGGACTCTATTAGCACCACATCAAGCTTCAACTCACCAATCCCAGAGAAACCCAAACGTAAACAACGCAGCAATATCTCCAACAGGAAGACTACACTTCATTGTGATTTCTGCGGAAAGAGATTCACGAATAGTGCCAACCTCAAAAACCACATCAGGGTCCACTCTGGTGAGCGACCATACTCCTGCAACATCTGCCAGAAGACATTCGCCCAGAGTGCCACCCTCAAGACACACGCCAGGACCCACACAGGGGAGAAGCCATTCAGCTGCGAGTTCTGTCGTCGTGGTTTCAGTGACTACTCCACCTACTCCAAGCATGTCAGGACCCACACTGGTGACAAGCCCTACAAGTGTGACACCTGCCCTGCTGCTTTCACCCAGTCTGGGAATCTGAACCGACATCAGAAGATTCATCTGAAGGGAAACACTAGGAAGTCCAAGTTCATGCGATAAACAATCAACGTACCATAAAACATACACCTGTATTCAGGCTTATATGCAATGGACAGTTTATACAGAGATATAATGCCAAATTCCACATAGTTGCCAAATGTTTAAAAAATCAATAATTCTGTGATTTATTGTTTTAGTCTACAAATGCATATACTGTACATGTATATTAAATATATCTGAAATAAATAAACAATGCAATTAAAAAATCTCTATTAGTTCTCCAATGAGATAACTAGATAACAGTAATGCCAAAGCGTAGCAAATCCCATCGAACATCCATGACTGGTATTTTTACAATGAAGTTTATAGCAAAAATCGTAAAATAACACATAAAAAATGCCCACAATTTTCAAAATGGTTCCTCACAAGCCAAATTGTCATCAGAAAGTGTAATATGCTTCTAAGTAGGCACATACAAAATTTCAACAAAAATCAGCCATTTTTCAAAATGGCCGCCTACTCCCTAAAGTATCATTAGACAGTGTGCCATGCTTATATTCACATATCACAGGCTGTCCATCTGTCCCGAAATTTGCGTATTTGTCTCACATTTGCTGGAAAATTTGAAGTCACGCTAGTTTTATTTGCATTTTACCTGATTATTGTGAAACAAAAATATTTTTGTAGAAAAACTACAAAAAAGTGATCGCTGATAAAGCAAAAAGACAAATGCCAAAAAAAAAACGAACGCATTTTAGTTTAGACTCTTTATGAGGATACCATATATGTAACGCATTTTCCTCGAAATATTTCGTATTTGAGTTATTGCCCGGACGGACAGATGGACAGGCGGATGTACGGAAGGACATACGTATGGACGGACGAAGGCATTCGCTATATCCCTCCAAACTTTGTTCGATGGGATAATAAGTGAATAATAATCCCAGTTTGGAGAATGTGAGAAAAATTCAAAATCTGATCTTTCTAAATAAAAATGATTGCAACAAGGTACATGGTGAATAAAAACATGTCCTTCATGTGGAAAAATGGTCTACATTATTACCAGTTTATGATAACTGCAATATTATTATCACAATGGCCTCTCTTAATTAAAGAGAAATATATTCACTTACCATTACCATATGTTTGTCATCAATTGTACCTCTTCCATAGATAAACCCATTAATAATATCAGCTGCAAATGGTGGAGCTTCCCATGTTTCATGTGATATGGGCACAACATCTAAATGTGCCATCAGTAGATATGGCGTAAGTGCACTCTGAGAGCCTTCTATCCGGTATAAGAGACTGTAGTTGGCAACTGTTTCCATGGTAACCAGAGGTGAACCATGAATGGCAGGATATGCTGCAAACAGAAATTGACATGTATATTTATTCTGTATTATTTTAGGTTAGTTAAGTCGAGGATTTAAGGTGACATTAAATGGAAATAATGTCACTAAAATGGTAGAATGAGAATGATTTAATTTGCAATAACATTTCCAGCATCAAAGGCTCTTATGTTTGACTAAGTACATACATTGTTCATCAAAGTGTTTCAACCCTGGATAGCAAGTAGCTAGCCCAGCTGTTGTGGCTTAAGCCTTTATAGCTCAAGAGTAAGATCATCAGACTTTGGATCTAAGGATCCTGGGTTCGATTCCCATATGAGACATTGAATTTAGCACTTCTTTCATGTCTGTATCTGGCTTGTCACACTACACGCGTTAGTTAGGGCACGGACCTGAACTCTATGATGCGATAACTTGTATTATTGCATCAAGAGTTAAGAACCTGTGTTACACACCCTTATTCTGTTGAGTGTTCGATAACAGCTTCTTGGCCCAGTAGGGTAGGTTACCGAGCTGATGGAAGTCTTGAGCCAGCTTAGCTGTGTTCAGTAAGGTGGGGGAGTAACCAGAGAAACTACTAAATGCTTTGAATATGAAGAACCAGAGACTCACACCGGAATAGCCTAACAATGGTTAAGTCAGATGCCGTTGTCACAAATGGTGAACACAACCGTCGCTTCAACTCTTCAATCACTTGGTCCTCATTTCATTGGACTTTAACGTCGCCAATTCTGTGCATGTATTAAGGTACAGCTGGAAAGTAACATTTTGGTAAAAAATTCCTATACCAGCACATGTTATTTTCTGGTACAAAATAAAATATGAAGACATGTGTCAATTGCCTTGCTTTTTTCAGGAAAGTATCATTACATTGTCTTCTTTAAGAATATCTAGTAGGAGTTCAATGGGAACTCCAGGAAATTCTGATATTAAACACTTTCTATTTTTCCAAATTTTCTTTCAAAGTTTCCAGACAACACAGGAGCTACCATTGACCTGTTTCCAGGTTTACTAAAAGTAGACAGTATAATGATACTTTCCTGAAAAAAGCAAGGAAATACACACATGCCTTCATACTTAATTTTGTACCAGAAAATAACATGTGCAGGTATAGCAATTTTTTACCAAAATGTTACTTTCCAGCTGAACCTTAAGCTCTTGTGATAATGTATCATATGAAATCCCAATTATATCAAATTGGGTCACTTAATACATGCACAAAATTAGCGACGATAAAGTCCCATGAAACGAAGACCAAGTGATTGAAGAGATGAAGCGACGGTTATGTCCGGCATTTGTGACAACGGTATCTGACTTTACCATTGTCGGGCTATTCAGGTGTGAGACTGGAGCAAGTGGTTGAAAATGATGAATAGCTTACAAGATTTGATAAATTCAACATACTGCAGCATAGGTTCTCTGTTGAAATCATGTTCTTTTCTGGCAATTGTTTCAAATTGTAACGCTTTTCTGAAATTTTCTAAGACATCCCCTTCTGCCTTGATGAAATCTGTGTCTTTTGGATCACAGTCAATTACTCCAGGAGGCTTATCTCCAAATGTCAATGTTCTGATGATAATAATGAGGAATAAAATGAGGAAAAATCCTCCCAATAATAATGTTGTTTTGCCCATGGTCTCAAAGGTTAGGTTACATCCGTGTTTACTAAATGTCAAACTTGAAGAAACTGTATGTCTTTATTTCATTTGAATTTAGCATTGTTCAAATTTTAACTATCGAAAGTAATCAAATAAAAAGATAATTATTTTATTGATATATTTACAAAACAATGTGTCAATTTTTTTCTTTACTGTGATAGTTAGTGTTGAACTAGTTTTAAATCGTTTTAAAACTAAGTTGCTCATTTGGACTTTTTAAAATGGCGACACCCATGAAAAATATTAGTGGACAGTGAGTTAATCTTTTGATAATTTTGCTCCGCGCCTGTTGGCTTTAACCATATTAAAGTCCAATTATTAAGATAAACAATATATAAACATCTTCTGAACTCAATCGCTAGCATTTTTTGATAGATCACCTTGCTAAAGAAGCGTAATACTTCATAAGTTTAATAATTTCCCAATTATCGCCCACATAGACTTTTTACATATAATAAAATTTATGTTTTCCATGAGCTTTTGTTTAGCTTGCTGCTGTAATATCAGGCCCATCTGTATATTTTAGAATATTTCGATGATTGTTCTTCGACAACGTGTTTGTAATTTGGTCTCTAAGCTCTACCCACCTTCACCACTATCTCATCGATCCAAGAAGTTGAAAGCCTCGATGGCACTGAGTCGATTTGAATATGTGAAACAGTTTGAGACTGATGATCGATGTCTTCCTAATTGCTGGATTGTTGTGCGCATAGATGGAAAGGGATTTCACAGGTATGCCAATGATCCAGTTATCATTACATGAATTTACATCTATTTTTACATGTCAGTCCCGTAGTCTATATCCAATAGACTGAATTTCCTGAGAATTCAGTCTATTGATCATTATGTCCCTCCTGTGGGAAAAACAGGAAATTTCCTGCAAACTATATCAATTTTAGGAAACTTCACTTCCCAAAAATAAGCATTATAACAATTCAATTAAGTAGTAAGGTACAATTAAATGCTATAAAAAGTAACACAGCATATTGTCAAATGGAAATAAAGCTAGGGGAAGTAACAAATATGCAAATTAATTTACCCAGTTGGCCATTTTGAATGGCACTTCCTATGTAAACAAATAATTTTCAATCCCAAATTTTAACATATGTGGGCTATAGTCTGAATATTTTCATTCCAAATTTCAGAAAAATTTCAGACTAGAGGATATAGTCTAGTCAGTCCCATGTCAGGATTTGCCAAGGAGGTTGTACTTTTTAAAAATTCTTACTCTTTAAAAGTACCAATTAGTAGATCACAGGATTTTTTCATTTCATCATATTTTTAAAAACAATATTTCTTCACTCTTCTCTTCACTCTTTGTGCAAAACTGAAAGATGTAGACAATATATGTAATGAGTTATGTGTTCCTGGAAATAACATGAAACTCCTATCAGGATTGCATAAAATTCCAAACAAACAAACTTACCTTATTTTCAGATTTTCTGATCAACACAATTTTCTGAAACCAAATGATGACAGGAGCCTTCACTTGATGAACTGTGCAGCAAAACAAGTGATGACAGAATTCAAGGATATTGTGCTGGCATATGGGCAAAGTGACGAGTACAGTTTTGTATTCAAAATCAATACATCAACATACAATAGGAGGTCAAGGTATATAATTTGGATCTGTTTATTAAAACATCTATTATGATTAGGCATAACAAATCTGCTCAAATAAATGTTCAGTTCTGCAAGAAAAATGATTACTTCTAGAAACATTAGAAAAATCTGCTGCAACACAGAAAATTAGATTTTTGCATCCATTGTTTAAACTATGAAACTCAGTAGACATACAGCAGGAATTCTTATATTAATCAATGTTTAGAGAAATATGACACTAAGGCTAAAGGGATTGTCATCATTTTATCTATAATTTATCATGGATCAGCTGTTTTTGGCATCCTTATAGAAATGTGAGAAATGTAGCTTGAAATCTCTAATTTCACCCTCTAAAGTACCCTATGTTCTTGAAAGTTGCCTTAAACTAAAACTTAACATGTATTTTGTGCTTGTACAAACTGTTGTTAATGACTCAATCATTTAATTTCAGCAAACTGATGACAAATATTTGTAGTTTGTTTGCATCAACATTTGTATTCAACTGGCAGAAATACTTCCATGATGTAAAATTGAAGTACCCACCAGCCTTTGATGGTAGAGTTGTTCTGTATCCTAGCAACCAGAATCTCTTGGACTATTTAAGCTGGCGTCAAGCTGACTGTGAGTATTGCAGGATGAAACTTTCAAATGACCCATATGTTTTGAAATTCAAATAGAAAACAACAACAAGCAGCAACAAAAATAACATTCTAAATTTCTATATTTATATAAGTGCAAGAAAATCTGACATTTCATTCGGAAAAGTTGAGTTACAAGCACATGAGTTTGAAATGGATTTTAAATGCATGAGTGCAATTTACAGTTTTACATCATTAAAGCAGATATGAAATGGTATTTCTAACCTAAAGGAATCAATATAATTTTTTGATAAATGTATTTGGACATGTTTTCTCATCAGTAGTGTGAAAATTATTTCCCTCTAACGATCTTTATAGCTGCTAATAAGCAATATTCGAATTGGTTTAGACATTATTGGCCCCCACGTGATCTCTCACTGGTCCATTAGATCATGACGTCATTATACCAAAATGTTTTGTTATTTGTTTACACAACTATCCTATGGTTGCTGTGACGTTGTGATTACTAAGGAACCAATAAACCAAAGCTATATTTTGCATATGACGTTACTAATCACGTGGGGGCCAATTTGATTGATCGGTCAGTTTTATTTCGTTATCTATGACCGTTAGCAGTTATCTAACATTTATTTTATAATGGCTATCGCAAGAGCTCTACGTTGGGCTTACAATGGAGAAAACCGCATTTTTGTAGCTGCAAGCTATTTCAGTTGTCCTTTAAGTTACATCTGCAAGTACATATAGCATTGATAAAGCACAATTTGCCAAACTTGCCAGACTGTAATCCAAAATGAATGAAGTAAACATAAATTGCTTTTTGTTTCAGGTCATATAAACAATATGTACAACACAGTATTTTGGGCACTTGTGCAACAAGGGAAACTCACCCCTCAGGCAGCTCAGGAGCGTCTAAAGGTAATATTCTAAATAACATAAATTTAAAATAATCCAAGTAAAAACATTACAATTAATGACTGAACCTTTCCCTAAAATAAGGCTTTAAATGTTTCAATCATGTAAAGGAGGGGAAAAATTGTTAGTTTATACCCCTTTTCTCATGTAAATCCAGGGTCCCATTGTTAGAATTCTCTGTAGACAGTATCACTATAAAAATGTATGACCAAATGTGGTGAAGAAAGATGGAGTTTATGAGAAACAGACATGAAAAGCTGTTACTTTTATTCGCTTATTTTAGTATCATCATTCCTTTTTATTTTCAGGGGACTTTAGCAGCAGACAAAAATGAAATCTTATTCCAAGATTATGCAATAAACTATAATGACCTGCCTGAATTCTATCGAAAAGGCACCACTCTCATTCGTGAAAAGAAGGAGGAACAAATAACTCACAAGATACCTCAACAAGATGGAACTTTTAAAGAAAAAGCAGAACTTAAGATAAAATCAGAATTAGTTGAACTTCATACAGATATTATTGGAAGTTCATTCTGGAATAATCATCCAGAAATTCTGACACCAAAATTGAAAAGGTAGCATCAATTTATGGAGATGTTAAACTGGATTATCCTACACTTAGTGTACTAAATGTATAATAACATTAAAAAATAAATTTGATATTTATTGGCAAAATGAATATCCGGAGGATATCGTAACGATATACTCCGGGCGGAGGATATCGTGACGATATACTCCGGAAAACCCAATATGCGGAGGATATTGTGACGATATACTCCGCTTGTTGATTTCCCGCCAAATTGACTCTATTTGGCATGGAATTCATTTTGCAATGATATTATACATTTAGTACACTCCTTGTAAGTGTAGGATAATAAGAACATCCAATGATTTTTTTCAGAATATCATTTTAATCTACTTGGTGATATTGATAAATGCACTCATTCGCTTCGCTCTCTCGTGCAGATATCAATATCACCTCGTAGATAAAAATGATATTCCTCAAAGTCATAGGATATCCTATAAACATTCACTATTTGCTCAGGAAAACATTATGCTGATATCCCGGGGCTGATATAGGAAAAAATGTCCCATAGAAATATGATTATGGACAAGTACACCATTGTTTCCTGTTGTGTACACAAGATATCAATATCTCTTTGCTATTGGCAGAATATGATCAGAATCATTTAACTCTGTGAAACCAAAGTGGAAAATATGAAACAGTTAAAAAATGTGCAAGCTGTGTAAATACTATATGCACTTATAACTATTAACGCTTTATAAGAAAATGTATATCAAAGATAATAAATTCATTGTTTCTACTAAGCTTATGTGTTTGGGGTGATCATTAGATGGGTAGCCCACCTTGTCCAGAAACATCCTTGAAGCCTATGTAAGGGAAGAACCTTTATTAATGTATTAACTTTTCGGCATGGGTTTTACTAAAAATATCATTGATTACCTTTGTTAGAATAACAGCAAATTAATTTTATAGATGACACTGTTGAAATTGGTACATGTAGCTGGATCTAGTCTGCTGAAATTCAAGCCTGTTATAAAATTTAGTTGAAAGTAGTGAACCAAGTTGAAGTCATAGTTATATCGAAGAATAAAACCATATTCATTGGTCAATGCTACTTGAAAATCCAATGGAACAATTATGGAATATGTCAATCATAAAAAAATCAAAGTTGCGTATGACAAATTTTCGTACAAGTAACAAAAGCCAAATGTTTTCGAATGAGATGAGTTGTTTCTTTTCAGAAAGCCAATGCCAGTTTTTTCCTGACATTTCTAGTTTGACATATGGAGCTACCCCTTGAAATATGTGGTTCAATTTCTAGAGTATCTGTTCTTTCATAATACACCACTTGTTTCTCATTGGATTGTATTAGAGCTTCTTCTTATTAATTTACCTGTAGGATACCTAGAATAGTCGTATGAACTTCCATCTTTTGATACGACCAGAACATATGGTTATGTGTATGGTTATATGCCATGTTAATCTTTCCGAAAATAACATGGCATATAACCATACACATAACCATATGTTCTGATCGTATCAAAAGATGGAAGTTCATACGACTATTCTAGGTATCCTACAGGTAAATTAATAAGAAGTATTTTCGGAAAGATTAACATGGCTGAAACTCTCTAAATTGCAAAAGGCCACACATTTACTGCACAGTGCACATTAAATAACTATCTGAAATATACAAAAGTACAACAAACAAGTACAAATGTTTCTTTTTTTATTTTATATACTGTTGCAATATAGTCATTTGATTGCTTATTTTTTAAATTCAAAGTAGTTCCAATCATTTAAAATTTTACTGTACTTCACCCTTGGTATACGCAGCTAACGAAAATTGACCGGTACGGGTCAAAAGCTGGACCGGTACGGGTTAACGGTTTTATTTGAATTTAAAACAGCCATAACTTGCTCAATATTGACTTACTCGAATTTCATCCTGCTTGCAGCGAGAAGACGGACCGGTTCGGGGCAATCTGCTTGCAGCGAGAAGACAGACCGGTTCGGGGCAATAGCAGATGAAATTCTTTGTCACAAAGTTTGGCATTTTTTATAAAATCAAACGCGCGTCATTGAAACTCACAAGATGTAAATAGCATGTCATTTACATCATACCTTGATGGGGAAAAATAGATCTTATATGTTAGAAGAACTAAATAAAAGTTATAGTGAAAATGAGACAGTCGTTCTCGAGAGAAAAGAGCATAAATGCGCATTTAGAGAGTTTTGGTCCGTTTAAAAATCTGTAAAAAATTGGGGTGCTTAAAAGCATATATTTCAAATTAGACACGAGGAAGTCAATATTGAGCAAGTTATGGCTATTTTAAATTCAAATAAAACCGTTAACCCGTACCGGTCCAGCTTTTGACCCGTACCGGTCAATTTTCGTTAGCTGCGTATACCAAGGGTGTACTTGAATCTTCCTATGTCTAAACAGTATTTCCCGGGAATTTTCGTTTTTAGTCCAGTGTAATTTCCCGCCGATGCGTAATCCAGCAGACTAGAATTGCAAAAATTGAAAAAGTGAAGATCGGTGGAGATTTTATATATTTATACTCAATTTGGGAGTCAGTAACAGATGGTAATTTGTTTTTCTATTTGAAATGTTGCTTACATATATGCTTTTCACATTTAAAATCGATTTTACGTTGTTTGTTTCAGACAAAACCCAGATTAGAATTTTGCATGTTTGAATCATTTTGAATATTTTCATAAACCGATAAAGTTCTAGCCTAGCCTAGTAGCCTAAGCTTAGTCCTAGATCTAGCCTTGGCTAATGTCCATTTCAATGTTTAATTGCGTCAGTAGAATCTAAAAAATAAGTGGCCGCATATTTTATAAGCCAATGCAGAAGCAAATCAAGATGAACAGACCTTACTCGAGTCTCTAGCCAATTCTTAGCTAGAAGTAATTCCATCTGGAACACCGTGAACTATTGTAAAATTTCTAGTCGGGGTTCAATAAATTTAAGTAATATTCTAAAAACCATCATGTTAATATTTCATGAATTGAAATGGAACTGGCTAGGCTTCTTGATGAGATATTGCACGATTTCGTCAGGATTTTCTTTAAAATTAAAATGGCTCCAAGAAAAATGGCGATATTCGAAAACTGGACGAAATGTTGTTAACGTCTGACATTAATAACTGGCTGTAAATTTTAAGTTAGCGATCCAGAAGATGTGAACCAATACATTGATCACTTCATGTGTGTTTTGGAATTTTAGGTGAAGGCCACGATAGGTAAAACAGGCCTGTCTTACTCACTTCGAGAGCCATGTTAGATTTTGAACAAAATCAACATAGCTTTCGCAGGAAGTAAGGCCTGTCAACTTGAGAACACAGTCCTTGGGAATACTTAAAATGAGTGACTTACAAATGTTGAACACCTTCCTTCAAATTGTGAACACCTTGGTTCAAATCTGAACACCTGGTCCAAATTTTGAACACCTTGTGTTTCAAATTTCGGAGACCCTATCTATTGCAAAACTTATGCCTGGCATAACCGTCACCATTTGAATATTTTTTAGATCAGAAGATGAGTGAACTGGTTTGTAGAAAGTTACAGCAAGAGACTCTGCTGGCTTTATTTGGTGAGGTATGTAGTGGTGTTGAAGCATTTGTTCAGGTTATTCTATACTATTTCATAAGTTTAAACAATATTTGGGAAAATGTAATTTTAACATTTAATCGCTACATTTAGATTTTGGACTGTAATCCTACATATTTTACCATATTTTGTAAATCTTTTAAATGTAAAGAATTTTTTTTCATTTATTCTACAGAACATACAGATAACATACAATAATATTCCCTACATTTTTCAACAATGTCAGCAATACAACAAATTGGAAATAATAAAAATATGACATGTGATTTAAAAAGCCATTACTTTTCTAGTGGGTTTATTGAATTAGCATTTGTTATTTCTAGAGAGAGGCAGTAACCATACCAAGCATCTTTATTTATGGACACACTGGGACAGGGAAATCTTACACTGTGAAAAATATCTTAGAAAATCTACAAGTAACATACTAAGAGTATTAAAAATAGAATTAAGCATGTTATCTTCTTATCGATCAGAAAAACTCATTTGCGAATAAAAAATTTAGAAAATCGATTCTGATAATAAGCAATCAGAAATGCCGAATATTTGAATATTTGACACATCATCTATTATTAGAATGTAATCCATTTGTGATTATGTCATGCTAAATGTACATGTGTGATATCCCTGATTCCATTTTTACCATTTCAGGCTCCTCATGTGATTATTGATTGCGTTGAGTGTTTCACAACGAAGCTCTTGTTTGAAAGGATTCTTGGGGGTCTCTCTCGTAAGGTCCCATCACCAGAGAATGACTACACGTGTCAGATAAGGTGTGAAAATATGAACGATTTCGCCAGGTTGTTAAAGCAGGTCATAACTGACATAGGATGTGAATCTGAAACTGTCTACATTGTAAGTATATTTTGGAAGAAGAAAATTGGTAAAATGGTACTTTTTGCAAGATTTTTCACAAACAAAATATTGTCTGCGCAATAAAAGAAAAGAAATTTCATTTTTTGTGGTTTTATAACATGGGGTCCATTGGGAATCTCCCTGAACTAGAAATCACATAATCAAAGAAAATCAAATTTTCAAAGTTGATGAACACTTTTTAAAACCACATTTCTACATGAAAGGATAGGTATCGATATGGAGAACTGAATTCAACAATGTTTATCTCTTAAACCAATCATTGAAAACATTCTGTAAAAAAACATTATGATATGTTGACTGATTGACAACAATTTAATGCGAAAATTATTTAGAAATATTTTACATAACTGTTTTTGTTAACATTTTTTTGTTTTTTAGTGCAATTGTTTTTGCTCCTTTCTACCAATTCTTGAGAATGAAATAAAATGTCTTTCCGAACCTTGTTGGAACAAAATAGCACATACAACATGTTTTTAGACCTCTCAATATTATAGTTATACAAAGGAATTTTTGGTTGATTTAAAAAAAAGAATTCAAAAAATTAAAACAAAATCCCCCCAAAATGGATAAAAATCAAGAAAAACCTTTTATTTCATTAACAAGATACTTTTTTAAAATCAACCAAACTGTCCTTTGTACAATTACAATATTGAGAGACCTAAACATGTTGTGTTTATGTCGTTTTGTTCCCATGAGGTTCGGAAAGATGTTTCATTTCACTCTGGAAACATGATACCAAGAACATAACAAGTGTTTGATGTGTTTTTTAAAACAATATAGATAAAAATATGTATATCTATTTCAAATGATATTGTTACCATTCAAAAGATGGCCATTAAATTGACAATTTGTAAGATTTTCAGAAATTTTTGATGACTGGTTTAAGAGAAATGTGTGTTCAAAAGGTTCGCCATATCGATACCCATTCTTTCACATGTAGATTTCAAATATGATATTACTTTGGCTGAATTTTTAATGATGTAAATCAATATTATTTCTACTTGCATCTAGTCAATTGAAAGATCTTCACAACAAAGAAAAAGAGTCAATAAAGCTAGTTGGTCAATTATTGAGTTTGTCAGAATATGTTCCGGGATATATTTTACCATATTTCTTGGGTTACAATCTTGTGACCTTCATGCAAGATGGCTATCTCCATCAACGATGTCAGTGGGTGAATTGATATTATTCTTTTCAATATAATCACTTAACCTAATACATTTTTTAAAAAGTTGTATTTTTATTTCCTTAATTACACATAAAGCTACATATTGAGATGAACAGATCTAGCCAACCATTACATGTAGTTCTGCTCTAAATATGTATAAAACAATAACTGTAAAAATTACACTTTGAAGTTAATATGGCCTGTATACCACAATATTCATACATTTTTATTTTACTTGAAGATTTTGGATAAGGCTGAGCGACTACGTGAAATGGATGCCAACATCCTTCCAGCATTTCTACGACTGCAGGAACTGGTAAGCTATTTACATCTTTTTAAACATTTCATTTTTATGTGAATACCTGTGCAGTCTTTCACAAGTAATATCCCTTAAAAATTAGGATCAATGGGTCTTTTATATTTTATGTGATTGATTTATACATGACATCATATACTTCTTAAGGATATACATATTCTTCATCCTCTTGGAAAAAAATAAATAATATGAAACATAGACTTTAATTACTCTGGCCACATGCTTCCAATTGTTTCCCAATATTAAACTAGTACTACATCTATTATTTTCAGACTGGGTGTAATATATGTGTGCTCCTACTGAGTGAAATTGTCTGGGAGAAGTTCAGATTTGGAACTGGATACCTAGAACCCTATATCTTGCATTTTCCAGATTATACAAAAGGTATGCTTTAAAGTTTTTAATACTTCATAGTTATTCTCAGCCACTTTCGAAAAACTGAGGTGAAGAACTTCCTTCATTATAAGCCTTGGGTCCATTTTTGGAACTGTCGTAATTTACAATTTAGTTGCAAGTCATTGTTTGTCAAAAGTAGATAATTGGTTTCTCGGAATTGTAAGTTACAAATGTTTCAAAAAACGAACCTGATTTGTCAAAATTGGGTCATGTTACATGAAAAATCATGTGATATTCACTAGAATATAGACCAATAAAATCAATTTCAGTTTACTAAGGTCAAGATTATGATCACAGCAGATATAAACAGATGTTTAAACCATGGTAAATGTATCAATGTTTGCCAAATAAATATCAATTGATATTTGTATTCATCTTACCTTGTTGCAAAAGATCAATTGTTATTTATTCCTTGCCAATTCCATTTCATTCCACTCTGCAAAACATGACATACATGTGTTACCTTACATTGATTATTGTGTTTCAGACCAGATTCTAAAGATCCTACAGCTGGATGTCCCTAGCAACTACAGTGAAGATTTCTATGGCAACTACCTCAGTTTATCTCTTAGTGTCTTTTACACAGCATGCAGGGACCTCACTGAACTAAGACATCTAGTAAGTTTGGCTACAGGGTAGTCCAGATGATTTGAATAGATGTAAACTGATTTATATTTGTTAACCACCCTGTAGACTAGTAAATATATTAGGTAGGCCATAGATTTCTGTCACAATAGAAGATTTGCCCTATAGCTTTGGATCTTGTTGGAGTCTCATTTAATGACAACTTTGAGTTCTTTATATTATTTTGTATACGTAGAACTTTGATTTGTACAATAATTTTACACTACTCAAATTACCAAGTTTTCTATAGAAGGCCAAAGCGTAAAAGCCCCATTGACAGACTGGAATTTTATCGTACCTAGCAAGAGGTACGATATTGTAGTCAGCTTGGCGGGCGGGCGGCGTCTCACTTTTCAGCTTGTCTACAGGTTTCCAGCCAAACCATTTGAGGAAATTTTCAGGGATGTTTCTACATATCAAAGTCAAGAACTGATTAGTTTTTGGGCATTCTGGGTAAATTTTAAGGTGGCCATTTTGGATTTTCCGTCCTAAAATCTTCACTTTCAAGACTTGTCTACAGGTTTTCAGCCAAACCATTTGAGGGATTCATCTGAAATTTTCAGGGATGTTTCTACATATCAACGTCAAGAACTAATTAGTTTTTGGGCATTCTGGGTAAATTTTAAGGGGGCCATTTTGGATTTTCCATCCTAAAATCTTTACTTTCAAGACTTGTCTACAGGTTTCCGGCCAAACCTTTTGAGGGATTCATCTGAAATTTTGAGGGATGTTTCTACATATCAACGTCAAGAACTGATTAGTTTTTGGGCATTCTGGTTAAATTTTAAGGTGGCCATTTTGGATTTTCTGTCCTAAAATCTTCACTTTCAAGACTTGTCTGCAGATTTTCAGCCAAACCATTTGAGGGATTCATCTGAAATTTTCAGGGATGTTTCTACATATCAACGTCAAGAACTGATTGGTCTTTGGGCATTCTGGTTAAATTTTAAGGTGGCCATTTTGGATTTTCTGTCGTAAAATCTTCACTTTCAAGACTTGTCTACAGATTTTCAGCCAAACCATTCGAGGGATTCATCTGAAATTTTCAGGGATGTTTCTACATATCAACGTCAAAAACTGATTGGTCTTTGGGCATTCTGGGTAAATTTTAAGGTGGTCATTTTGGATTTTCCGTCCTAAAATCTTCACTTTCAAGACTTGTCTACAGGTTTCCAGCCAAACCATTTGAGGGATTCATCTGAAATTTTCAGGGATGTTTCTACATATCAATGTCAAGAACTGATTAGTTTTTGGGCATTCTGGGTAAATGTTAAGGCTGCCATTTTAGATTTTCCGTCCTAAAATCTTGTGTATCGAGGCTTGTCTACAGGTTTCCAGCCAAACCGTTCAAATTTTTACATATGTTAAACAGTGATAAGTTCTAGAGCTGATTAACTTTTCTGCGGCCATCTTGCTTTCTTGGTCAACAAGACCACAATGCTGTGTTTTAGGTACGATATTGTTCACGTCTGTGCCTTGTTGTAGTATGTTAAGTGTACAGGGTATATCATTTGCATGTGTAAATTATAACATGTTCATTTGAAATTTCTTGTTTTCAGGCAAAATTGAATTTTAAGAAATACATTGAGCCAATAGAGAGTGGGGAGGCAACAGTTGAAGACACACGTAAACTTTGGCGGAACATCGAGCCACATCTAAAGAGGGCACTTCAAACAGTTTATTTACGAGAAATATCAAGGTAATCGTTTTTCAAAGATCTGTAACGGATAAAGGCTATGCATTTTCAATAAATAAACTGCCCTTTTTTATGTCACCACCAAGTGGTGACTTATTGTTATGGTCTCGAACTTTTTTGTGGATGGTGTTCAGTGGTTTGAATTCAGTGTTCGGTGGTTGGCATTCAGTGTTTGTAACAAATGGTAGGTGGTGACATTTTGCATGTTAATGCTTTGCTAGATTTTGGAGTGCTAGCTCCAGACACAAAAAATAATTCTATCATGTATTTTCCCTTTAGTTCCCAGTGGGAGCGAATGCAGGAGAAACATGCTGACAATGGTGATAAATCTTCCTTGACATCATCAGGCAATATATCAGGTAAGCCTATATATTTTAACATGTCCAACTAAGGGACAAAATCAATATTTAGCAGTTATGTCCCTATCATTGAATATATGCCTGAGGTCTATCATCAATACTTGATCCCAGAATGCCACGCCACAGGAAATAACCTCTCATGAGGGACCGATCATTACTACCCTATGAGCAGTCTAGTTATAAACTACCCTCTGCATAGTATGGCCTATATTACAGTTTAGCAGCTCCACCACAGCCAGTGCTCATGACAGCCCAGGTCATAAATCATTTCAAACCTACCGCGCTGACCTTTTCTAAACCAATCAGTGATCTGGGAGGAACATGTGCCACATGCATGTTCATTAACTATGCAATGATGTCAATGGAAATGATCATTTATAGAAATTTGTCAGTATTTCGACGTCAAACTCTGATTGGCCCAGTGATTTCAGAGATTTATTGTAAACTGAAAGAGTGAAGACAACGCTCGCTTTAAAGAAGGGAAGTGGAACGGATGCTAAGGGTAGATCATTACACATCCCTCAATCTACAGTAAACTCAATCAAGATTGAACAAAATATTTAATCATGTCTTAACTTTAAAGAACTGCAAGTTGCCGGTGTTTCAAAATTTTAAATCATTTTATTTCAGCCATGGTGTCTCGCAGTAATATGGAGTTGCCATTTTATTCCAAATACCTCCTAATAGCAGCCTATATAGCATCATACAATCCTGCCAAGTCAGACAGAAGATTCTTCTCAAAGGTAAAGCCCTTGACTCAAATTTGGTTACAAATAGATTTATTCAATTTATTGACTATATTGTTTGGTCTCAGCGTGTAGTATCTAACAAATATATAGAACACTTTTGTAACAATTTACAAGGTGAAGGTGAAATTTTTATAGGTAAATGCTTTATTTGTATTTGATTTGAATAATGATTCTCACAGGATGATTATTACGTTATTGTAACAAATACAACTAGAAAAACAAGCCCGTTTTAACTTTTAGTGTTCTTTGAACCCAATCCGTCAACCAGTATTTGAGTTATCACCCGGATGGACAAACAGACGGATGGACAGCTTCTCTGTATCACCTCCGAATGTCGTTCAGTGGGATGATGATTAATAATGATATTGAATAGAGGATACAAGACCAAATTACAGTGTCTATATTAACTCTTACTATATCTTTATATTTAGAATTGTGGAAGATTGTCATCAAGAATGAAGAAGAATGCAAAGAAAACAGAGAGGGTATGTTGAAAAAGTAATCTACATGTAGTCATGTACATACTGTAGTAATTATAAAAGTACATTTCTTGCTCATATTAGAATACATTTTTGACTGATTAAATGTAAATGATAATGAGCTAGGAAGAAATCCTTGCTTCTGGTAATTTTGTACCTTCATGCTTTTGATAAAGATGTTACATTTCAGCAGTATGATATGTGAATTGAAAATTATTGTTTTTTGACTAACTAACATGATAATAGGTTAAATATAGGATGGATTCGTGTATCACATACAGACAGAAAATGTACTAATTTTGCACCCTTTTTACCGTTTGCATTTCTAAAACAATTTTCAACATTTTCCACCAATGATACTCAATTCATGCCACAAAGTTTTGCAAATTTTTACTGTGCAGGCTTATTTTTCTTGATTTTAGGACACACAACATGGTCGAAAAAATCAATAAATAGTTCATTGTAAGAATTTTGATTTTAGACAAGCAGTCAGCTACTTGGCCCCAAGCCATTCCCGCTAGACAGACTAATGGCAATATTCTACTCAATCATGGAGGGGCGAATAACACCTTCTGCTCATATATTTTCACAGGTAAATAAAGAGCTTGAATAACTTTATATCAATTGATAATCATCGATTTCTGTCAATTTCTCATCCATTCACATCTGGATTTTTGAAAATCATCAATTTCAAATTCAGAATGGTTCAGGTTGAATTGAAGAAGAAAGGAGCATGTGGGTTATCGCGAACAATTTCAAAAGGTTATATCTTGGATTATGACTATTTTCTGACAATGAAGACAAGTTTATCTTTTAGATCAATTCATTATCTCAAAGAAAATTATGCACAGTAATAATAAATTCAAACAAACTCAGAGATCAACACACTTTTTCAAACATGTTGACCTAATTTTCACCAAAAATGCAATCATTTTTTACAATGTTTAATGCATTACTATTCTTTATTTTGATGTATCAAATAGTTCTTGAAAGAAAAACTTAATTGCATTAAGATAAATGTTCCCCATGTTATTTCTCCATTGAAAAATCTCATGCTATCCATTGGTTTCAGTTCATTTTGGTCATCCAAATTGAATATCTTTTAAGTCCCTGGAGCAATCAAATTTTCTTTTTAGGAAATCAAACATGTCTCAAAGCACATTCTAATTATGCATTCAACAATATAATAATAGGTTGCATTTTTGGTGAAAATTAGGTCAACATTTTTGAAAAAGTATGTTGATTGGTCCATTGCCCCTTTAATATCACTTAGGTCTGATTAACTAAATTATCATTATATATACTTTTCTTGAAGATAATGAATGGATCTAAAAGATACACCCATGTTCATGATCAGAAAATATTCATAATTCAAGTTAGAATTGTTTGAAATTGTTTGCAATAACCTATGTGCTCCTTTGTAGATTCTGTATTAAAATATATTTCATTTCAATTTCTGAATTTGAATTTCAGATCTCATCGCTTGTGACACTCCAGCTGTTAGGACATATACAAGGAGGTGACCTCTTAGACAGCCCTAAATACAAGTGCCTTGTGTCATTTGATGGTATCAAGTCTATAGCTAGGTATGTACATGTATGGTATTTTGCAGTAAGCGATATATAATGCATAGATCTCTCTAGCGCTAAATCAAATCAACTCTACCTGGATCAAGAGTATAAAAGTTAGCTTGCATCTAGTCAAAAAGGCATTGGAATCTTTAGGTATTTTTTTCAATTTATCATTTAATTCTATTTTTGCACAATTTATGGATTTGTGATTTAGTTTTAGTGCAACTATTTAGAATTTACTTAATTTGGTTTAACATTTTAAGAGGCACACTGAATTACTGGAGGTATGGTTTGGTGCCATGATGTCTCAATGTTACTGGACAATATTGATTAGAATTTGCATGCAGGCATTTTATCTTTTTATCGTACCTAACAAGAGGTACGATATTGTAGTCAGTTTGACGGGCGGGCGGCGTCTCACTTTTCAGCTTGTCTACAGGTTTCCAGCCAAACCATTTGAGGGATTCATCTGAAATTTTCAGGGATGTTTCTAAATATCAACGTCAAGAACTGATTAGTTTTTAGGCATTCTGGGTAAATTTTAAGGTGGCAATTTTGGATTTTCCGTCCTAAAATCTTCACTTTCAAGACTTGTCTACAGGTTTTCAGCCAAACCATTTGAGGGATTCATCTGAAATTTTCAGGGATGTTTCTACATATCAACGTCAAGAACTGATTAGTTTTTGGGCATTCTGGGTAAATTTTAAGGTGGCCATTTTGGATTTTCCGTCCTAAAATCTTTACTTTCAAGACTTGTCTACAGGTTTCCAGCCAAACCTTTTGAGGGATTCATCTGAAATTTTCAGGGATGTTTCTACATATCAACGTCAAGAACTGATTAGTTTTTGGGCATTCTGGTTAAATTTTAAGGTGGCCATTTTGGATTTTCTGTCCTAAAATCTTCACTTTCAAGACTTGTCTACAGATTTTCAGCCAAACCATTTGAGGGATTCATCTGAAATTTTCAGGGATGTTTCTACATATCAACGTCAAGAACTGATTAGTTTTTGGGCATTCTGGGTAAATTTTAAGGTGGCCATTTTGGATTTTCCGTCCTAAAATCTTCACTTTCAAGACTTGTCTACAGGTTTCCAGCCAAACCATTTGAGGGATTCATCTGAAATTTTCAGGGATGTTTCTACATATCAACGTCAAGAACTGATTGGTTTTTGGGCATTCTGGGTAAATTTTAAGGTGGCCATTTTGGATTTTCCGTCCTAAAATCTTCACTTTCAAGACTTGTCTACAGGTTTTCAGCCAAACCATTTGAGGGATTCATCTGAAATTTTCAGGGATCTTTCTATGTATGAAAGTTTAGAACTGATTAGTTTTTGGGCATTCTGGGTAAATGTTAAGGCTGCCATTTTAGATTTTCCGTCCTAAAATCTTGTCAATCGAGGCTTGTCTACAGGTTTCCAGCCAAACCGTTCAAATTTTTACATATGTTACACAGTGATAAGTTCTAGAGCTGATTAACTTTTCTGCGGCCATCTTGCTTTCTTGGTCAACAAGACCACAATGCTGTGTTTTAGGTACAATATTGTTCACGTCTGTGCCTTGTTGTAATGTATCATAGCAACCATAGGGGGATTTTGGATTTTATGAAAAATAATATCTGCATTATTCCCACCAAAATAAATCTGAAAAATTATTTTTATTTTACTTATTTTTCAGAACTGTTGGATTTGATATAGTGAGGTATCTCTTTGACTTTATATGATAGCAATGATTATTCCAACAATAAACCTGCCAAGAAATCTCGTCAGACAATAATAGGGGAAATGGAATCAACAGATGTGTTCAATATGTTATGGAAAATTGCTGGATATGCGATAGAATATGAACTAATCATACGACTTGGATATGGAAAATAAACAGATCATACTATGTGATGGAAAATATGCTTGTCAGCTACAGTGATAATGTAATGGAAGCTGGACAATAATTGACAGTATTATTACATTTTCCTTCAAGTGCCATGAAACTGTAAGTATGGAGAGACATAGGAATGTGAAGCTCAACTGTTCTTCTACTTTTACTTTGAGCTGTTAATTTGTCTAATAAAATAAGTGACAGGTGTGTATTTGCACAAAAATCATCATTCCTGTAGTTATTTAATTATATCCTTGGATATGAGCCTTATTTGACATGGCCGTTTTGATTAGGAAATATGTACAAGTCCGTAGCCAGGGAGATCAGGGAATGCAAGCAAACTCCCCCTTGGCCAAACCTTCTTTCCAAATCATTCAGTTTTTCACCATTCTGTGCACTTTTCAAGTAATTTGGGGCCAAAGTTGTCCAAGGAGAACCCCCCTGGAAATTTTTGATAAGAGAACCCACCTGACAACCTGGCTATGAGCCTGAGCTGTGGTAAACTAAGAAGAATAACTCAGTAAATCAATTGAATCAAAATTTCCTTAGAAATCAACAAGATAAATCAACATGACCTCCCTCCTCCACCCACCAGCATGATTCAAACAGTATATAGACATTGCATATAGTCAGCTGAGTTGCCAGTTATGTCACAGAGCAGAATATTCAGATAAGCCTACATGTACCTTAGTCTTGTCAATTAGATGATTGAATAAAATACAAAGATCAAAAACAACTACGTAGATTGAGAATTACAATAGGCTCTTATAGTTAGTTTGCCTGGTATTGAAGATTATAATTGTCATTGTTTAATTTTTCTGTTTAAGTTAAAGAATTGCATACAATTGGTTCTTCAGGTAATTTATGCCAAATCTCCGGTCCTTGCTTGATAATCGAATATTTGCCAGTCTAAGTTTGAATTTTTGTCTTCTCTTAAAGAGGTCCATCATTAAGATATTGAGTTGCAGAACATATTTAGAATATTCACATTTTTGAAAAATGGGGCAGTATGATATTGTTTTTGTCATATATTCCTATGAATTGTTTTATTAATGGTTTTTGAAATCTTAATGTGAGCTTTTCATGATAAATGTTCATTGATATTGACTTTATTATAATCTATTTCATTTTTAGCAATCTTAAAAATAATTTACATATGATTAGTTTTGGTTGGATTGAGAGCAGGTTTGTTGATCTGATAACCAAGTTCCTATAAAAGGCTATAATGAATTATTCTTGGCATTTGACCTGATCTATAGAAATCTACTGTAATCTGTGGTGTACAATATTTTCACCAATTAACATTTAAAAACAGTTGAATTGCACAGAAAGTAGACATCAGTAACACACATTGAATTATAAAGATATGCTTTAGATTCATACAAAACACTAAACACAAATCATTCAATTAGAAATTTGTGAATGAAAGTGTTAACAGAATGGTTAATGTAGATTTTGCAAATAGATGCTTTATTGAGAAAATTCATAATTTATCAAATGAAACTAAAACAAGAAAAATTATTATCAAGGCTTCAGTTCAATAATTCATTTGTATATATCCCAATGAGAAATCTTAATTCTATAAATATGAAGTCAAACGATGCGTCAACATATAAAATTGTATAGATGGATTTTATGTTATCACTTATTAATGATACTCTGTATGGCGCACATAAATAAAACAGTTCTGAGTTCGTCCTAGTGATATTTTCCAATAAAAAAAGCTGATTAGATTTGGTAGCATATTTTTGTCATAATTGATGGGAGATTAATAGAAAAAGGATTACTTATATCATCAATCTATTACCCAGAACATACTTTTAAAAGCATTGAGATATTGTTTCATTGTACTAGTCAAAACTTACTAACTAAGCTACACCTCTACCTGGCATTAAACAATTATTTCTTTGTGGTATGGTATTAAATTCAAGATGCTTATACATGCATTAAGAGTTTATGGAAGAAAACTGATAAGGAAATTTTTGAAAGCGTGGCCAAATATAATCATTGTGCTACTGAGTTCATTAATCACCTTAATGATATACATCATAATGCAGGATTTTGGAAAATTGAAAAATGATAAGGTATGTATTTTTCCATAATTATGCAATACATTTTCATTTTCTCAGAATACACCTGACTATTAGATGAAAGATGTGTTCTGTGTACATTTTCTCAGATTGAATAAAAATGAATGATTGATCAAATTAATTAATACTTTTCTTGTTTTAATAGTAGTCTCTGGAGCTATTTTTATTTGACCACAAGAGGGGGGGGGGTGTTTAAGGAGGGCGTCACAAGGGCTTGTTGAAAGACTAGGCAATGTTATCAAATAATCAGTTTTGTTACACTTTTGAAATTGCAACTACATGGTATACTATTTTGCCATAAACGCCTTAGGGACATGGACACATCTTTCAGATGTCAAAAACTTGCAACTCAAAACTGTGTGACACCTACATTTAATAGACACTAAGATGACAAAAGATTAATCTTTTAAGACCTCTTCAATTGGTCCACATAAATATAAATATACTTTATTTATTCGATTGTATTAACTTTTAGAATGTGGACCATAGTGATGTGAATCGCGAAAACCTTGATGTAAAGCCATGGATTGAGAAAATCAAATCTGGCGGGAAGTTAACATGGTCAATGGACCAATTTGTACAAAACAGAGAGCTAGTGGAGGGCAAAGGTATTGATTGTCATTTTTATTAGGATTTTGTTTCTATAATTCTGTGTATGATTTGTATTTGATCCATTCACTTATTATCAGGGATAACTGGTTTACTAAATACATGTACATTTGTTTAGTAAAGTGGTGGTGGTGACATATTGTTAAATAGTCTCAAACCTTTTTGTTTGCGGATGGTGTTTGGCAGTTGGTGTTCGGCAGTTAGTTTATGAAACAAATTACATGTTAATTCCTTGTTGAAGGGTCTCTCAAGGAGAATGATGTCCTACCAACACCTGTTAGAGCTAGGAATCAACGTTTTACAAGTGATAACATACAACAACCTAGATCTGACAATATGCCTATGATTGGAAATGTGAACAATGGGAAAGTTGGAGTACCAAGGATGTTAGGAAAACATGCCAACAATGCTTTAATTAAAGACAATTTGGTAAAGAAGGCAGCATTTTTGGACCCTGCTCACCAACTAAATCAACTCCCTATGATTGGTCAAGCTAATCATCATCAATATGGCCAAAACAATCAACAATATGGCCAAAACAATCAACAATATGGCAGAAACAATCAGCAATATGGCGGAAACAATCAGCAATATGGCCAAAACTATCATCAAATTGTTCAAAACAATGCTCCAAAAATAAGAGATAGACTTCCTCCTAATCGAGCCTTGATAGCAGAAGCCAATCATAACTTAAATTATTCTGAATACTGGATAAACCATGTTACTCTCCAACACAAGCGTGGCTACAGTGTTGAAAAATCAGAGAAAGCTAGAGTAATTGAGAATTCAAAGACGGATGGTGGTGCAGAAGCAGCATATTTTGCCTGGTTGATGGAGAAACAGCTTGGTTGCTACCCTCGTGACCTTCATCAATTTGGGAATGGAGTTAACCAGTGGACAATGTGTAATACTGGACGCCTGGCCTTGAAGCACCCTTGCATTGTCTATTCTTTTGGGTATGTTTGCATTCACTATATTATAAAGTTTCAAGTTTGAACCATCAGTAGACTATTTATGTTAATAAGACTAAGTGTTAAAAACAAAACAAAACATTGAGATTTATGAAGTTTTGACGTATCACAATATACAGGTACAGGCAAAATTTAAATGACAATTATCAATTGTAATCTGGTAATTGTAATTTAAATTTTACCTTAAATCGCAACAAAAAAAACATTTTTCTTTCAATATTTCGCACCGAAACTTCCGAAAGAAGTCCATTGGTCAACTTATTTTAATCTATACACAAAGTCACTCTGTTCTGAACCATTCGGAAATTGTTCCGTTCCGAAGCAAAATGTTCAGAAAAGAACCATTATCATTTTATTTAAAGGCCCCATATAAAATTTAAACCACTTTTAACTAATGTTATCAAAATGTGGTTTGTGAAACCATGGACTTTCAACTAGAACTTGTCACTTTATTCAAAAAGTTGATTTTGAATGAGTAGAGAAAATAATGAGTTTTACAGTGTTAAGTGTTGTTTTTTGATTATCTAAAATTCTAAACGTTTGTTTCTGAAATGGCAGCAAGGAGGATTGGCTCCCAGGATCGAAACTTAATATTTTCCAACAATGAAAAGGTTGAAATTTTCTGAAATTACAACCAACTATAAATTCAAAATAAACATTTCAAAAGATTCAAACCAATATCTGGATCATTTCTTGTGAGTTTTTGAATTTTCCGTTAGGAAATAAGACCAAAATCCATGATTCAAATGTTGAAGTGAACAAAATGGCAGCTGTTTGAATTCAAATTTTGTATCGCAACATGCTCATATATTGGACAGAATATCGATGTTGCACACTGGGAGCCAATCCTCCTTGAATGGCAGGAAATTCAAATATTTGAAAATTATGAAATGAATTTTTTTTCACGTCAAGTTTTTCAAAAAATGTCTCAAATTGAAATAGTTGTTCAAGTCTTGAAAGAAACATTTGAATGATTAAATTATACTTTCAAACTTTGCGCAGGACTTAATGTGTTTTTTATAAACCAAAAGGATGCATATTTGGAGAATGTATAAATTGTATACAAAGACGGTTACCTGATATGCATGTACCGTACCAATATATGTTTTAATGTACATTGAAAATCATTTATTTTATTATAATAACTGTACCAATTACATGGTTTGTGTCAAAAATAATCAAAATAATACAACCATGTTGTGATTTGATTTGAATTGCAGAAAAACTGACTTTGAATTTGAGAATGGGATTGAAGTGAAGTTTCAATGTCAAATACATGTGTTTGATATTAACATTGAGTAAGTTAGTTTTCTTATTTCCAGGTAGAATATTAGAATATTGCATATCTCATCTGGAATTTACATTTAAAGATATTTAATTTGATATCACAGTCATAAAATATGAAATAAAATAACTTCATTTTTCATTAGTTATGAAAAACACTGATATTATATGCAGTAAAAACATTAACTTTCCTTCACCAGTTCATGTCCATAAAGGAAATGTACAAAACTATTTCTGTCTGGGTGTGTTTACAGGAATTTTGCGGCACATTCCTTGTCAGATAATACACATTTCCATGCAATAGGACTGTGGGACGATGACATTGACACAAGGAACGTACGGGATATCTCTCTGAATCAGTTGTCCACTATAATCAAACAAACAGGTCATGGTAATGTAAGTACTCAGTCATACATAACACTGGCGGATCCAGTAGCTAACGGGGGGGGGGGCACATATCAAGTCAGGGAAAAAATGTTGGGCCCATAAAACCCCAAATTTTGAAAATGTTAGGCCCAATTTTTCATAAATTAAAAAAAATTGCATTTATCTAATATGAGAAATTGAGAAAGGTGAGACAATTTTGAATAGAAAAGACATGATTAAAGTAAAAGTTAGTGCTGGACATCATTTTTACAGTTTTAAAAAAGTGGTCTGACTGTAACACCATTGATGTCTCTCTCTCCCTGTGTCTCCAAGTCTGCCTGGCTATATACCTGCCCTGACTACCTACCTGTGTCCTTAAATGGGGGACTTTGGCTGAAAGTCCTAGGCCACTTAAAGTTCAATGAATAATTAAAAGATGTTGAAGCTCAAGGACTCTAAATTAGAATCTGTTGATATAGCTTCACCAACACATTGTCTCTTCAAGGAGAGTCTGATGCCTGCATGTTGTCTAATTTCAGATGATGATTGATCTGCTGAAGATTGACATTGATAACATACTATGGAATGTGCTTCCCTCTATTAAAGATGGATGTTGGAAGCGTGTTAAACAGCTTATAATCAGAGTTTATGGTCCAGGTAACTCTGGCATGTATTGAAAAGAGGAATTTGTAACACCTTTCTGATGACCTTGACTAGACAATGCAATGTCAAATTTGTGTTATTCTCTTATAAATTGCCTTGTCTTCAAAGAGCTGGATTTTATCAACTAAGTTGTATCTGAGAAATTTTCAGAAAATCAAACTCGTAATAGAGTATGTTTATTGTTAAGTTACAGGTCATTCCTTTTTTTGGTATCGAACATGACTGTAAATAATTCACACCTTCTATAAACTGTAAACAAAGTCAACATTTCACCCGGGGCATATTCGCGAACAATTTACCCCTGGTGGTGACGTCATAACCGAGGGCTTCTGTAATGGCGGAGTATAATGAATATTTGAAACATTTTGGTGAGTTTTCATGTTCGAATTGTAATATAGACCCCAGAGCAGGTCTAATATAATAGAATGGAATAGAATACATCCCTTAGGGCTAAGCACAAAAGCTTTCGAGCCCCACACTCCCTTCGGTCATTCGGGGTACAGAAAACGTTTGTGCCTAGCCCTGCGGGGTGTATTTGACGATATTACCCCTTCTCTTTGGTCTATATTTCTTAAATAAAATTCGCAAGGAAAAAGTCAATGGGCACAGACATTAATTTCTACAGTGTATAGATGTGCAAGAAAATTGAATGTTTTGTGAATATTTTAGAAGATTATAGTAAAAACAGCATGACTGGACCCATTTTATCTTTCAGGAGATGGTTTACAAGTTCCCTCAGTACAAAAAATGTATAGAATTCTAGCTCAGGTAGGGTTATATTCCTATTTCATTTTGTGCTATTCTATAAAGACATATGAGTTTCTGTTTCATTGTATTAATGCCATGGATCGTTATCCTGTATTAAATCTTACACCTGTTGACATGGTTGAATTTACTAGCTGTAGTCCTTTATAAATATGGTGATGCACAGCACATAGATGGATTTCTATTTTTTATAAATTCGATCAGGCAATAACTGATACCCACGAGATTTGCATTGTATGTCACTTGTATCTCACCCATGATGGAGGAATTTTGAAAAATTTGAAAACTTGTGCAATGATATTAAAAAATGATTTATTCGATTTTTAAATATCACTACGCCAACATAAGGACTCATTTTTAGGTAAAATCCCTGCTTCACTGATGAAAATTAACGAATATAGTATTTCAAGATTTACAGGAAACTATATTCTTGAGATTTTTTCTAAGAATGGTACATTTAGAAAGTACTTGAGCTGCACTTTAAAGGGGCAACAAGGCTTGTAGAGAGAAAATAGGAAAATTTTAAACTTCTTTCGAGCTATAAAGGCAACATTTGGCCTAACAGCTTCTTTCATTCTTTGACATAACTAATTTCTTAAAATGTATGGATAAACCATAAATTTCAGCATTAGGAAGTGTAAATTCAGTTCAAAGCTTCAAAAAGGGAAAATCCACTTTTATATTTTAAGATCCACCATGTTTCAAGAGGAATATCTGCTGAAATAATGTTTATCTTGGGGGTTTCTTTGTAGATAATCAAAATAGATTAAAGTCTTGGTGAAATATCCAAACTTAAATATATTTTGACACTGGTCCATGATCTTTGAATAAAGTATTTCAGGTGCACTAATTTCAAGTGCACTAATTTTGCACTAATTGTTGCACCTTTAAATATTTATCTCCAATGGCCACTGTACATACACGTAAACTAACTATATCTGTATACACACCATTTGATTTTGCATGTCTTCGTTTTTAAAGTATTAAAAAAGATACAATGTCCCGGAATCGCTCCACTACTAAAAACGTTAAATAACACACGTAAGATAGCGGCCATTTTTTAAAAGTTTGATTAGACAGTGTAACATGCTTTTAGTAATCACCTATTAAATATGAACAAAATCGCCCCACTACTTTTCAAGTTAAAGTCTAACAAAAGTAAAATAACACGCGTAAAAATGGCGGCCATTTTCATGGACAAGATCACCATTTTTCATGAAAAGGTATAATTTATTGTCCGTATTAATGTAAACAAAACAAGAATATGGAACAATATAAACGATACCATGTAAAGGCCACCATTTTTCAAGATGACTGCCATGTGTTTCTTAAATATCTACATTTCTAGCTTTATTAATGTCCTATATAATTTTTTTACATTTAAAACACATTGCTGTTAAAGTGTTACAGTTTTATATATTGTACCTAAATTACTGTAAAATTGACACAAATGGCCTCAATTTTTTAACGAGTGTCCATTTGAAAATTGACTTTCGAGCAGAACTCCTACCCCAATAGGGTATTTGTGTACAAAATATGAACAAAATTGGGCCAACGGTATTTGAGTTATCACCCGGACGGACTGAGAGAAAGACAGATGGACAAGTGGGTACATGTGATTGCAAAAGCTCACCATGTGATCTAACCATCCCTGTCATGTTAACCAAGTGTGCATCGGCGATTTTGAAAAGGATTGTTGAATTCCCTGATAAAATGTTTTAATTGTTAACAATAAATTTTATTCATTTCCTTTATGTTTCAGGTGGAGAGATTTGGATTCCTCAAGTACAATGTACAACCCTGTCCTAAGCAAAAGATTGTGTCTAAATTCACCAACAATCTCCTTTTCCCATGTTTTGACATAAGCTACGTGAATAAACCCTACATAGGATAATCAGCATACATGTGATAATCAATTATGAATCAAAATGACACAACGCTTTGCCACAGATGATTTATCATGGTCTAGGGAGCGGAATAAAATTACAAAGGAGGACTAGAACATGAGAACACACTTGGATATTCGAAGAAGAAACATTAAGATTGAACACTGAATTTCAGCCACAAATCAGATGAATCTGATGATGTCCTACTGACCATGGAGTCTGATGATATAAGAAATTGCGAGCGAATTTCACTTTGGAAATTTCAATGGTACTAGTTTCGTAATTTATTGTAATGTGAAAAGAAAAAATGAAATCTCATTTAACAAACTCAGAGTAGACCTTTCTCTAAAAAGTCAGCTTTTTGCACACATTTTTTTTATTTTAATAATGTGGCTTCACTAGAATGTGCCTGTTGTCACCACATTGAAACCCACAACACTTTTTTCTACAGTGCCCTCTGTACATAAAACCTAGATGAACTTCTAAGAGATCTCTATATGGCCCATTGCTTAAGACTATTGCTTCATTGCAATTCTTTTGAAATGATAGACATGCTTTTAATAATCAAAGCAAGTGTGCCATTTTTGCCATCCACCAAAAGCCTATTGGACCCATAACTTAACCCTTACCCATTAAGCACACAACTTGACCATTTTAGATAAAATAATTTACTTTTCTTTGTATATGATATTTATGAATAACACTTAAATTAGATATTAGTTTGACAATAATGTTGTTTTAACCTTGTCAAACGTTATTATCTGAATTATTTTATGTATTATATATATAGACTATGAAATAAATGATTATAAAAAATCTCGGAGTCTTTGGCACAAAAGTCATTGTATCTCAGGAAGTACATTACTGGTGATTCTGAAACTATATTCATGTACCCCATACCTAACTGAGGTCCTGGTAAGAAGAAATCCAGGAATATATATTTAAGGGAAAGGATGAATATTTCTGTTTTTATTCGCCAAGTCCAAGGCGTGGAGAAATGGTTTACATGTCTCACTTGTATGAGTTACTAGCTCAACACACACATAGGGCCCTTTGGAGGGACCATGGAGAAATCGTTGCTTTTTTCTCACTTGTATGAGTTTCTAGCCTAATAAACACATAGTAAAGTTTTGGGGGTGGAGATCATGGAGAAATCATTCACAATGTCTCATACTCATAGAAGATATCGGATTATCACATAGATAGTACCCTCTTGGAGGCGGAGATCATGGAGAAACTGTTGCTTATTTCTCACTTGTATGAGTTCCTAGCTCAACATATATCGGGTGTCCATAAAACGTCACACTTTTTGACGAAAAAACGAACGGTAAAACATTAAACTGTCCTCTACCACACTCATCGATAACCGGTAACATCCACAATTCTGGATTTTTATTTGCTGTCAGTTACAGTTCATGCTAACCTTAGGTTTTAGGTCCTTATATTTGTATTCACCTTCAGTGAGTTTAATGTCCGCACTTGTTGATAGAGGCTTTAGTTACAACTTCGTCAGTTTTAAGAATCGAAAGATGACATGTCGATGACATCACTTCCTGAGTAAAATCTTAAAAGATGGCAGCTTACTGGAAATGAGCAGAAATGGTCTGGCCAGGAATGTTCCTTTAAGGGAAGGTAACTCCAATTTCGGTTTTACATATGATAAGATAATATTATTAAAATATTAAGTTTGAAAATTTAATTTTTTTAATGGAGCTCAATGGGAAAAATGACATAATTTCAACTATTTTTTAAACGTAGTTGTGCGAATATCCTGAAATTGACAGATATAATGAATAATGGTAAGATAAATTGTTAGAAGAAAAATAAAGTAAATACACAATCCTGTTCCGCAAAATGTGAAATAATCATAAAAACCAGTAAATATAGATTGAAGCCATTTGAAGGGGGTGATTTTATTTTTTGGTGTGTCTTTCAATACTACAGGGTAACCATAAGTTAGGTAATGTTTACTTTTCAAAAAGCATTACTTACAACATGTGTATCAAGCATAAGTAAAACAATAAGTGAGTTATGTTTATTGGAATAGTATATATTGTATTCCTTTAGCAATAATGACAAAAACATGTTACACAATAGGTAAAATCATATCACATACTAATTTTTATCATCAAATCAATCCATTATAATGCACATTATACAATATAGAAGTATATCTTCAAATTCAAAAAATTAGCTAAAGTTTAAGATAACAATTAACTCTTTCACCGAATATTACTAAACTATAATATTTCGGTAATTATGCTAATTTTAGCTGCTGCAGTTTAGATCAGTTGAGGAGATATTCATTACCATACTGTCACACTAAATGATCAATCGAATTAAACTATACGATTTTTTCATATTTTCTTTTTTGGTAATACAGCCATTCCTGAAAAGCAGCAATCAAGGCCTTCCAATGCACCTGACCCTTAAAAACATTTTTCAGGGATTTGTCCACCTGTAGCCCTAAGGTGTAGCACCTTTTACACTTTTCTAGCCATATTTTCAGAGGTCTGGATTACCTATTTTAGTGTGTTATTTTAGCATTATTTTCCCAATTACCATTTGAGTTGTCATTCTAACACTCAATAACATATGGAAATAAAAATGATAAGATGTCAAAGATGATAGTTATATATTGTAAAAAATCAAAGATCAAACAAGCTTTGGTCAGGAAGTGAACGGGTGAAACCCTTGGGATATATGTATTAATTAATCATAAGAAACTCATTCATCTTTCTACAATTTATAGTCACCCTGTATAATTCTACAGAGCATGATTATACCTGTGCAAAATATTACAAAAATATTATTTACTTATTGTCATAATTCAATGTTACAATATCATTTCATCTTCAAATTTTTCTGTAATGGTTAGCTTGTGAGGATGAGTAAACCATCCATTATGTTGATGGTGTATGATGTTGATTTTGTGATAAATCTACAACATCTACAGTAGCTTATAAGTAGATGGCAGATGTGTTCCATTGAAGAGCTGATCCAGTAGACTCCAGTTATTTTTGTCCCCAAATAACCTTGAAACTGGTCCTTATTGTCATACAGATTGACTGCACACATTATATTAGTTAGAAACACTGAGAGATAGTTAAGGTGAATGCTCCAGCTGATACTCGAACATATTCTTTAAGATAAACATACTTGAGGTGTACCTCTCTTCATTGTCAAGGGCGGAATCTCTCCAACTAGGAACAAAAAGAAGATTTACATGATTAGCAAGATAGACAAGTCAGATAACTGTCATAAAGATGATAAAATACAATATTTGTGATCTAATATAGTATAGTATAATAATCATACTTTGAAGAGATCTATAAATTATAGCGAATTCCAACTTCAGGCAGGCATTAGATTTTGAATTTGAATTTTCTGAGGCACAAATCAGAAAACAATACCATAATTGTGATCTACTCTAAAATTCCTTCAATTTGAGCATAACATAGTCATCCTTTGAAGAGATTTTACAGATTTAAGGAAATTATTGCAAACTCCCACATTCTAAGGCAGCAATTTTGGGTTTTCAGGTTTTCCAAGGCCTGAATTAGAAAAAGCATAATACTTCAGAAAGTTCTCAGAATAGGATAGTTTCTAAATAGCAGAAAAATCAATTAAATCTCGTGCTGCCATCTTTTATTCAGCTTTTAACTCTGGCTAGAGCTCCATTCACTTACATGCTAAAATCTTGGAAAAGTGGCTTAATTTCATGATTTATCAAAGTGTGTTTGTTGAATCTGTATAAAACTTGAATGATATACCACATGATGACCCTGTTTATGAACATGTTGTGATTAAACATGCTAATGTTGATTGACATACAAATAATCCACGGTTTTAAAGAATTTTAGCATTGCATCTATGGACATTTGGCCCAACTTTTTTTAAATTGTCATAGAAAATTATTCAAATTACATAACTGTAAATCAAAGCTATTTTAGGAGAAAACATTCCACTGAATTCAAATATACCATTTAAAAGAAGGTAATGTAAGTCATTAGAGGTCTAATATGCAAGTCTCTTAAAATCTCACGAAAAACGAGATTTAGCGAGATTTCAAAAGCTATATGGAAACTATAAAAATTCCTGTTTTCACAACAACCCCCTTAATAAAACTCCCATACTCAAAATAGTACAAAATGTATTTCTTAAATGCACCAATTTTTGTGTGACACTGTATACAAGGCTACCAAATAAATAAATACTACAAGCCTCAATGTTTCTACAAATCTTATTAACTCTTCAATTGGTTTTCAATACTTTCAGTAGTAAAGCAGTGTTACCTCTGGCGCACTTTCTTCCATCTTGCCATATGCTCGAGCAGAAGATTTTCTGGTTCAGGGGCTGCTTCTGGATCCTGAAATAACAAAAATAGACTATGAAACCTTCTAGTTACACCAATTTTTGAGATTTTACAAAAAAGTAAATACAAAGCCCACGATTTTACATTAGCCTGTACTTGTATTTGCCTTACTTTATACTGTACTCCCACTTATATTTAATGCTATTATATTTCGCGTTTTTGGCATTTTGAAATACAAGATCACATACAAGATCACTCTTTCGACTTCGATATCAGCCATGGTTGTTCCTTCTCCTGATGATTTTGGCTTCTTATTAAGCCATTTCATTAGAATGTTCATTTTAATACAATAATAACGATCTTTCTTCTAATTTCTCTTTTTCAAAACTCGAAATGTCATGTTTTTACCTATTATCGCCCAGCACTGGACTATCAAATTTCGGGAATTAAAACTAGGAATTTTGTGCCTATTATATATTGCAAAGGATGTGTCCGGGTATATGCCCTTTTGGTCCCTCAGTCAAATGTATGTGAAATATGGTTTTTATTACAGTCCTAGTTATATTTGATAAGTATATTTACTTTTTCATGAGTTTTGATGCATAATTAACCCCCTGCTGAGAGTCAGAATAAGTATCTTAACAAAACCAAAAATAGTCATTATCATAGAAAAAACACCAATGGCAACATGTATGACATACAAAGAAGAAATAACTTCAGACCCATGAAGAATTAAAAAGAAAATCATATTTTTGAAACATATCTAAGGATTAAAAAAATTTTCAAATTTTTGAATTTCCCGCCAGTTTAATTTGAAGGGGGAAAAACAAGATGGTTGCCATTTGATGTAAGAAATAACAGAAAAAAAGTTGCTTCGCTTTTAGTTTTCACAATGAGCACAGTTTTCCGGTTTAGGTTTTTTGACTGATTCTGACTCTTCATCACCAGGGTCAGGTATAGAGATTATAAAATTGAAACCAAAATGTTGTGCTCAGCATGAATTTGACTAAAATATGTGTAACATCACCAACACAATTGAAGTCTCAAAACTGGACGCTCAGTAACTTTGATTGACTATAATCCCTTGATTTTCCAGATAAACACCAATTCACTTATCCAGAAATACCATTCAATGTCTATACAAAGAAAGTAACCAATGTTTTGGAGGATATGTTTCAAACTTTTTGCATAAATAAATCATTTAATATTTGGCATTGATTTTTTTCAATTCTGAAAAAGTGATACACACTGTCTTTGATGCCAATATTCTTCATCAAGTGTGATACAAATTGATATTTTTGTAATCTCAGAAGAAGGATAAGATATTGAAGTTTAATAATATGTGTGACTGAGTTCGGTTTTCAGACATTACAAATTTCAATATTTTCTAAGTCGATGCCCAGACTCATTCCCAGACTCATCCTTTCCAAAACTCCTGAAAAGCGCGAAATATAGTAGCGCACAAAAATTACCGGGAGTACAGTATTTAATATGTTTTCCTTCACAATACTTCTTATTGTGTTTACAATTTATTTACATGTTTACAATGTTTCTTACTGTGTTTAGAGTATCAATATGTTCATCAGGTTGGGGCACAGGAACTGGTATCCTGGGATCAACATATTCTCCTTTTACATGATCAAATGGCCTGTTTGGCCCTGGTGGCATGCGGTAGATATCTTTAGGAATTCGATCAGTTGTCTGAAATAAAAGTCATTTTTACAAGAGTAATTGATCTGTATTCTGTACATATCACAGGATCCTTATTTGTATGTTGATGCTCCTAATTAGATGAGGTAAGTGAATATCGAAAGACATGATATATTTCATCACAAAATATTTTTGATATGAAGTCATTGCATTGTTTTCTTATTTTCTCATAGATCATCACTGTAGTGAAACTATTCAAAATGTCTATGGATCCATTTTGGTAACAAATGTCGCAACAACAATTTTCCTTCTTCCATGATTTAACGAGTTGGTAACAAATGTCACAGCCTACAATTTTCCATCTTCCATGATTTAAAGAGTTGAAGACAGAATATTCACGAATTTTCAAACATCATACGCTTAAGAAAATAGTTTGCGAACGAATAGTTCATGAGGTGCCAGAATCATCGAGAAAATTCCTAACTTTTGTTCTGTAGGTGGAACTTTAAGAACATTTAACATCTGTACTTTAACCGTTTTATTTGAAACAATAACATCTACCTACACTTCACAAATGCTTAGATTTTCTGAGACATGATGCTGAAATTCGTTTGTGCCATGAAATCATGGAAGAAGAAAAAATTACTTCAAAGGCTGCTCCATTTTGATACTTTTGTCAACATACAGAGAACTGTACAACAGTATTTTTGTGGCTGTGTGAGTGTACATTGACAGGATGGTTAGGCATGTACTCGTACTCTATGAAAAAAACACTTCAATCTTTGGGACAATCAATACTCTTCCAGAGAGTGAATATTTCCCATTGCACTATATGTAAGTATGTACATGGTGTCCCGAAAGTATGGGGCCCCCTAGGCAGACATATACCACTGTCTCCATGGTATGTGTCGTATATCATTTTAAAGCCTATCCAAAGTTACATTGATTTGCCAAGTATTATGGTTCAACTCACAAATGGTAAAAGTTACAGGCATTTCAAAACGTAGCGTTTGGCCAAAAATATAGTTCAATTCAGTATCGTGGAAACAGCCCTGACCTGAATGTGACCTAAAATATGGGTGCTATTGTTGAAGATAGGATGGATATTGTGTTCAAAAAGAGGACGTTGGGGGTATATACTCCAAGGGAACTCTTCTAAAATGCCTTAAAAAGGTCTTATAAGGATTGCAAAGTGCCACATCCCTATTTGAAGTGCATTTAAGGTCATATATGGAAAGCATTGCTGCTGTTAACATGGCCTAGGGAGACAAATCGACTATTATTTTGGTGTAAAAGTGACTTTAATTTTGGCTAAACCCTAATTTTTGAAATACCTGTAACTTTTTCCCATTTGTGAGTTGAACCATGATATTTGGCAGATCAATGTAACTTTGAATGAGCTTTAAAATGATGTATGGCAAATACTATGGAGACATTGGTATATGTCTGCCTAGGGGGGCCCCCATACTTTCGGGACACCCTGTATGTAAGGAAAAAGAAGTTACACACTTACTTTAAGCAACATTATGAACAAGGCATTAACATGCAAAACGTCACCACCTGGCATTTGTTACAGATGCTGAATGCCTAATGCCGAACACCAACTGCTTAACTCTGAATGCTGTCCACCAAAAAGAGACTTATAACAATATGTCACCACTTCTGGTGGTGGTGACATAACAGTTGGTAAACAGACCCAGACAAATAACCCCACCTCTACCTCAGGGTCAAAATTGATGATAGGTTCAGGGGTGGTGGTCTCAGACCTAGGCCCCAGGCTCTGGTTGTGGGGCTGATTCCTCATCCATGCACGACATATAGGGTACAGGGGTGTTTGATCATCAAACTGGGCCAAGTCAACACTTCGATCAAACAGTTTCATCACATAAGTATCTAGAATTAAATGCAATCAATTCGGTCTACAGCAAGTGTGATCAGATCTTTCTCCTTTTGAAGTACAGTACAAAAAAATTATCTTCCAGTTTGGTAAACAGAGCAAATGATGGCCTTGTTATTGTGTCTCAATATTTTTTGCCTGCTATTAAATTTCGTGAAATTTGCCAATTGGATCCCCTGGGAAATATGACATTAGGTAGACATGATTACTGTACATTAATGAACCATTGTTTGTGCCATGTGGTCATCTCGTATATGTGGTCTAGGGTAACATAAAACAATAACTAAAAGCTCTCAGGTTTCAGAGAATGAAAGTTATACAAATCATATTTCACATACATTTAACTGAGGGACCAAAAGGGAATAAATCCAGACTCATACTTTGCGAAATTTAATACTTATAGTGTATAACATTTACTGGGAGTACATTAAGTCAAACAAGGCACCCAGTGAAGCATAGTCTTACTTTAGGATATTCCTATTGTTATGAGTCTCATATTGATTTATGAAAACAACCAAATAAAGAAGTCAGTGCATCTCGAGTCTACCTCTTCAAATGTTTTATAATTCAAACTTACGATGATAGTGTGGCTGCATTTCATCAGTTTCATCTTTCCTCTTTCTTTTCCTGCTCTTGCTACTTGATCCCAATCCTTTTTTAGGAGTAGATGGGCCAGAATCACTAAAAATACATAATTCAAAATAAAATATGAATTTAAGTAAAGAATTTGTTAACATTACTCAAAAAAATTCTTGCAATCACAAAAGCAATAGTTCTGCTTACTTAACTGAGCTACTCTCCTTCAACATGATTATTGCCAATTTTTTTTTGATAATTCCTATTCCACATGAAAGAACTGAAAATCAAATTTTATTACTAGATTTCTTTAGATATGCTTCTTATTCTCCAACCCATTATTAGATGATATTTCTTTTACTCAGCTTACCTGAAATAGTTGTCTTCTGGCTCAAGTTTAATCCAAACTTCCTCATCTACTTTTGAAGGACTGAAATAAGCAAAGAGGTTTTGCAAGATTCAATAGCATCAAAATATACTGGCAGTACATTATGTCAAACAAGGCACCCAGTGAAGAATAGTCTTACTTTTCGATATTCTTATTATTATGAGTCTCATACAGATTTATGAAAATAGCCAAATAAAGAAGTCTGTGCATCTTGTGCCTACCTCTTCAAAACGTTTCTCATAGAAATCAAAGTAATCACTTTTAGATTATTTAGAAGCATCTAAAATTGATTCAAACATGATCGTGCTGTAATTGAATTTCTCAACCAATCAGCATAGCCAATAATGAATGTTGTCTATTTCTCCATACATGCACGACCGTGCTCTATTCAATCTGCTTCCAGGAATCTATGTACATGTATTGTGTTGTATTATGACGTCACATCTGGGAATGGCGAAAATAATGGCAAGTTTTGTTATTTCATTGACCTTGATCCCCAATTCTCTGAACAAGGTTTTCATTTTTATGTTTGAATCGGAATAAATAATGATAGGCCATCGGTTCGTGGTTTGTACAACATTCTGCCAAACTTGTGCTGAATTTCACCATATAGAATGGCCTATCATTATCTATTTCTCAATCAAAAATTAGTACCATGGGTACTGGGCTCACATGGTGACAGAAAAAAACGGATATAATTTTTTGCTGATTTTTTGTTACAAAATTATTTCAAGCCATCTGTCTCTCAGTCAATTAAAATGGCTGAAAAAAAAACGGATATAATTTTTTGCCAATAATTTGTAACAAAATTATTTCATACAACTACTCTTTACAGTGACATGGCTTTTTGCAATGCAAGACACCTGAAATTATTTGTAAAGCTAGGAAATGGGCCAAAATTGAATTTCGCGAGACAAAAATGGCGACCATTTTGAAATCAGGCAAGCTTTTGAACCAGGAGTCATAGGGGAGGTTTTTGTATTGATGTTGAACAAAAATAACTTGAAACTGGAATCCTATCGACAGAGGTTTTAAGCAAATGGTCCAAAAGAGGATTTCGCGAGACAGATGGACAAATCAATGTTTACTAAAATGGCTGAAAATAAAAAAAACTGATATAATATTTTGCCGATTTTTTGTAACAAAATTATTTCATACAACTACCTTTTACAGTGACATGGCTTTTTACAATGCAGGACAGCTGAAATTATTTGTAAAGCTAGGAAATAGGCAAAAAGTGAATTTTGCGAAACAAGAATGGCAACCATTTTGAAAATAGGCGAGCTTTTGAACCAAGAGTCATAGGAGAGTTTTTTGTATTGATGTTGAACAAAATTAACTTAAAATGGGAATCCTATCGACAGAGGGTTTAAGGTAAATGGTCCAAAAGTGGATTTTGCGAGACAGATGGACAAATGAATGTTAACTAAAATGGCTGAAAATAAATAAATGGATATAATTTTTCGCTGATTTTTCGTAACAAAATTATTTCATACATCTACTCTTTACATTGACATGGACTTTTACAATGTAGGACACTTGAAATTATTTGTAAAGCTAGGAAATGGGTCAAAAGTGAATTTCGCGAGACAAAAATGGCGAGCATTTTGAAAATAGGCGAGCTTTTGAACCAGGAGTCAAAGGAGAGTTTTCTGAATTGATGTTGAACAGAAATAACTTAAAACAGGAATCCTATCGACAGAGGTTTTGAAACGTGCCACAGAAAGTGGATTTCGCGAGTCAGATAGACAAATCAATGTTAACTAAAATGGCTGAAAATAAAAAAATGGATACAATTTTTCGCTGATTTTTTGTAACAAAATTATTTCATATATCTACCCTTTACATTGACATGGATTTTTACAATGTAGGACACCTGAAATTATTTGTAAAGCTAGGAAATAGGTCAAAAGTGAATTTCGCGAGACAAAAGTGACGGCCATTTTGAAAATAGGCGAGCTTTTGAACCAAGAGTCATAGGAGAGTTTTTTGTATCGATGTTGAACAAAATTAACTTAAAATGGGAATCCTATCGACAGAGGGTCTATTAAGGTAAATGGTCCAAAAGTGAATTTTGCGAGACAGATGGACAAATCAATGTTAACTAAAATGGCTGAAAATAAATAAATGGATATAATTTTTCGCTGATTTTTCGAAACAAAATTATTTCATACATCTACTTTTTACTTTGCAATGGATTTCTACAATGTAGGACACTTGAAATTATTTGTAAAGCTAGGAAATGGGTCAAAAGTGAATTTCGCGAGACAAAAATGGCGGCCATTTTGAAAATAGGCGAGCTTTTGAACCAGGAGTCATAGGGGAGTTTTCTGAATTCATGTTGAACAGAAATAACTTAAAACAGGAATCCTATCAACAGAGGTTTTAAAACGTGCCACTGTTATTGACAGAAAGTGGATTTCACGAGTCAGATAGACAAATCAATGTTAACTAAAATGGCTGAAAATAAAAAAATGGATACAATTTTTCGCTGATTTTTTGTAACAAAATTATTTCATATATCTAATCTTTATATTGACATGGATTTTTACAATGTAGGACACCTGAAATTATTTGTAAAGCTAGGAAATGGGCCAAAAGTGAATTTCGCGAGACAAAAGTGACGGCCATTTTGAAAATAGGCGAGCTTTTGAACCAGGAGTCATAGGGGGGTTTTCTGTATTGATGTTTAACAGAAATAACTTAAAACAGGAATCCTATCGACAGAGGTTAGCTAGGAAATGGGCTAAAAGTGAATTTCGCGAGACAAAAGTGACGGCCATTTTGAAAATAGGCGAGCTTTTGAACCAGGAGTCATAGGGGGTTTTCTGTATTGATGTTGAACAGAAATAACTTAAACAGGAATCCTATCGACAGAGGTTTTAAAACGTGCCACTATTGTTGACGGACGGACGGACAGACGGACGGACGGACGGATGGACAGACAGACGGACAAGTGAGTGATTGCAAAAGCTCACCATGTGAGCTAAAAACAGAATTTATAGGCTATAAACTTAAGGGAAACAGGAAAATGTTCTAGGCAGATATGGTCATTATTAGCATAATTTGGGCAAAATGGTAATACTGTACTCATGGTTTATTTTGCAAGTTTTAATTTTGCAGATTTCGAGAAAGCACAATTTTGCGGTTAAATTTTGTGGACTGCACAACAATTTCAATTCTATTATTCTATGGATCCTTAAGCTAAATGTAAGTTACCTTGTGTACAGTAATTACAAATCCCCAGGGATTTAATTGGCAAATTTCAGGATGATTATTATTTCTTGCGATTTATGAATCACGATTTATGAATCACGATCTGTGCAAAATTAAATCACACACAAAAAATACCAGGAGTACAGTATCTGGAATGAATAATTATATGTATGTACTATTGTAAAGATGCATACTTTACTCCCACATAATATTTCAAAAACATTTGAAATGAAAGTGTTACCACTGCTAGAATTTTTTTTATGATACTACAATCTTTTATTTATTATAAAATCAATTTACCATACAAGATTTAGTTTTTATAAAACATTGACCAGTGTGACTTGGACATCCAGTGTGTACTATAAGTGTTACAAATGGTATCTATCAAGTACCTCTCTTCTTTCTTTTCTACAAGATTCTGGAGGACCCCATCTAGTTTGCTCCTTGCAGAAGTCACCTCTGTAGTCTTTTTCTCAACAGGAACATTATCTGTTGAAGAATAGAGAGAAAATGTTAAGAGGCAACAAATTAAATGGATGTGTTAAGGGTCACTAATAAAACACGTTCAATCAGTGAAACCTTACTAAAAGACTTATTATATTTTTTAATTTACATGTACTGTATGCTGTGTGTATGATTGGGGTCATGCATGTAGATGGGTTATTATCCATTTGAGTTTGATTGTAGTCAGCACTTTATATCTCCAATACCTTTAAAGGGCCTTTAAAAATGAAAACAGTCAAAGTTACCCTTTTTGAAAATACCTGACTGTTAACAGACTTGCCAACCTCCCGTTTTTTTACGGGAATCTCCCGTAAATTTTTTGTTTTTCCGTAAAAAATACCAAACTCCCGTACCGTTTTCTCCCGTAAAAACTCCCGTAAACTCCCGTACCGTATTTCTACTAAAATCTCCCGTAATTTTTTTTAAGAATATGGTCGTAAAATCTCCCGTATTTTTGCTGAAATCTCCCGTATTCTGGTGTAACTCCCGTAAAATCTCCCGTATTCTTGGTATAACTCCCGTAAAATCTCCCGTTTTCTGGTATAACTCCCGTATTCTTGGTATAACTCCCGTAAAATCTCCGTTTTTTGCTGTCGAAATCTACCGTATTTAAAAGGAATTTGACAAATTTGTGACTTTGATTATTGCAGGCACGCTTCTTTCTTTTACTCCAAGAAGGTTGGCTCCCATGGTTCACTATCGATACTTTCATAAATAACTTAAAAGTACTTCATTCCCATGATTCAAATTGCTTTTCTGCGATCAGTTCGGTATAAGTTTGCACACCAAATGTCCACAAATGGGGGCCAGTTCATATTCTGTCATACTTCTGTCGGGAGAATACATTTTATTTTTATATGGCGCTAAACAAAATATTGCCGCAATATAAGGCGCATTATAGGTAGGGACTGCTGTGAAATAATGAACGTAAGTGACATCTATCTTAGATTATAAGTTCTAATTAATTTATTAACTGCGCATGCGTCGTAATAATTTCAACCAATTAAATCACTGGATAAATGCTCATAAATCTTCCGTAAAAACTCCCTTTTTTCAAAATCTAGAGTAAAAACTCTCGTTATTTCAGAAATCTACCGTAAAAACTCACGTTTTTTTCAAAATTTAGCGAAAAAACACCCGTTTTTTCAGAAACCTACCGTTAGAACTCCCGTTTTTTCAGAAATCTACCGAAAAAAACTCCCGTTTTTTCAGAAATCTACCGTAAAAACTCCCGTTTTTTCAAAATCTAAAGTCAAAACTCCCGTTTTTTTCAAAATCTAAAGTAAAAACTCCCGTTTTTTCAGAAATCTACCGTAAAAACTCCCCGTTTTTCAGAAATCTACCGTAAAAACTCCCGTTTTTTCCGAAATCTACCGTAAAAGCTCCCGTTTTTTCAGAAATCTACCGTAAAAACTCCCGTTTTTTCAGAATCTACCGTAAAAACTCCTGTTTTTTCAGAAATCTACCGTAAAAACTCCTTTTTTTTCAGAAATCTACCGTAAAAACTCCTGTTTCTTTAAAAATCTACCGCAAAAACTCCCGTTTTTTCAAAACCTACCGTAAAAACTCCCGTTTTTTCAGAACCTACCGCAAAAACTCCCGTTTTTTCAGAACCTACCGCAAAAACTCCCGTTTTTTCAGAACCTACCGCAAAAACTCCGGTTTTTTCTGCAATCTTCCGTAAAAAAGTCACGTTTTTTAAAATTTACCGCCTTTTCAAAGTCTCCCGTAAAAACTCCTGTTTTTTTTTCAATTTACCGCAAAAACTCCCGTTTTTTTTAAATCTCCCGTAAAAACTACCGTTTTTTTCAAAAATCTCCCGTAAAAACTCCCGGTTTTTATCAAAAAACTCCCGCAAAAACTACCGGATTTTGAAAAAAACTCCCGTAAAAGTACCGCAACTTTTTTTAAATCTCCCGTAAATTTTTCATTTTAGGTTGGCAAGTCTGGTTAATCTAACAGACTTTACACAAACATTTTCAATCTGACAAGAACAATAATTTTGACTAGAGATCATTACATTGGGCCTGATGCACTGCCTGATTTCAAGAAAACATTAGTCAGAATTCGTTATCATAAATGCGTTGATGCCATACTTTGAAGAAAATAATGTATAGTCTAGACTTACTTGACGAAGATGGAGAGGGAACTGAAACATTTATGGATCTTGCCTTCGACATTTCGACGTATTGTTGCTAGTCTGTTGGATGAAATCTGCTCAAAATCCAAAATAAACATACAACTATATTTCCGTTGAATAATAAATTAAATTATTTGAAAAGATATATTATAATTGCAGAGATATTAGCGAAACTGTATAATTATTCTAGTTTTCCCTCTTCAAAATCGGACGCCATTAAAACTCAGCCTCGTTTTCGGAAGGACTTCTGATTCGCTCAAATACTTCCGGGTTACACAGGTAGATTCATCTAGGTAAGTGCTAAGGTCCAAAAGTGCTTATTTTCCATTATTGTGAGCTAGATGTACAGTTGGGGACAAAAATAAATGACAGGTCGATTTTCGATCACCATTTCCTTATTATGGTGGTCTGAAAGCCCATAATTTCCAATATTGTCTAGATATATATCCCTTAAAATTTGTATATTTTACATTTTGTATAATCTCATCCACTGATGTATGGCCTCTTGTAAATTCTCTTATTTTTAACATGGGAAATCCTCACTTCAGCAAATCCACCTGTCATTTATTTATGTCCCCAACTGTATATACTATACGATTTATATTTACTTAGACTACTTTTGCGATAAACTGGTTCACATATATAAGACGACTAAGCTATTAGAAAATATAAGCCATGGCTAATTACTAAAGCCCATAAATGTTAGTCATATAAATCTGACCCTCGTATGATGTTATTTGTTGTTATTTTTTCTGATTTGGATATTTATTTTTTCTTATTTTCTTGCATACTAGACGGTATGCTAAGAAAATGATAAAAAATAAATATCCAAATAGGAACAAGGAATATCGAAGAACAGCATATAACGGTCGGATTTATATGACTAATAAATGTCAACCTCGCATTTTTGGGGTAAAGCTGACACACCATTGGTCCAGATCTTACTGAACACACCTGTCTAAAGTCTTTAGGCACGTGTATTCCACATCCTATCTATTGCAAAACTTGCCTGGCACAACCGTCAGATCAGAACACCATCACTTAACTAGTACAAAGAATATTATAGTGATAGCGAAACCCCCAAAGTGAAAAAAACAGCTTGCTATACCACTCTTATAAACCACTAATAGACTACATCAACACTAATACTCAACTAAGTACAACATGATCTATTAGTGATCTGTTAGTGGTCATTTTCGTTAACAGATCACTTTTCGCCATTGACTTATTAGTTGAAAAAATTACCATGCAAATGAGACAAAAATTATTGACCAATCAAGGGCGTTACAATACCCGGGAATTTATCGGTTCGTCCAGTACTTGTTTGTGATAGCGCCCTCTGTAGGTCACTGTGCTTATAGCCTACAGTAATACGGGGTAGGATATCGGGAATTCGGTCAGTTTCTATCCGTCGATTTCGCTATGAATTGAAGCAAGTGTGACCACTTTATCCACTTAAACAATTTGATAATTGATTAAATCTTTAAACAAAATCGATAAACACGTTATACACTTCCTATCTCCTTAGAAATTAGCATGTATTTATGGATTGTGTTTTCGAACAAGGCTCGACCCACCCCAATAGGGAAATCCTTATGCTAATTAGTATGACGTCATATTTTCCTGGGGAATCCTAGATTTCAAAGCCTCAGTCTGTTATTGTGTCAAATGTAAACGCTCTTGGGACGCTCTTTTGCAGACAGAAAATTGACAGATTAGCTTTTAACTTTCAGCTTTGATGTTAAAATATTCTGTATTTCTACCGGACTTCTTGCTGAATATCATATAATGTTATAACTTGATTTGGACCATTGCCTGATTGATCATTCTGAAATTTTGATTGTGATTCATGATTGATTGGCAAGAAAAAAGAATTCCTATTGTTTTCCAGCGAAGTCAAAATGTTACAGCATGAGTTATAATGTCGAGTTTGCATCATGTTAAATTCTGCTAGTGATTAGAAGTCCATGCACAAGCATACACATAAGAGACAAACACACCCAGGCTCCAGGCCGTGGATGGAAATATAAAACTATTTAAGGCACAAACTGGTATTAATAGACCGATATGTAGTGTCTGCCATGTATTGAAGGTAAACCAATCTGTATTATTAATGTTTCTTCTATCAATACATGGATTGTGCAATAGAAAAGCAATGGCACAATCAAAAATGTGCATATCAATCGTGAATATCTCTCGGTTCAAAGCTTATTTCCAACAGAATCGTGTCAAAATATGTGTCTGAGTAACAGTTATACATTATAAGATCGCAAACTCTTACCAATTATCAGCCGAATGGCTCATTTTCAACGAAATGTCCTTAAGACAACAGCCCTGGGTCGCGCCTGAGACCAAAAACTACTTCAAATAGCCCTCCCCTAATTATATTGGATAATCACATTTATGCGTGCGCGCGCAGCTCATCCAATGAACGAAACGCCACTTCCCGCTGAAATCACCGGGTATTGATCTTTCCCTTGGACCAATCAGAGAGCATGTAATACACTACTAATAGATCACTCCTGAAGTCTCAAGTATTACTAATAGACCACTAATACATCACTTCCTGAACTCTTATACACCACTAATACACCACTACTAGTCTTAGACTAATACACTTCTAACAAATCACTCCTGAAATCTCAGAATTTTATACATCCATAAGGTACAAAATCTCCATAGTGCTAAATTCGGTGAGAAATTATAAATAAGATTCAATCAAGGATCAGTTTAATACACTACTAATAGACCATTCCAGAAAAAATCAAGTTAATACCCAACTAACAAACCACTCCACCTAAAAAACTGTACAGTGGTTTAATTATTAGTTGAGTATTGCCAGTTGTAATACATACATGTAACTTATAAACCACTTGACTAAATCACTTTCCATGGTGTATTGGTGATCTATTGGTGATGTATTAGTGGTATATAAGATTTCTTTTTACTTGGGCCTGCTTGAGATGCTGCCATGAGTGGGTGTGGTCTGTGTCTCTGCATGTTCACACAGTATTTCATGTACACAAGGAGATATGCCGAGTACTAAAATAGTACTCATGGCATTTTAGCGCTAATTGAGTACTCATTTCAGCAAATATTAGTACTAAATGAGCACTTATGACATGAGTACTGATTTATTGCATGTTTTAGTACTAAATGAGTACTCATATGATGAGTGATAAAATAGCGCTAATTCCATCGATTTTTCATTACTCAGTGAGCACTCATACTTTGAGCACTAATTAATTGCATGTTTTAGTACTAAATGAGTATATATATCATGAGTGATGAAATAGCACTAATTTCATTGATTTTTCATTACTCAATGAGCACTCATATTATGAGAACTAATTTATTGCACATGTTTCATCACGAGTGATAGAATAGTACTCAAGAATTAAAATGTTGATAAATTGTTTTTAATTGATGAAGTAAAATATAGAATACGTTATAAATTACATTTTAATAAAACGAAAACATGGATAAATATATCATTAAACTTTTCCAAAAATTCCCATTCCTGTAGCTATTTCATGTAACGGGTTGACAGATACCATATTGTTCCATTCTTGAGAAAAGTGCATATACAGGGTGGGCCAAAAAAACAATACCCAACTTTAAATCAGGATAAAAATAGTTATTCAATATGGTACATTGACTTATATATCATTTTAAAGGTAATGCATTTTCAAACAATTTGGTATATAACACTATGACATAAAATCAATAGTAAAGGTATATTATACTTATTTGAGAGGCTGGGTTACTATTTGAGGTATTTAAGGTATTTAAGATTTTAGGGAGAAAACAGTAAATCTGTGGAATTATTTATTTTATTTATTTATTTATTCAGTAAGCTAAGTATTGAAATACAGACAATGAGCGGGCGACACGAATTGTGTATATTCCCGACAGGGTGGTAAGTTGCCTACATAGAAACAGAGGGGGATCTGTTTGTGTGCAAATGCTTGTAATGGGTGGTAACTGAATGGTGTGTCATAGAGCCCAAAATATAAAGTATGCATATGATATTCAATTATTAACAAAGTACTTTTTCAGCTCTCTTTTCATGATGGGAACTTTTTACTCATAGAATATCATTTTGTTAGGTGAATACAAGCTTGTATATTTGCATCATTTGTGACTAAACTTATTGTGTATGAATTTCAGTTGTTTACTCTCAATAAGTACTCAAAAGAGGTATGTTAAAAGACATAAAACGTATATGTAGTGAGGGTTTTATTTTTCAACAAGACAGTGCCTTGTATCATAGATCAAAGGAGACATTGGCATTCCTTCACGAACAAGTTGTCAATTTGACTGATCAAGATGCATGGCCACCCAGCAGTCCCGATGCTAATGTGGTGGATTACCATATATGGAGCCATCTCCATGTATGGTAATGGGTCCAGGAAATGGTGTTCAATCACAAGCATCCAATTAAAAGTAGTGATAAGCTGAACTGCGGAATCCTAAAGTGCTGGAATGACACCTAGAGGGGGGGGGGGGGCATGTTAGGCAATTGTCTAAATAAATTAATGGTAAAATGTTATTAAACAACTCTGAAATTCATAAACAATAAGTTAGTATACAATGATGCAAATATACAAGGATGTATTCAACAAAATAATATTCTATAAATAAAAAGTTAAAAATAATTCTACAGATTTACTGTTTACTCCCTAAAATGTAGAGACCTTAAATAGCGACCCAGCCTCCCAAATAAGTATAATATACCTTTACTATTGATTTCATGACATAGTGTTATATACCAAATTGTTTGATTGAAAATGTATAACCTTTAAAATGATATGTAAGTCAATGTATCATATTGAACGTAACTATTTTTATCCTGATTTGAAGTTGGGTATTGATTTCTTTTGGCCCACCCTGTATATATACACTGCTTTGTTACTAGCTATGAATAATGAGGTAATGATGAGGTAAGTTGTATTTAAATGAGAAATTACTGGTGAGTTCTACATGTGCTGCTATGAGAGGAAGTCTAAATAACAAAATTGAAGGTAGCATGTGAAGTGTATCCCAGCTAGAATGATACCTGCTGAGTGCTTATTATTTAGTAAATGAACAATATTTTAGTGCTAAATGAGAAATTTCTTAGTACTAAAAGAGCGCTCAAGTAGCACTTCTAGATCATTCTTTACTCAAACGGTACTGAATTTAACCCTAATTATTTTTCACAAATTTAGTCCTAAAATAGCACTCAATTAGTAATAAATTAGCACTCTGGCAATATTAGTGCTAATTTAGCACTAATTTTGTACTAATTGAGTTATCGGCATATCTCCCTGTGTACAAGACGTCCGTCCACATGTCCGTTCGGAAGATAACTCAAATACAAATGGACAAATTTTTTTCATATTTTTGGAAAGATGTATATTGGTAAATAGTTTTATGCAAAAAATATTTTTTCAAGATGGCCGCCGCTTTACAAATGGCGGGAACTTTTTGCGAGAATCTTATATTTTCATTTTAAACCAAAGTTATATATATTTTTGTTTGAAATTTTGGTAGTATATTCACAACATCTATTTATCCCACATATATTCAGTTTTTTTCACCCTGACCCACAGGGGCCGTGCATTGGGGTTGGGAAAACAGAAATTTGCTATGCGTTAATTTTGAGATCTTTCTGAAGTATAGCTTCATTATAATCAAATGAAAGGCAATTTAGAGTAGATTGCAAATATTGTATTGTAATAATTTGGGCCCCGGAAATTCAAAATGGCCACCTTATGTGAAATTTCGCAAAATATTTTCTGATCTCCTGAAAGTATGGCTATATTATACTCAAACTGAAGCAAATTTAGGGCAGATCATTATTATGGTAATGTTATTCTGAGTGTCTCAGAAAATTTAAGATGGCTGTGAACACCGCCCCTTAAAATGTGGACACCTTGGTCCAAATCTGGACACCTTGATCCAAATTTTGAACACCTTGGTTTAAATTTTATTACATCTTGCCAAATTTTGAACACCTCAACGGGGGGGGGGGGGGGGGGGGGGGGGGGGTAGGTACGAAAAATTTCGAACGGAGTGCGTGACATATACGTAATTCGCGTGAAAAGTCCGAACGAAATGCGTACATTTTTTTTCCAGCGTTCGTATTTTTGCTGTGTAGACGATCTTTTTTAGAAATTTTTCTACAGAAATATTTTTGCTTGACAATTACCAGGTAAAATGCGTATTTGCGTGACATTTTCTGTCACGCAAAAATAACTGGCGTGACTTCAAATTCTTCAGCAAATGCGTGACAAATACGCAAATTGCGGGACAGTTGACAGGCCTGTGGCTGCCAACAGGAATTTGCGTTCATTTTGAGATCTTCCTGAAGTATAGCTTTATTATACTCAAATGAAAGGCTATTTAGAGTAGATTGCAAATATTGTATCATTTTTTTGATTTGGGCCTCGTAAAATTCAAAATGACTGCCTTATGTGGGATTTTGCAATAATTTTCTGATCTCTATAAAGTAGTCTATATCAAATTGAAGTAAATTTAGGGTAGATCACAATTATTGTATTGTTTTCCTGATTTGTGCCTCAAAAAATTAAAACTGTCTTTATTATTTGTGCCTTTGAAACTCTTCAATGTTCACCAAAATGCTTAAATTGGTAAATTCTGATATACAGTAAAACCTGTCCGATGGAATACCTCTCTGTAGGGAAAACCTATGAACAAGGAATGCTTTTCAAAAGAACCAAATATTTTTCCATTGACTTACATGTTAACGGACCCTCTCTGTAAGGAAAACCTGTGAACAGGGAACAAGGAACACTATTTTGGGGCAAATTATGAAAATTCACCTGTGAACAAGGAATATTGAATATTGGTGACACTGTATATTCCATTATTTTTCAGAGGTGTGAAAGTCTTAAGCCAATATCTGATTCTGAAAAGCTTGGATTAATATTGAGATTAAGATAAGCCAATTGTTTACAAGATGTAGCATCCCACCCACTGTTAATTACCCTGATATATTTTAAAACTAATACAAATCTGTTTGTTACTAATTATCATTGACACTAATTCTTCCTTTCAACAAACATAATTACATCAAATCAGTTGTGATAATCTAGGGAATGACACAATTGTTTTATGGAGATAACAGATGAAATAAGTACATGTGTCATGATGAGCCAAATCCATCAATAATTACAACAACTAGACATCATCATACGCCAGCAGCAGCGGCTAAAATCAACATTGGGAGAATGCTCCTTACCCTCAGCTAAAGGAGGGAGGTGGGAGACCTCATACATCTTCCAAGATGTCACAACAAGGTCTAGCAACCAAGTATGGAGTCGGCATTGGTCAAATCAATTAATGCCCAAATATATACAAAAAAATGCTTATTCGGCAATTCTGCTGAAAGTGCGGTCCCTCTCTATAGGGAAAACCTCTGAACAAGGAAACTTTCCTCCAGTCCGAAGAGCATTCCCTGTTCGCAGGTTTTACTGTATCTCTAATGTTTGTATTTTTTGTGACAAATACAGATTCATATAATATTATATCTTTTATTGACAATTTATATCAGTTACATGATACATTAGTCACTAAAACACTACAAACTACTACTACAACTATTCTAACTACAAATATTGTTATGGTGTTCGTTGGGATTTGCTACTCCGTGGAGTTGCAGTTTTCTAGTTTTTTGATTTTTAAACAGTATTTAGGTAGTTGAACCTAAAGCAAACCTACTTTTTATAGGTTCATTTAACCAAACAAATTATTAGACTCACGCTTAGGTTCGCTCTAGGTTTCGAACCTGCATCGCCCACTGAAAGACTCGGGTAACAAAGTGTGTGACTTGCAACATCTATTTCTGCTTTTAAAGACCCCATGTAGAGTTTGAAAATATGTTTTCATCATTCATTTACAGTTTTTCATGACTTTAAAAGTTATATTAGATATTTTTGAAAAGAAATTGAAGAAAAGTTGCACATACAGCTTTGCATAATTTTTTGAGGAAGGTTTTTTGTAACCTTTTGTTGAACAATTTAAAATTTTTGTATTAGTGTTAGTTTAAGGAATATTTGAGGAATGCTTTGGTGTTAAGGATTATTTGGAAGTTCTACACCTCAGTGATTTCAATGTGGGGAGAACAATGCATTTGAGAATGTACACTTAGGGTGAACATGATCTCATTGGGCCCGCGCTGCCCCTGTGTGACAGTTACTGCTTTATTTTAGTGAGGGATCAGCCAGACCAAGACATGGATCCTGTTTTCAAGGCCTCGATTTTAACATCTACACTAGAGGGGTTCAAAATGTTGACCCTGACAATGGCAAAACGTCTCAGAATGTTTGAGATACTGGGAAAATATGTTTCCCCAAAAACTTCAAAAGAAATTGCTGAATCAGCAGGATATAGAGAGAAGTGAGTGAACATTGGTTGGTGAATGTTGTTATTTGGCCTATTGACCCCATGGGCATGAGAATGATATAACATCTTTAAGCACATTTTGCAAGCTGGACAAGCATCAAGTTTTTTTGTTGACTGAATATTGTTTGATTTGCACAATCCATTCATTGTACTTTAAAGTGCATTATACACAATTATTTGTAGTTAGTCCATCACAGTGTTCATGATAGCCTTTGCCCAAGTCAGTCTCTTACTTATTTTGATTTCTAAGGTAATAATTCAAGATCAGATAAGTAAAAAGTACCGGCTTGGGCAAGGCTATGTTTATGAATATTATCTATTATCATCTGTTTTTCAGCTATGTTACTCAATTGCTTGATACCATGGTGACATTCAAGTACATAAACTATGATGTACAAGACAAAACCTACTTTCTGCCCATAGAACATCGAGAAGTTTTGAACCAGGAGAGCTGGCCTCTAAAATGGCTAGAAATTGTGCCCTTATTTTCCGCAGCTCAACCTGAACTTGAGAAGATTTTCAAAGTGGATGGTCCAACTGGTAAGTTTTAAGCTAAATATTTTACAGTTGAATTAATTAAAACCATAGGACATTGCAATTATTCTGAATTCATGAGAATAATACATGTTGAATAAGAAATTTTGAAAAAAGGTCCTTTATTCTTGACATTAGAAATACTCATGCCAAAGGTAGAACAAACAAAATCTAGTTTTAAAATCAATTAGCATCCCCAAAACTGTTGCCATATTCATTTGAAGATGTGGTGTAAAGATGTTACATTGACTGAGCCAGGAACTACCAGGGGTGTTGACTAATACAGTATATATAAAGACGCAGCAATTAGACTGCAAAGTGTAAAATGTTGGAAGAAATCCTTAAACTGCCTATGTTTTTATTTTCTGGAAGAATTTAGATATCCGCATGATGAAATATAGAAGTTTTTGAAGAGTCCACTTCTCTTTCTTTGCTAGATAATCTTAAAATCAAAGGATTAGCATACATAATGTTTGGCTTGAAATAATCCTTAAAGGCCCCATGTAAAGTTTAAACCACTTTGGCTTATATTGTAGTCTTACCCAATGTTATCAAAGTGTGATATGTGAAACTTTTTCTTTTAATTTCAAAAAGTGGTTTTTGAGAGACTTTTTGTTCCAAAATTTGTGAATTTATTTAAAACCAACTTTAAGAGGTCACTCATATCTTCTAATTAGCCACAACTCATACCAATGCATAGCATACATCCTCCCATGTTTTTTGCTGAAAAAATTAAGAAAATCGGTTGATAAACAAGTGAGAAATGAACTTATCAGTGCATGAAAATGGTTCTGAGAAAAATGCATTTCAAAATTTTAGTTCTCATAGAAACCAATGGTACAATGATATCTAAAACATAATTTATTCTTCCTTTTAACCTGGTTAGACAATCAACATTGGTTTTTTATGAAAGTCTAGCATATTTAGAAAAGATTGACATCGAAAAAAAAATTCAATTTTTTTCAAAAAGTTTTTGTTACCTTAGTGACATCACTAATGTTTCAAAATATTTTTGATAAGCTAAAACATTGAAGTGGCCCATTAAATATGACATTTTATTATTGAAATAGTGTGTCTTTTGTTCAATCTTTGTATTGGTGTTAAAAATATAATCTTTTTTGAAATGCATTAAGAAATATTTGATGATTAAGAAATTTCAACTTATTTTGAAAAATGGCGGGAAATTTGAATATTTGAGAAATGAAATGCTCACAACTTATTTTTCAAAAAAAAATGTTTGTTCAAAAGTCTCTAAAATCGCTTTTTAAGTCCTGACAAATAGTAAATGAATGATAAAAAATATTTTCAAACTTTAGACGGGGACTTTAAATATCTTGATGATTTACAGTGTTAAGATGAAACCGCAGAACACCAATGGTGTGATATGTCTGAACATTACATACATGCAATGTATTCATGTATATAAAACCACAGAACACCAATGGTGTGATTTGTCTGAACATTACATACATGCAATGTATACATGTATATAAAAGCTGTGTCCTTTATATTCTGCAGCGTTACCAGAAGCAATGAATGATGCTATGCAGCCATGGTTGAATGAACATTGGGGATTTGATGAGCCTGGGGAAGACTATGTTAAACAATTGGTTGACAGCATGCCAGAGTTGAAGAACAAGTTGGGTAAGTCATAGAAACCTGAAATAATATCACTATCCTACTTGATTCTACATATTTGGTTCATTTCTAATCAATTAATATTGCACACCCCCATTTTATTGATTCTACATGTTTGGTTCATTTCTAATCAATTAATATTGCAGACCCCCATTTTATTGATTCTACATGTACATGTTTGGTTCATTTCTAATCAATTAATATTGCAGACCCCCATTTTATTGATTCTACACGTTTGGATCATTTCTAGTCAATTAATATTGCAGACTCCCATTTTATTGATTCTACATGTTTGGTTCATTTCTAATCAATTAATATTGCAGACCCCCATTTTATTGATTCTACATGTTTGGTTCATTTCTAATCAATTAATATTGCACACCCCCATTTTATTGATTCTACATGTTTGGTTCATTTCTAATCAATTAATATTGCAGACCCCCATTTATTGATTGTACATGTTTGGTTCATTTCTAATCAATTAATATTGCACACCCCCATTTTATTGATTCTACATGTTTGGTTCATTTCTAATCAATTAATATTGCAGACCCCCATTTTATTGATTATACAATGTTTGGTTCATTTCTAATCAATTAATATTGCAGACCCCCATTTTATTGATTCTACATGTTTGGTTCATTTATAATCAATTAATATTGCAGACCCCCATTTTATTGATTCTACATGTTTGGTTCATTTCTCATCAATTAATATTGCAGACCCCCGATTTTATTGATTCTACACGTTTGGATCATTTCTAATCAATTAATATTGCAGACCCCCATTTTATTGATTGTACATGTTTGGTTCATTTCTAATCAATTAATATTGCAGACCCCCATTTTATTGATTCTACATGTTTGGATCATTTCTAATCAATTAATATTGCAGACCCCCATTTTATTGATTCTACATGTTTGGTTCATTTCTAAACAATAAATATTGCAGACCCCCATTTTATTGATTCTACATGTTTGGTTCATTTCTAATCAATTAATATTGCAGACCCCCGATTTTATTGATTCTACACGTTTGGATCATTTCTAATCAATTAATATTGCAGACCCCCATTTTATTGATTCTACACGTTTGGATCATTTCTAATCAATTAATATTGCAGACCCCCATTTTATTGATTCTACATGTTTGGTTCATTTCTAATCAATTAATATTGCACACCCCCATTTTATTGATTCTACATGTTTGGTTCATTTCTAATCAATTAATATACAGGGTGACAAAAAAAAACTGGAACCCATAAATCATCAAATTTCTCGGAAAGTATTATACCTACATTCTTCATTTCTTCAGGGTAGAAACTAGACTGAATGCATGACAAAATGACACCATAATGAGTACTGTAGCTTAGATATTAATCATGCCATGGACGACAGAAGAAAGGACTTATATTGTGAGAAAGTATATCGAGACAAAATCATATAAAGAGACACAAACTGCCTATAGGAGAGATCACAGGGGAAGAAGAGCCCCTTGCAAGTCACAGATCTTTAGGCTTGTACAGAAGTTTGATTCAGAAGGAACAGTAAAACCAACAAAGAAGAAAAGTGATGGTAAACCAACCTATTCTGGGAGACAGAGGTCTGTCAGAACTCGAGAAAACTCAACAGTCAACACAGAACGTTACATCCCTTACGTTCGAAAGTTTTGGAGAGCGCTGGGTAGACGACGTGACGTGAGAAGGGACCAGCAATGGTTCCAACAAGATGTTGCCACACCCCACACCTCAAATAAGTCCATTCAAAGGCTTCAGGCTCACTTTGGTGATCGATTAATCAGTCACCATACCTACCACATCTGCCCCCCCACTCCCCTGATTTGAACCCCCCAGATTTTTATCTGCGGGGTTATCTCAAGGAAAATGTGTATACAGATAGTCCACTGACAATTGATGACCTCAAACTCAACATAGGAAGACTAATTAGAGAGATGGTCAGAGATAAATGCAGTCGGGTCATTGACAATTTTGCGAGAAGAAACCAGCTCTGCATCCAACGTCGTGGTGCACATTTGGAGCACATTATCTAAACGTGCCTCATTTGGAGACTAATTGAGCTAGAATGCTCAAACGTTGACATCTTGTCATACATTCAGTTTACTATACAGGTACCAAATAACTAAGCTCAATATGAATAATTGACGAAGTTATTAAGACTTAAGTGGGTTCCAGTTTTTTTTGTCACCCTGTATATCCTCCTTGTCTAAACTTTATATCAGTATTTAAGCGAGCTGACAAAATTGCAAGCAACATTGATGATTTTAGAACACAACATTAAATGGCTGTTAATAAAAAAACATATCACAGGTTATTCACATATCGCTTTTTAACAAGTGTTTTCTCAGCAACTGATTGATTGAAATTTCTATAAAGTAGCCTTAGGGTATTATTAGCAAGTTGTACATGAAAGAGATCAGTTTCATATTATGTGAGAATTGACAAATTCAAAAATCAAATATGTCAAAAAATCCAACAAGGCCAATTTATAGAAATTTTCAAGAAATTTGAGGAATCAGTTGCTGAGAAAACACTTGTCAAAAAGCGATTCATTTTTGGGGACACCTGATATTACCCGTGGGGCTTTCTCCCCTGCTAGTATATTTTTACACATCATGATCAAAATGCTATTTGTTTCTATTCGTATTACTGTACATGAATTACACAAAACTGCTGAACAATCCAATGATTCATTGTCTTCCAAAAACACTTGCTAAAAGTTTCTTGTTGAATTTCATCTTTTGATATGTGTGACAAGAATTAAGCACATGGCTTGGTGAATTTTGGTGATTTAATGCACATTTTTCTTAATGCTTGACCAGCCATATTCAAAGTCTCATAGTCAAAATCATCCATGACAGTCACCAAATGGAGACTTTTATTATTAGATTAGATTGATTATATTGCACAGTCAACATTCAAAACTTTTGATTTAACCAGTTGAAATTACACATTATACAGTTTTATACAGTTACAGACCAGGTAGAAGCCATCGATTTGCAAAATATGTTTTGAATGTTTTCAGAGGCTGGAATTCAAGTTTTGGATGTAGGATGTGGATGGGGTGGACTAGGTGGTGCTTTTGCAAAACTCTACCCAAAATCCACACTGTATGGTATCGACCTTGAAGGAATCGATATTGCAAAGAAAAATAATGCCGATATAAAAAACGCCATATTTTCTGTTGCGGACTGCACTAAATTGGATCCCTCTTGGAGTGATAAGTTTGATTATGTGTACATCCGTAATGTCTTACACTTTGTACCCCCAAAGTCTTTGGATTCATCCATTCAAGAAATCTACAGGGTGCTTAAACCAGGAGGTACATTTTCTTTGATCCAGTTTAATCATAAAGAGATTGGACCCAATAAAGGAGATATATTTGTTTGTTGTGGTGGGGCTATTGGAATGTATGCATATCATGGATCAGAGGATGCCTGCCTAGGAGGAACAGAGGAAACCTCAAAAGAAGGGTCAAAAGAAGAGGAATATAAAATGGAAGATTTGTCAAGTGATATGCCTGATATGGCTCGTTCAGGCAAGTGTCCATTGGTACATGAAGATCGTGTACTGAAAGCTGCAGATTTTAAGAACCTACAGTTCATTCCTATAGCTTTTGATCAGGAACACATCCATATGACTTTCAGCAAGTTATAAGAAAAGTTGGGACTTGGGTACATGATTTCTGAATCTTGATGCCCTAGTAGCACTTTAAGCATGGACATACAGAAACCTGTAAATCTGATCCATGGTTTAAGCTGAATAATGACATTGTGCCATAGTATATAACAGTTTACAATTTTTGAATATTTTTGTTTTATATATGTACATGTGTGAACGTATACAGGGTATGCAATTAGTAAATGTATCTCACTACTGTAGGTGCTGTTTGTGTCCTTGTTATACCCATTTCAAGATGATACTATTGTGAATGTCAAAATATTTTACCATATTTGCCATATTTTACAACATTTACAACACAAATGTATTCAGCATGATGTCCATTGGATTTATAATATTTTGTATACAAATATAATATTCTACTCTATTGATTTGTGGAGTTACCTTAGGTTCTTGTGTATAATACACAAGATGGAAATGTATTACACAGCCTCTGTGTCTGTGCAACAAGAATTGTCTGCCTTCTGGTAGCAGATTTACATAAGATACTTTGTTGTCTCCATTTAGACCCATTTCTTGGACGATTTTCTCCATCATCATGAAGCACCAGTGTAGTAGTTTTAGTTCCTTTTTTGTTACATAGACACCACTGAAGATGCATAAAACAGTGCAGCATGTAACACAAACAATGAAATCAAACTGCTAATATATGCGCTTCCTGTTGATGCTGGATATACATTTTTAAAACAAGAAACTATGCACTAACTGCTAGGATAAGTTGATGGAGAAAAACATATGAGAAATGGAACAAAATATCTTTCATGAGTCTACCACTGCAAGCCAGGCCATCTTGTTACACATACACATTTGCCATGTAATATGTTAAGACCCAGTGATGTCCAAGGGTTTATCTAAATTCTACAATGATGTTTTTTGATGAATCTATTCTGATTCAAATCTGTGATTTTGGATGTATATTACTTTATTTGCCATATATTATTTCAACTTGCTTGTATATCATGCATATGATTGTAACACTTGTACAAGACATTTTTATAAGGAAGTATAAGTATTAATAAGTATATAGTATAATTAGTATAAGTGAAACATAGGATCAAATCCTATGCTAATTAGGGCTGGTGTGAAGAAGTCACTCCAGGTCAATGGGGAACGAACCCATGACCTCCCGATTACATGCTTGCCACTGACATAACTTGCTTGTATATCATGCATATGATTGTAACATGTCTTGTACAAGACACATTGTTGGTAATCAATAAGATTGTAGAGTTGTAACAGTGTATGTAGTTAATAGTTATGTATAATTTGTTACAGTAGATGATAAGGCAATTAACTTGATGTATTATTTTTAGACAGAATAGCAAAAATCCAAATTGTTTTTCTGAATCACTCTTGCTTGTTCATACCTTGGTTCACATTCAAAACAAGGGCCTTCAAAAGACTTTTGTTATTGTAATCCATGTTTAGAAATGTGGTGCCAAATTCTGGAGAATTCTTGTTGTTTTAAGGAATTCAATGATTCAGTAAACAGCTGTGCATGTCAGCATATAATGTCTAATGTAGATGTACCAGTAATCCAGTATGTATACTGCCTGAGACTAACATAACATTTTATGATGGTCTCAGATACTGCTTCCAGGCCCTGGGTAGATATTAATTTACTTTTTGAAAAGAAAACATTTTTTTCAGTAATTTGTCATTTTTATGTGTTAGCAATGAATACCACAATGGTGTATTAATTATAGTTTTAGGACTACAGGTGTTCTGTTCATTATGCTGTTTATTTTGGAAAGATGTCAATCAAAAACTAATGTTTACCCTTGAGATGTATAGATAATAGTTTCATATTCAATAAAGATTTAGTTTTGCGATTAACAAAATATTGTTGTATTTTAATTTATACTTTATTATATGCAAAATGTAATTCAGCATAAGTGCCAAAGTAAATTTCAAAATCCTCAAATTCTGAGATTTAGCTTGTGCCCTTTGCTCATAAAAAGGTAGACTCATCAATAGTCTTACATTAAATTTCGAGATCCCACCACCTGTGTACATATCTTGATGAAATGAGGGGCCTAGAAGGGCTTGATACAAAACTAAAATACCATATCCCAAAATGAGTATTAGGTTATAAAATCAGGTTTAGAGAAAAGAGCAGTTTACTTGAAAGCTGACTAGAATTGTCCACTTGACAAAATTGTTTAGTTTGTTCAATGAATTGATAATAACCAAGGAAGAAATATTCTTTTGATACTAGACCAAACCACCAGGCAATCTATAAAATAACTTGGAATATGGTTTGTTGCAATTTTATTGCATTTCTGCACCTTTTTCAGAAGTTATTGAAAACTGACATTCTGAAAAAGATGATATGAGGGTCAGATATGATTTTTCATAATATTGGTGGCTTGATCCTTCCTACAGCTGTCCCAAACCTTTTCGATTTCAAAATTGTATGCAGTCAAACAAACACTGTAGTAGTACTACTTCATATGCTTATAGTGCCTGATGTATCAAGCAATATAAACACATTGTTCATATTTGATCAAGGTCTATCCATTTCTTGAAAATGATGTTACAAATATTAGATATCTTTGCTCAGTTTTGCTTTTTACTTTCTTTGTATCTGTATTTTTAGCCTGTATTTATTATATACCTCAGTTTCTTCTGCATGTTCGATTCAAGTGAACCCTGTCCCATCATTATTTTATGTAGCGTGTAATTATGGTTTAGCTGTACAGTGCAAAGTTTCCATACCGAAGCTTTGTGATGTCAAGGTAACATGTATGTATGGATGTTCACAAATCAGGTTTTCAATTCAATACAAAACTAAATGTATTTTTTATCGTACCTAACAAAAGGTACGATATTGTAGTCAGCTTGGGCGGGCGGGCGGCATCTCACTTTTCAGCTTGTCTACAGGTTTCCAGCCAAACCATTTGAGGGATTCATCTGAAATTTTCAGGGATGTTTCTACATATCAACGCCAAGAACTGATTAGTTTTTGGGCATTCTGGGTAAATCTTAAGGTGGCCATTTTGGATTTTCCGTCCTAAAATCTTCACTTTCAAGACTTGTCTACAGGTTTCCAGCCAAACTATTTGAGGGATTCATCTGAAATTTTCAGGGATGTTCCTACATATCAACGTCAAGAACTGATTAGATTTTGGGCATTCTGGGTAAATCTTAAGGTGGCCATTTTGGATTTTCCGTCCTAAAATCTTCACTTTCAAGACTTGTCTACAGGTTTCCAGCCAAACCATTTGAGGGATTCATCTGAAATTTTCAGGGATGTTTCTACATATCAACTTCAAGAACTGATTAGTTTCTGGGCATTCTGGGTAAATCTTAAGGTGGCCATTTTGGATTTTCCGTCCTAAAATCTTCACTTTCAAGACTTGTCTACAGGTTTCCAGCCAAACCATTTGAGGGATTCATCTGAAATTTTCAGGGATGTTTCTACATAATAACGTCAAGAACTGATTAGTTTTTGGGCATTCTGGGTAAATCTTAAGGTGGCCATTTTGGATTTTCCGTCCTAAAATCTTCACTTTCAAGACTTGTCTACAGGTTTCCAGCCAAACCATTTGAGGGATTCATCTGAAATTTTCAGGGATGTTTCTACATATCAACAAGAACTGATTAGTTTTTGGGCATTCTGGGTAAATCTTAAGGTGGCCATTTTGGATTTTCCGTCCTAAAATCTTCACTTTCAAGACTTGTCTACAGGTTTCCAGCCAAACCGTTCAAATTTTTACATATGTTACACAGTGACAAGTTCTAGAGCTGATTAACTTTTCTGCGGCCATCTTGCTTTCTTGGTCAACAAGACCACAATGCTGTGTTTTAGGTACGATATTGTTCACGTCTGTGCCTTGTTCTTTAAACAATTTCATATGATTTGATTAAATATGTTCAGAGAAAAAGTAACTTCTGTGTTTAAATGTACAGTACATTGACATTAAACCTCATTTATTCTTCATCATGTGAAAATTTAATTTAGGAGAATAATTAATTTGGCTTCACAGAAATATAATCATACATAGAAATATGTTCTATTTCCTCTGTAACATACAAAGCACAACACAACATACATGTAGTACAGACTACTATAGTACACAAAATGTATAACATCTACTTTTGTATTTTCAGAGTAAAGTGAAGAGAATTTAGAACATCAAGTTAAAGTTTGACTTATTCAAGAATAGTACAAGCTCATATACTATTGATCAATATGACAGATCCTGATCAATCTGCATCAAGAGAAGGTCTCCATCCTCATGATGAAACAACAGGAACATTTAAACCTGCATCAAAACATGAGTTCCGTGCTAGTGTGTTCCAGACCATGATAGAAGGTTATAAAACAATGACCTTGGCTTTGGGGTACAAACTTGGATTATTTGATGTTATGGCTAATTTAGAAGTCCCAGCAACTGCAGAGGAAATAGCTCTTAAAGCGAATTGCCGAGAGAAGTAAGAAATTACCGCGTGACACAATAAAAATGACACCCACCCACACAATGTCTCATAACTTTTTTGTTTGAAAAAATCCTGACTTGTTTTTTGCACATTAAAACTGCATTCCATTTCTCAACTCCACAAGAAGTTTCAGATGACTAGCTCACCTAGATGCACATAAATGAGCGTTACAAAATGTGTCATCTATTCCTTTGCTGGCACAACTGGATCTTACACAAAAAACAACACCCACCTTTTGTAACATAATTTTGGAAATAAGTTATAATGATTTTATCAACGACAACTACATTATTTTGTATTTGGGACTTCATTTCCCTGAAAGTACAAGATAAGATCATTAGTATTTACAAAGTTGTGTTACAAAAGCTGGGTGGCATTTTTATTAGCTCACATGGTGAGCTATTTCAATCACTCACTTGTCCGTCTGTCTGTCAAGAATTGGCCCGTTTTAAAACCCCTGTCATTAGGATTCCCGTTTTAAGTTATCTTTGTTTAACATTAGAGAGGTTAAGCAAGACGATTTTTTATGACGCGAACCGCAAACGTAAACATTTACGTTCCCGTATACGTACTATGAACAAACGTGCTTTAAGCTGAGCACTTTAGACGTAACGCAAACGCAAACCTCAAAATGATTTTTTTCTTTTTCTTAGCGGCGTTTCGTTTTATTTTCTACTTTAAAAGTATAAAAAGATTACTTTATTGACAAAGGAGATGTTTCACACCCTGGTAGTGTTCTATGACATCTTGAATCTTACAAAATACAAGTGGACGCAATAATATCTTTTAAGCAAGTCTTCAAGGCATTCATAGTTTTATTACTATGGTGTCACAATATGTATAAAGAATTAGGATGAGTTGACATGTGGGTAATTGCAATTGCATGTAATCTCATCAGATTTTACATATGGAATGGGTGCCTCAATATTCAAGTTATATTTGATTAGATTGGACACAAATGATCTCGATATATACACAGATTTGTGTCAAACATATTTATGTATTCGACCTATATCATATTTATCTCAATCGAACTTGATAAAGTATGAAAAATCCTTTACGGAACGACCTACCTAGACTTCGATTTTTCACGTTTGGATGTACGTAAACCGGGAAATAAGTAGAACAATATGACGTCACATCCTGAGAAAACCCCCCTCTGACTCCTGGTACAAAAGCTCACCTATTTTCAAAATGGCCGCCATTTTTGTCTCACAAAATTTCCTTTTGGACCATTTGCTTTAAAACCTGTGTTGATAGGATTCCCGTTTTAAATTTTTTTTGTTCAACATCAATACAGAAAACTCCCTATGACTCTTGGTTCAAAAGCTCGACTATTTTCAAAACGGTCGCCATTTTTGTCTTGCTAAAATCACCTTTGGCCCATTTCCTAGCTTTACAAATAATTTCAGGTGTCCTGCATTGTATACATTTGCTTTAAAACCTCTGTCAGTAATATTCCCGTTTTAAGTTATTTTTGTTCAACATCAATACAGAAAACTCCCCTATGACTCCTTGTTCAAAAGCTTGCCTACTTTCAAAATGGTCGCCATTTTGTCTTGCGAAATTCACTTGTATCAAATTTCCTAGCTTTACAAATAATTTCAGGTGTCCTGCATTGTAAAAAGCCATGTCATTGTAAAGAGTACATGTATGAAATAATTTTGTTACAAAAAATCGGCAAAAATTACATCCATTTTTTTATATTCTGCCATTTTAGCCATCATTCACTTTTGAGCAACACCATGTGAGCCCAGTGCCCATGGTACTATTTTTGTTTTATTTTCTGCCATTTTAGCCATCATTCACTTTTGAGCAACACCATCTGAACCCAGAACCCACAGTACTATTTATTTGTGATGAATCGTTGCCTGTCTGCAAAGGAATGGACAACATTTAGAGCAAATGTAACGCCCATAAAATTTGACCCACTTAAGTTACACATCTGAAATTTTTGGACATGCTTACACATTATGTGTACTTTAAATGTGACCAAGGACAAGTCTGAATATAAATAGACAAACAAGTTATGCAACATAAGGTGGGTGTCATTTTTGTGTCACCCTGTATTCGAATATATCAAATTGCAAGACATAGTATATTGGGTGCAGAAAAAATAAACATTTTGATTGTTAGATTATTTAGGTAATATTTTCAAGGCATCAGAATGCTTTCAAAGTTTTGCAACTTTGGTGATCTTAAATGTGAGCAGTATGTAACGAAACATGTACTGAGATGTTACTTTTATGGTGTTATGTATACCTCTGTATTGGAGGTCAGGCACCTTGGTGTCAGGCATACCTGTTAATATGAGGCAGTATGCCATAGTCAAAGGACAGGCCTAATTAAATAATAATTATGTTTTTAGGCAAACTGATGAATGGTTGCGAGCAATGTCATCTGAGGGCTATATTAAATATGACCTGGACACCAAGAGGTACACCCTTCCACTAGAACACAGCAAGTCTTTTAAAGAAAATACAGGAGGACATAACATTGTCACTTTATTTCTCGAGGGATTATCAGTTCTAGCTTGTGCTTTTGAAGACACTGCAGCCTTGTATAAGAGAGATGGTCCAGAATGTGAGTTCTCATAATCCATCATCATAATTCTCACAATGAAATAGCTGAAACGTAACATGGATCCTGTGATTTATAGGATTGTTTGGGTGCACGATTTTCTGCATCTATGTGGTACAATTAAATGCCAGATTGTGTAGCTAGTATGGAGTATATTACTTTATTATTATCCCACTGGACCATGTTCGTAGGGATATAGAGAAGCTGTCCGTTTGGTAGTGAATTCGTTAGTGTGTCAAGGCAATAACTAGGTCAAAAATTAGGGCATTCTGACCTTTGTATTTCAAAATATAGGTCATTCTATTAACCTCATGACTACCCAGAGTGACGAGATTTCTCGTCATCTTGGAAACGACCTTGAAACCCAGAGTCAAAATGGCAAAGTCCTCAAAAGAGTCCACTACGATTTAGATGTAACCCCTGTCTCCAAATAGGGGGTACTGAGTGCTTTCTTTTGGGTAATGTCCAAAATAACAATTCTTCGTACAAAATTTGTTTTGTTCAGGGGATTTTCTACTCCGTGGAGTTCCTGTTATATTTTTAGTTTGTACTGTTTTTATCACATTGCTGAATATGATGGACTGTTGCAGTTCTCCCACCCGCCTCCAAGAATGCTGTTGCAGAATGGAAGAAGAAAATATACACCATGCCTGAGTGGAGTGAGGAATCAGTTGCTGCTTTCGTTGACTCCACGCCTGGCCTTAAAGCCAAATGTGAAAAAGCAAATGTGACAAACAAAATGAATATCTAAACCCAGTCCACAAAACTGTACTACACAAAAGGAGTTCGAACTAGACGTACTTGTGTGAATGGTCCATATACATAATTTACTGATTTTTTAATGAGGTGCAGTTCACCATTATTGTATTTCTTAGTTTGTGACTATACTTCTCTTTTATACATTCATTCCAGAGGAAGGCATACAGGTCTTAGATATAGGATGTGGCACAGGTAGCTTAAGCATCAAGATGGCAAAACTGTTCCCGAGATCAGAGGTTAAAGGAGTGGACTTGTCAGAAGAATCTATCAAGAAAGCAAAAGAGAATGTTAATGTGCCAAATGTATCCTTTGGAACAGCTGATGCAACTGAACTGGACTCTAACTGGACAGAGAAATTTGATTATGTTGTGTCTAGTTTTGTGCTCCATCATGTTTCCCCACTTACAACTGCTCTTGGTGAGATAAGGCGTGTATTGAAACCTGGGGGGTGGTTGTCTGTGATGGAGTTTGCTGAGGAAGGCATTAGCCATGGTGATTTCTACATGAAAACTGCCCATTCTGTTGAGGTATTGGCTCAGGTTGAAAGTGAAGGGGCAGAGCATCACCATGGTGATCATGGTCATCACCATGGTGATCATGGTCATCACCATGGTCATCACCATGGTAATCATGGTCATCAACATGGTGAGGAAAAAGTGAAGCCAAGTGGTTCTATTATGCATGGCCTAACTGCAGTGGAATTAAAAGAGCGTGGTCCTGTGTGCAGGGTGAATGCTGACACCTTGAGCATGGCTGGCTTTGTTGACCTCCAAATACTGGAGCAACCAGAAGATGAATTCAATCCACATTATTTTCTGAAGAAACCCCTCTAAAGCCACTCAAACAATTGGTTTTAACATTCCAATATAAATGAAAACCTACCTGAGTATAAGCTCTTATGTTATGGTTTGTTCTTAACCGGCTTCTCTGTTTCAATTTTACTGATGAAAATTTTTATGATGAAAATATTAAAAAACTTGTTTTGAAAATGATATTTTGTGATAACACACTTTTGAAGATGAGTTTTTTACTTGATACATAATTTGATGGATTATACCCAGTGATGGCATTTTAAGGTATTTCTGTTGAACTTTGATAGATAATTAGCAATTTCCAATGGGCAAAAATTTCAGTTCTCCATTCCCCTATTCCCTAACGAAAGGGATCAAAATGCTTGCTTGCTTTAAGAAATGGAGTCTGTGACACCATCTTTGATTATGGGGTATAATGCAATGTACGTATCTGTACCTTTAAGATGATTGCTGCAGTAATATTGAAATGACACATCTTTGACTTTACTTCTGGATTACCCTGCATTTCAGCTTCAATATTGTCATCAAAAATCTCACATACAGGCAACGGGTGAGTCAATTTATTAATCGCTCTCTTCGTATGTGCTATGATATTTTTACTCTCCCAACACCCCAGTCACATTTCCTACGGCGACCACGCGGTCTATCATTTCTGCGGTCAGTAACATTTCTACGCTCGGCGTGGAATTTCTGCGGTCGGATACGTTTGATGTCACATTTCCTACAGCAGCCGCACGGCGAGTTTTTGAATTTCTGTGGATTTAACGTTAAGTCTTCTTCTTATTTTATCTACATCAGTACAATTTATAAATGTTGTTTGTAGTGTTAGGATAGTATCGAATAAAAAGTGCAAATGAAATATAAGTTGCTGTGGTATCAGTTACGTTACATCAAACAGTATACAAATTCACTGATTTAATTGATCTCCGGTCGACGCACGACCTCCGTACGACAAATGTGACTGGGGTGTTAAGGATTTATAATTAAGCCCAGGACTCGATGAATATGGTTAATGTTAAACCGCATATGTTTTGTTTCCAGATTTTGAATTAGTACGCCATGAAATTGCCAAATAGACCTGTTTAAAGTAAGACTGATGTAAAGACATTTTGTTCAAGCTAGATCAAGGGGGTAGGAAGGTGTTAATTCAACACTACGCCAAATGAAACAATTGTGTCAAATCTATTATATCAAAACGCCTATTTTATGCTCGTAAAACGTATATAACTTCGGGTCTTTGTAGTTTTTCAGTGATTTTTTCACTGGATTTTCTTGTTATGATCTTTGTAGTTTGCACAAACATCAATAATTTTATATAGTGCAGATAAAGGAGTTCTGCTAAATTATAAGATTCAGCAAGAAGTAGTGTAGTTAACAAGCCATTATTTTATAACAAAATATTGCAATTAAATGCTTTCAAAAAGGTTATCAAGCTGATTAGTATATAGTGTACTGAATGTATGTAATATTACTGCTGAATAAAAAATGAAAAAAGAATGTAATATTTGATAACTCAAACACCAGTTGACAGATTTGGTTCAAGATGCCTAGGGACAAAGGATCTCTGCTAAAATAGACATTTTCAAGATGGCCACTGAATTTCAAAATAGCCGCCATTTCTCGTAAAAAACTATATAACCTACATGCATAAGGCTGATAAAGATGAGCAAATGATGGATGTAACAAAAGAAACATTGTTTCAGTAACGTTTATAACTGTATTCTCGGGCCTCGGAATAAAACTATTCGTAAATGTAATGTTACTATTAGATCAAATACCAAATACCAAAACTTTTCAAAATGTTAATTTATTGATGCTTTTATAATGAGTATTTTTCATTTATTTTCTTTGTCGTCAAACCGAAACTCATTGATAAACAAGTAGCCAGTTTAGTTTCTTCATTTATTATACTTATATCCTGAATAGAGTTATCGTGAAATAGTTCACAAATATGCAAATATTGGCGATAAAAACAAGAAGAAATTCCTTTTGGAAACTAGTAGAAGAAAAACGTCAGTAGAATATACAGTAAATGGCAAAAAAAGATATGAATATGATAATATCAGATGCATGCGTGTTGTCTGTTCGCTCTGACTATGTCACCAGCAACAATGCCAAGGCATGATAGAGCTTGCAACTAGCTAACAAGAATGTCTTTTACATCCATCCTTCTCTGTTCTTGTAAGATATGATGAGTATTGTTCAGGCTAATAATGTCCAGATTAGGCAATGTGATCAGACTTTTCAGGCAGATTCGCCAGTTCCTTTGATACTCCACCTCCAGCCTGATATTGATTCAACTCTGTACTATTCCCCGACAATACCCGGATGTTACTTAACAGAAGACTCATAGATTCGTAGCATGGATCACAGACGCAATGTACACAAGTGCCGAAGAATTTCTGTGCGCATGACATGTTGATCTGGACCACTCTGTAGCACGGACCAACTTGCCAGATGTGAGCGAATGTGACACAGGCAAAGGTGCAGCCCCAACACAAGGCGAGAGGCAAGGCACATACATATGTGAGCACCGTATAGCAGCAGTTCTTACCACCTGTGAAACATCCATATGAGTTCTTCCATACACAGTCAGCACTGTGAGCTCCGTCGGGCTCGCCAATAACATCTTCGAATAGGGTCTACAAGCAGAAAATGCTGAATTGTAATGACAAAATGAGTAACAAATGTAAATGTGCATTGAATGAACAATCTCCCGGTATATCAATTAGCGCTTATACATGTAGCTGACAAAACGAAGATTTCATCTGTTAAAGGTGAAATATAATTCATTCTATACTCGTTATTTTGGTCGAATATTGAAAATGTATCTTATTACTACACAATAGAATGCTTCTATTTTCGAAAAGTATGTTAATATGTAATTTTTTTCTATAATTCTATATATGTTGGAATTATGTACTGCCCCTGCCTAGCTGGATTCCAATTTCCCACCAAACCATTTAGATTCGATCTTTCAATTTCTCTGATTATCGCCAGAATATGCCCCCAAATAAAAACTAATAGCAATAGTAGGTTACAATCATGTTGGTATCTTCGACATAGTTTCGCACAGATAAGCCAAGGGACAAAGGTAGTGGGCAGGCGTGATACCAATTTGTATTGCTAATTTTTCCAATTTATATAAAGTTTAAATAACCTTGGATTATATTGTAGTCTTACCCAATGTTATCAAAGTGTGATATGTGAAACTTTTTTTTTAATTTCAAAAAGTGTTTTTTGAAGGACTTTTAGTTCTCATCACAATATATTCTTCCTTTTAACCTGGTTAGACATTCAACATTGGTTTATTTTGAAAGCATACCTGGAAAAGATTGACAGAGAAATACTTTTTCAATTTTTTCAAAAGGTTTTTACTACCTGAGTGATGTCACGATGATGTCACTTAGGTTGCAAACTATTTTTTATGCTAAAACATTGAAGTGGCACATTAGATATGACATTATTGAAATAGTGTGTCCTTCGTTCAATCGTTGCATCGGTGAGAAGTGGAATATTTGATGAACATTTGATGATTACAAAAATTGCAAGTTTTATTTGAACAATGACGGGAAATTTGAAAATTTTGAGAAATGAAAAGCTGACAACTTTTCAATTTTTTCAGAATAAAATAACTAAAATGAAAGGTATGACAAATAGTAAATGAATGATGAAAACATATTTTCAAACTTTACATGGAGACTTTAATAGCGTTGATTCCGCTGGTCTAGTTGAAGGTGACTATCCTTTGCTTGATCGCTGTAGTATTACATATTTTGCATAGTATTGCACGATATAAATTTATTAATAAGTTCTGCTAGTTCCAAATTAACTCTCTCTTTGTGTTACTCTAGTCATTTCAGTGCTCGGAGCTCTATCTATTTACTAGAACTACTGATACAGTGTCGAGTCTAATATCTTAAGTGTTTTAGGATTAAGATAACATTCAAAGGCGTTTAGATAGCTATAATATCTAAAATAAAGATGTAAATAAGAGTTACATAATTGTAAAATCAAGTAATTCAAACGAAGCATGAGATCTCTTAGAATGCAAGTCTGCGCCTTTTGGCAATTTATTTATTTGGGATATTTTGTGGATCTCAATGATAATTCGGCACGTTTTATCATTATTTGAGTTTAACATGTTACAAACTATGTAATAGATATAGAAATAGTTGTGAATTCCTCATCGTATGATTAACTATGGAAAACATATTATCATATTGACATATTGTTATAGTCTCTGTTTTTTGACGGCGGTTGGTGGTTGGCGATCGGCTGTCGGCGTCGGTAACAAAATCTTACAACTTCAATTTTTTCAAAATCATCTACATGTTTACAGAAGTTTAAATCCGACTTTATATTTCAGACTTGACCTACAAAAAGATCAATAAGGTATTTTTTCAACTTGCTTCGAATTAACCATTTTTTCAAAATCATCTTCAAGTTATCAAAAGTTCAAATCTGACTAGATTTGATCTTCAACGACTTTCTCGAGGCCAAAAAAGATTAAAAATGTATTCTTTCAACTTGCTTCTAATTGAGCAGTTATTTTCTTTCAAAACCATCTACAAGTTCTCACCAGATCAAATCTGACTATAGATTTGACCTTCAATGACATTCTCAAGGTCAAAAAAGATTTGACCATCAATGACCCTCTCTTGATAGTAGAAATGATGGGCGTCGTCGAAATATCATTTTTGCAGCATTGAACACAATACAACACAATTTATTGTTTGAATAATGTTTAATGTTTGAAAAAATTAATTACAATTTAAAATGCCATAATTATTTGTCCCTAAATCTTAACACTGGTGCATTTTTGGAGCAATTCGAAATTAATTATCATTGCAATGTTAGGTTAGTTTGGTTAGGTTAGGACATTGACTACACACCAAAATGATACGAAGTGGTTAGAAATCGTATGCACCACAATATATCACAAAAAATTGGACCCGAACTAGACCAGGAAAATTGTAGATATTAATTTATCTATTTGCAGATATCAATTAGGACTATAGACCAAGAATATAAGAGAATATCAAGATATAGAACAATGATGCATAGATTAGGAATATCTCAAATGTTCGGCGATAATCAAATATGTGTGGACATTGGTCAAAGTGTATGAAAGTAGACCTGATTTATGAGCGTCTAAGTAATCATACAAATGTATCATACATACATGTATAGACGTTTGATTCTGGAGGCTAGTAAGAGTTGGGATTTTCAAGGTTAACCGCTTTTAAAAACGCCTGGATGGGTCAAGTCTATCGTAAGACTCAAAACCCCACCTCCTTTGCGTAATCCTTGTAACCCCAAATACCCGACCTAAGTCTTTTTGGTACAAGCTAGCATTGGCGAATTGAAATATCGGCTGACGACTGTCGGTTTAATTGATAGTCTATGGCTAACTCATTTAAATATGAATACCTGCTGTGCATCGATCTCGATAGCTATAGCTATCGCCTGAGAGGGACGCAAAAGTGAATATAGCTCAGATTTTCATAACTTGATCTCCATTTTACCTTATTTCTAACCATTAAGGCAAACAAAAGAAAAATACACCTGTTAGACACAACAAATTCATTTCCGTTGTTAAAGGAAAATTAAGATTAGAAGTCATATGATGCAGGACGTTTCAAAGCCTCGATTTGTTCAAACTTGTAATGGATTTTGAATTATGTTTTAACTGACGTACGTACAATGTATCTTTTGGCATTTAATTCGCGTTCTTATTCGATTTTGCATTCTGATTTCGTTTCATATTTCATATTTCTTATTTGATTTTGCACTTTTCTATTCAAACTTTCAAAGTTTCTGTTCAATTTGCGATTCGTATTTTAAAAATCTACATCAAGTATTTGATATTTGTAATGAACGTAACACGACATTAATTGTCAGGTCCATATTCGACACAACTTCGAATAGCAGATGAATAACAAATCTAGGCATCAAAATTCGCAAAATTCTAGATATCAAACAGGGTAAAAAACATGAACAGCAAATGTCCAGCTACGAAACACTTAAAAAGTTCGATTTGATTTCTTGTTCGATGTGTTGAAAATATTTTTTTGCTATTTGGTGTTGTACCATTTGATTCTCTATATTCTTCTGGTTTGGCGTTTTTAACATTATTTCGAATATTTGTGGTACAGATTTGCAATATTTAAATTGTGAAATTAACATTGAACTGTGAGTCACTTCTGGCATTCTTGTAGTATCTCGATAAGATAAGTGTTCATTGATAACACGGCTGTTTCCCCAGGTTAATATGTAGAATACAATAAATAGAATATAAAAGAATGGGTCATACAATTACTCATATGTAAATTGATGTTCAGTATTTAAGGTAATTCCGTAGACTATGTTTAGAATTTTTGCAAATTTGAAGAGTACACCACATAATATTCCAGTTATTTCTATACATTTTAAAGAATTATGAACCCTGATTGATCATCTAGGTACAGTAATGCATATTTTGTACAAAAATGAATATTGTAGACCATGTGGAATGAGTTGAATCATGTTTAACTGAAAATAGTACATGGTCATGGAATTTCAAAACGTACAGAGATGCCTTGATATCTTTATTCAAAATCAGGGTCATTGAGTTCTTTTACTACCAAGGTACAATCTCAAGGATTAAATTGTCTCCAGGATTAAATTGTCTTTGCAATGAGATACGACACACCATGTAACGTCAAGTAGTTCTTGCTGTATAGGGGGGTGTCGTTGTTTTTTGACACCCTGTAAATTGATCCATACGCATATTAGGCCATGGTATGAAATTTCTGGTACCTCTAATAAAAGAGCTGGTAAAACACTTGAGCGCCGATCAATAAACTTATAAACCTTTATTACGTCTTTATAACAAAATGAGCTTCAGTAACTGGATGTTACTATTGACGTACGGGTAAAATATTTGGATAAAGATCATCCTCTTTGTTGGTGAAAATGATGAAAATAAAAAAACCTTCCAACATTTCTCCAATGGAAGTTCATCCATTTTGTTATAAAGACGTAGGTTCTTTAAAACCAGATAGAGGCCAGTGACGATGTTCGACTATACATTCAAAAGGAGCAACGTGTGATATACTAAAGAAAAATTACCCTGGCGTGGAAGTTCATATTATTAGGATCCCTGTTGACCATATCTGGCATGTCCACCCTATTTTCGTCTAATTCTTGTGTAGAAGACATCTTGATTGTTCCAGTCGAGTTTGTCCTGCTTTTCGTTCAAAATCTGAGTATTTAATAATAGGTGTCGAGGGTTTACAATAAAATACTATGCATCACAACCCTAATTTGAGGATGCTTGGCGGGGGCGATGACACCTCAGAGTTGTGGCCTCCTTTGCTCGCTGTTGTAGTAACTATGATAACGTGCTGATACTGCCTGTATTAAGCTATAAAACAAGCATACAAAGATAAGATGTACATCGACTTACTATGGATTGCCAACATATATTCATTATTGTTGACTTATCCTTTTATCATTCGTAAGAAATATGTTAATACATTATATCTGATAAAAGTTGTATTAACTGGAGGTGTTGCATATTTTAGGGAACATTGTTCATCACCTGGATACTAGCTGTCAGAGCAGGATATTCTTGATACTACCAAAACAGAACTGAGAGTAAACCATTTTCACACGTGAACCATGGACCATTTTAGTGTCAACCAAAAACCCGAGCGAAAAATCAAGATTTACCTTCCCTTGGAGAACCTTCACCTCTTTTGGAAATCATGCTATTTTTAGGCAATCTCTTGAAGCTTAGGATTCCGTCAAGTTTTTCCGAAACTTTTTGTTTGAAGAAAGGGAGGTTCTTGAGCTCGAACCTTTGCACGATCGTTCATTCTTGATGAGTTTTGACAATTCTTCTTTATTGAGTCGAAGACGAAGTTTATAAGTCATATTTATCATATGGTCTGTAAAATGAAGTCCTCTGATTAGCCAGTTCTTGTGCTGTGCCAATCCGTTTTGCCACTGAGATTGTCCCCACTGATCTTCTACGTAGCAATACAGAAAATATTGTACGGAGGGGACAATCTCAGTAGCGATACCGAGAATACATAATATTTCCTATGGATTATCTCCTAAGTAAAATGTTTTGGCCTGAGATTACACGGTAAAAAATTTATAGAATGATTTGAAGTGCAACACAGGATATATTGTGCTCTCGATATTCTGTATCTACTTCGTCTCGTTCTCATACAGAATTTCTCGAGCACAATAAATCCTGTATTGCACTTCAAATCATTCAATAACTTATAATATGTGTAGATGATACATAATAAAAAGGTACTTATGTCGATAGTTGTGTACTTCATCCGATAGCGACGTACTACAAGATCAATCCTCTCTCCAAGTCACAAAAATGAAATCGCTTTAAACACCGTTGCAGCCTTCATTCAGTATTGGTGATTGACATGACCTTAATAACGTTCAATTGGTTTATTCAGTTATGTTTTTGTATTACTTTCCATGACTTTTCAACTTTTCTAAAACGTGTGGGCCAAATCTCCATTGATGCAATGTTAGAATTATTTAAAATCTTGGTTTATTCGTTCAACAACTAAAATGTTCATGATTAATTACAACATGTACATTAATAGGGTAATCCCCAGGCATTCGAATTTTAAACAGATTCAACCAACACATTTTGCCTAAAATCATGAAATTAAGTGACTAATTGCAAATTTGTACCATTGAATCCTAAAGCAGTCTGGTCCAACCAAAACGAAAAAAACAAGTACTGACATCTATTTATTCAGCTATACACGTATATTAGCTCCCTCATTGTAGATTACCGTACACGCACTGAACTAGTCAACGCGGAAACTGATGAGCTATTTACACACCGTGGGAAGAACATCATTAACCAGACAAGTCAATGTCAATCCATCGCACAAAATCAGTCATTCTTAGTATTTCAAAGTCATGAAAGTGAACCAGAGCATTCATAATAGCCCAGGAGCGAGCATCTCGAGTACAAAAGGTTTGAGTCCCTGTGTTAATAAATTGATAAAGACTTGATAATAAGAATCGAAAGTTCTGACCCGCTGTTCCATCTATTGATAGGATCATACAGTGTATCGCGAACAATTTACATTAAACAATACTTATCTTTATTAACCTATGCACAAAAATAAAAAAATGTCATTTTGATTATACTGATAGATAATGTATGAGTAGCCCATCTCTTTTTCTTATTTTTACCATATGAAAAGATTCTCCTGCACTATGTTAGCACGGGGTACCATCGAATAATTTTGGCAACGTACCGGAGAACGACATTTTACTAAGAAATGGCAATAATTTAGCACAATATATTTTTTAACTAGAGTTCTACTTTGATTTTGACAAAAGTAAGTATTCCATGCAATGGCTATTTCATTCATGAGTTTGTAGGAATTTTGTTGGAACCCAGTTCTGATCAAGTACGAAGTTATTGAAATCGGCGCAGTCGGACTTTACTCCGAAAGATGGTTTTTCGATTATAACTTTTTACAACATTTAAGTATAGACTTTTGAAAAAAGTACAGAATAGTCCTTATACTATTGAATAATTCTGTTATTTCTGATTCACACGACTCTGATTTGTTTGATTAAAAAAAAAGTTTTAAAAATATTACTTAGGAACGTAACCGGAGCTGGGAACGTAACCGGAGCAGATCAGTTGAATTATATAATTTAAAAAAATAAAATATATGATTTAAGGCATATATATTAATAAATACGCATTCGAACAATCCCGTATGTTTTTAAATTAGTATATGTGCTTTAAATCATATATTTTAATTTTTTGATTAAATAATTCAACTGATCTGCTCCGGTTACGTTCCCAGCTCCGGTTACGTTCCTAAGTAATATTTTTAAAACTTTTTTTTAATTAAACAAATCAGAGTCGTGTGAATCAGAAATAACAGAATTATTCAAAAGTATAAGGACTATTCTGTACTTTTTTCAAAAGTCTATACTTAAATGTTGTGAAAAGTTATAATCGAAAAACCATCTTTCGGAGCAAAGTCCGTCTGCGCCGATTTCAATAACTTCGTACTTGATCAGAACTGGGTTCCAACAGAATTCCTACAAATTCATGAATGAAATAGTTATTGCATGGAATACTTACTTTTGTCAAAATCAAAATAGAACTCTAGTTAAAAAATATATTGTGCTAAATTATTGCCATTTCTTTGTAAAATGTCGTTCTCCGGTACGTTGCCAAAATTATTCGATGGTACCCCGTGGTTAGTAAGCACTGAATGAAGGAATTGTTTAGCAAGCCCAATTATGACTCAATTTTTACCAAAACAAGCCTGAAAACAATGGATCGCATGGAGTTCTCACAATGGAAAAATAACTTGGGATATGTCATTTTCAACTTGATCTTGCTTTTGTTTTTTGTTTTTTTGGAAGGTAATCACTCAGTAGTGGGGGGGGGGGGTGAGGCTACTTTCAGTATTGTTCCAGTTCTAATTTTATGGGGGGGGGGGTTCTCAAGTCAGCTTTTCTGTTTAGTTCTGCTAAATTGAAGGGGGCTTTTTTATTTTGGCTCCATGCTTAATTCAAGTTTTTGGGTAGGTAATCATTCCCTAGTGGGGAGGGGGCTACTTCTAGCATGGTTACCAATTACCGTTTCTCTTAAGACTCCACAAAATCGGTGAAACTAGGATCCTGAGGACCGGTGTAAAAGAAATTATGGTTCCCTTTCCTTACGGCCCTTAATGGCCCTGACTGTGTATAAATGATAGGGAAAATAATTGTAATTAGGTCACCATATAAATCAATAGAGAGTAGGACCAAAATTTGATAGGACCACCTACCCTTTTACACCTGCTAAATACTCATTTACCAGGGATCCTCTTCTCCCCGGTACCATGGCTTCGATTTGCGTTACTGTTTACTCTTTCTTAGAATATTGATCATTAACAGATTAAGATTACACCCAGACAGAAAAGTAATGATAACAGCAGTCCCTGAGTCCCGGGATTCCAGATGTATTGTTTTTTTACTTGCCAATTAGTGCAAGTTGTTTATTGTCATTGCTTCATTAGTAGTACGTGAAAGACAAAGCAAACATGTTTAGCTGGCTTTATTTCGAATAATCGTTGAAATAGTGATTTCTATGTTTAAACACGTACCATCTATTTCAGGTATTCCTCGAGTCAAAAATAACTGGAATTGATTATTAACTGGGATTATTGCTGGGATTCAAAAAAAGGGAAAACCATGGACTTTACACAGCCAATATAATCACCGTTTCGGTACCATTCCGGCATCGAAACCTTTTGACACCAAAACACCTTGACACCTTTTGACTCGATCTAAAAATTACGTTAAAATAAATTATAATTAATCATTTTATGGAATAAGAGGAAAAAGTTAATGAATGATTTTAAAGTTATCCCCATAATGGCAACAAATTTATATAGAACATGATGAATTTGAGTATAAACTTCAAAATATCACATGTGATGTTCCATAGAGCGCATCATCTTTCTGCCCCCTCCCCCCATACTCCCGTACTTTAACCCCTTGCGAATCCCGGGTTGCGAATCAAGAGAAGTGAAGTGAAGTGTGATAGTAGTTTAACTAGACTCTGCACGCAGGGTAGATTGGGAGGTTTGGGTCACTGTCATGCGATGTTGGATCGGTCTTACATCAATAATCCAATCTTTGCAATCGTCGAACTGTCTACTTTGAACTTGTGAGGTGAGAAGTATAGTAAATGAGGGGGGCAGGGTATTGATGCAAGACTACCACCCTCTAAAACAATCTTGATAAACATTAAACATTATCAAATGGACAATAATATTGGTATATTTTGTTTCAATATATTAACCAAAGATACAGTAGTTGATTGAGTAATGTCTGATTGCATAGAATCCAATTTACAAACACTAATGATTGCTGTTGATAAGATTGATGGCCTTATTCAAAAGTTCTCCATTGTTATTCGTCTTCACAATAGCGATGTTTGTTTCTTTGTTGGTTCTTGGATCAATGGCAGGGTTGCTATGTTCACTCTCTCCATTACTGAAGTAAGATTGTATAAACATTTATACATTGACATCACGTGTTTAATATATATAAAATAGAATTTCATTAGTACTGATGCCCTTTTAGGACAAAACGTGCATCCGATATACAATTTTCAATAACAGTAAATAGCAATAAAGAAATAGGATTACATTCTTCAAATGACATATAAAATGTTACTTTGATATAAGAATCCTGTCTACCAATCATTAGATAATTTACTACATGCATTTGTGTAGGGCGATTTAAACATACAGGTTGCCGTTTCGATTTTAAATGCTTTGCTTAAAGTCTCCAATGTAACAGTTATCACATCCGTGAAACGGGCAAAATGACTAGAGGCCAGAGGGGCACGAATGTAGACATCTAATCCATGAATGAGTGAGTGAATAAAAACACAACACGAGTAAATCATAAGATTGTCTTTCTATTCCGTACCTAAAGGTTATAGCTACTGATACGGATATGGAGCCGTATCTCATGTCCGTACTCGATGGTTTTGTAAATTTTGCCTAAGCTTTGATATTTTCACTGCTTTCAAAAATACATTCTTTATTTCTACGCGATATGTCATGCATATTATATAACTTTGGAACAACACGTAACCCATATCGGGGTCCCATCGGATAATCTCTGAATATGCTACCCCTGATCGAAATAATCCAGATATACTCGAATCGCTGCACGTGTGGATTGAGGTTATCAATTTGTCTCAAATTAATCAAGAGATGACAATTCGATTTTTCTCACACAAATTGATATAATTTATATTAGTTCTTAGAGTTAAATATTTACAGACTCTATTCCTATTTAGATCTCATTATAAATTGATGATGTTTTCGCTAAACTAGTCATAGGTATTTATACGATCGACAATTTTATTACTTTAAATCCACAACAAATGACGACAAACCTCTAGACTTTTGGAGGTGGGATAATTCACATGTAATTAAAACATGTTTATAGTTTAATACTTAGCCTAAGGGTGTTACAATACCCGGTGTAAATGTATTTCTGG